CAGAGCATGATAACACGGCCTGTTTGGTGGTTCAATATTCACCTGTGATGGAGGAGAATGAAGAGGAACGAAGTCTCAGCTGCTGTGACTAAAACATCTCGAACAGGAAACAGGATATGATAAAAACATGATAAAAACTGAGCGGGTCGTAGGTTTGTTTCTTCACCTGTTGAAAATAATCAATATCTTAAAAAGAAGCAAACATAACAGGCCGATAATTGAGACACAGAGAGAGAGAGAGAGAGAGAGAGAGAGAGAGAGAGAGAGAGAGAGAGCTGTTGTTGGGCTGATAGTTTGGTGATTTCCAGCAGAACGCAGCAGTCAGCTCTTTCCTCCCGTTAGGTTATTAATTTCACACTCGGCTTAGCTGTGATTTCTGAGGGGCTAATGTGGCAGAGCGCAGTCAGGACGCTTTTTGTTTCTGTCCCCTGAACACACACACACACACACACACACGCACACACAAACACACGCACGCACGCACGCACACACGCACGCACGCACGCACGCACGCACGCACGCACACACGCACACACAGAGCCTGGTTTAATGAGCAGGAGCAGCGAGATAGTGTTGTCATTATGATGCACAGCTAAATCACATTCTCTGATGTAGCTGCCAAACACAAACAAACACACACAAACACACACAAACACACACACAAACACACACAAACACACACTCCTACTGAACGTTTTAATCAGCCTGTAACATCCATTAATCCATCGATGAGTCCGTCTATTATCCAAACACAGATGTACTCGCTGATCAGATATAATGCAGATCAATACTTCAGATCATTACAAATGGGGCCCAGTCAAGGTGAAAGTCAAAAGCATTGGTGCTACTGTAGATGCCAACAGACTACCAGCAAACACAATGTTTGCAGGACTTCTACAACGAGGATAAAGTGACATAGTCCAGGACCCGAGGGAGGACAGTTTAGCGATGGAGCTACAACACGCTACAGCAGGTCCGTTTGGCAAGAAACACTTCTGTTACAGACACTTGTCTTACTTTGTTAAAGCGGTTTACCTGTCCAGCAGAAAGGTTACAGGGTCACCAAGATCCCCAAGCGTCCCCCATGGTTTATGTTGACCCGGCTTTTTAGCTCTTGTCCGGTCTACCTCCGTTTTAAGCGCCCGTTATTCCTCCAGAGTCTCCGGTATTTACTTTGTTTTCTTGCTTGTGTCGGCAGTCGTGGCCAAAGGAGGATTCAGACAATTTTCCGAACTTTCTGGTTGGTTTCTACTGTCCGATATTGTAGCACGCTAACTTTGTTTGGGCTCCTGAACGAAAAGACTGATGTAAACAAGACCATCAAAAACTAGACCCTGTTGGCCCTTCAGAGGACAGACTGAAGGTTCGGGGACGTGGTTTGGAGAAGAAACAGAGACGAACATCACTGTGTCGTCTGCATAAAATTAGAGTTTTTATAAACATAAAGATGTATGTGCACGGACCTTAGTGAAGTAATCCTCTATGTGACCACACATACAGAAACACACACACACACACACGCACACACACTCACACACTCAGTGTTGTCAGGTTGTTGAGTCCAGACCGACTTATTTAATCGCAGATGAAACACAATCAGTGACCGAACCACAACAGGCCGGACTGATGATTGTGGTTATTGAGTGGGTATTGACCACCTTATGTTCCCTGACGGACACACTCACACACACACACACACACACACACACACACACACACACACACACACACACACACACACACACACACAGCCAGACACCCTGCAGAGGACATGTAATGCATAACAATCAGCTCTGAAACAAAGAGAGGAGGAGGAGGAGGAGAGAGCTGTGTGTCTGTGTGCAACCATGCAAGTATTTATAAGCTGGTGTGTGTGTGTGTGTGTGTGTGTGTGTGTGTGTGTGTGTGTGTGTGTGTGCGTCACCTGGAAGTGGCAGGTTAGCGTGTGCATCAGGAGGCCTCCATGTCTCCAGGCTTTAGTTTAATGTGCGTCTCTGCAGACGAGCGACGACTCCAGCAGGCTTGAAAACCTAATAAAGAAACACACACGACACGGTGTTTTCATTATGACTCCACACACACACACACACACACACACACACACACACACACACACACACACACACACACACACACACACACACACACACTCTCATAAATAATTACCCCCGTGTTCATTTGCTAGCAGGTGTTTCTTTCACATGTCCCCCTGAGTGACGCGCAGGCTCACGGCGTTGTGCTTACAGCTGTATTATTTATGCTAATGTGTGCGGCGGCGGCGGCGGGCGGGCGGCGGCGGCGGGCGGGCGGCTCGCTGGTTATGAGCTGATGATTGAGGTGGGAGTAAAACCGCAGGTTACAGACTGAACGCCACATTAGCATCTCCTCCGTCTGCGGCGTGCGCCCCTGAGCCGAACACTCGACGGGTTTGATTTGACGTGACCCCTGAGTGGGCGTCACCCGCTGCTGTGGGCGGTTTAAGAAGTGGAAATAAAGAGTTTGTAAAAGATCCTGTGGGCTGAATAAAGTCGAGTTTGAGCAGCTTAGAGAGGCGGTAAATTTAAAGTCCATGTTTGACAATCTGTGAGTCCAGAACCAGAACCAAGGATGAGGCTTCGGGAGGCTTCGAACCACCAAAACCAGGACTTTTAGATGCTGTTCTCCTGATTTATGGAAGATCTGGACTCATTTATTCAAGACCTGGTTTCAGAGTCGGTTTTTAGTCCAGACCTCCTCTCAGTTCCTCCTCTTTTTCTCTCCGCAGCAGAAGGGCTGGAATAACTCCCTGCGGCCGATGGACAGACATGGAAACGTAAAGGTAGGTCCAACCTTGATGGTGTCATCCATCAGCTCCTCCATCGCTCCATCTATCAGTCATCTTTAATAAGGTTCCTCTCCCATCCAGCTGGAGATAGATCCAGAATATTCCCCTCCGAGTGTCACATCAACCCGTTTTAATCCCTGATTTATCTAAAGAGCGTGTGTGCTCCTTTTCAGCGCCATTGTCCTCCATCACTCATGTCTCCATTAAAGGGATATTCCGCTCTTTTTAAGTGAGGTTGCATGAGTTGCATGTAAGTGTGTAAGTCTGAATCTGCAGGGAAGCAGACGCACAAGATGGGCTTCAGTTTTCTACAGAGGAGGTAAAGACAGACACGTGACTTTAACTAGTTTACTCTTCTACATTCAAAGTTTTCACCTCACAGTTTACACACCTGAACCACCAGGTAACTCAGATCTAACCTGCTCTCCTGTTTCTCCTCTTTCTCCTCGTACAGTCGCCTCCTTTCCCTGTAAACTCCACTTTATAAAGTTATATCACCGGGATTATTACGATCACAGATTTCCTCGTTCGGTCGTGTTTTTGTCTCTGATCCTCGCCCGCAGGCGGAGGAACACTTCTGCGTGTTGTGTTCAAAAGTAGTGCAATATCAACACGGCTTTGGCAGAGCGGACTCTTACCACGGGATGAGAACGTGAGTCAGAGCACCACAAAGTTTAACATGAAAACAAAAGCTCCTCATGGTCATTTATACGCGCCTACACTTTAATCTACGGTGACCAGACGTCCCCGATTTCCAGGGACACGGACAGTTCCTGTTTTGGACGACCTGTCCCTGAAAATGTCCCTGATTTGAGCGTTTCATGAATGAGAACAAAAATGTTGCGTGTAGACCAGAACAACGGTTATTACGGTAGAAGTTAGCATGATGTGCGCTGCTGCTACGTAGTACCCAGAGCAGTCGATTAAACAGAGTGGCGACACTCCCATAGACAGACGCTGAACAGCCCGGCGGACCCCACTTCCGGGTTATAGAACTCTTAATAGTTCCAACCTGACCGCCTGTCACGTCGGACGCCGTTCGCTTCTATGGCCACAAGGCAAGCACTCACCGAGGTTAAATGATAAAATATCAACAAGTTTAATGTCAATACGTGTGTTATTGATATTGAGGGGACCCCTTTATATGTAAAAATGTATATCCCAAATGTAACTACGTTATTTTAGTCAGGAATTGGGATCGATTTTTTTAGCCACGGTTTGCTCCCACACTCCCCGAGGTAAAATATTGTATCAACGAATGTAATGCCAATACGTGTGTAAATGGTATCGAGGGACTCATTTTACCCCTGTAAAATGATTTTAATTTTAGTATGCTCAAATTGTAATTACAAATGTAATTACTTTTTTTAGTAAGGAATTGGGATCGATTTTTTAGCCACGGCCTGCTAGCTGGACGTCGTCAGCTGTAGAGGCCTGCCAAAATGTATTGTGTGACTGAGTTATGAATCACAGATGAATCATCATCAATCATATGTTGAGATGGTTACTTATGGGCTTTATTTTAGATTTCAGCCTTTATCAGTTCCCGATGTTACATGCAGTTTATTCTTTTTAGACTAACATAAATGCTATGTAATTTGATTTCTGCTTATGGGATGATAGAGTCAAGGGGCCGCTACTTTTTAAATCCTGTCAGCATTTAAGGCGTATGTTTAACATGGAAAAATGTCATGCAGGCCATGCTGCAAGATCAAAACATTGTACAATTGTTTAAACAGCTTGTAACACCTGTTACTTACCACTTTATTGTATTATTTTCTCTTATTAAAAAGTAACACGTGTTACCAAACTTGTCTTATTTCACTTTTATTTGTCATCCAGCCGCTAAATATGCGTACGTGACTTTGACGTGTACACAGTAATCCAATAAGAGTTGCAAATGTTGACTTTTTACGGTTAATTTTAATATTTACCTCTTAAATGCGCGCTCACTGCAGTCTGCCCCGTTGAAGAGCATGGACAGTGCAGGCTGCGTTTGGAACTATGGAGGGGTACATGAACCACGTGACTGCTCCGGCGGCGAGATCTGAAGTTGTCGCCACTCTGTTTAATCGACTGCTCTGGTAGTACCGAGTTCAGGGAGAACCGGGGCGTTTCCTGGTGGTCTGGTCTCATTGGTCCGCTGGCTAAGCTTATGCTGCGTTCAAGTTTCCTCAGAAGTCAAAAGTCCGAGCTGAAAATATCGTCACACTCGAGTTCCCAGCTCTTCAGTTACCAAGTCGGAAAAAAGGAAAATCTACTAAAGTTATTTTAGCGCTTGCCTTGTCTGAACATGAGGCAAGAACTTCAAAAACTTTCTTGTTTCAGGCTCAGATTTCGCTTTTTTCCGGCGGCTGGGAACTCTGGCTAAGCTTACATTACTTTATTTTGAAGTTCTGTGAACGCATCACGGTGAACTGCGGGTCTGCGGCGCACACACCAACGTTAGGCGAGCTGCAACAAGTGCGCCTGATTTACGGGATCCCTCCTCCTCCTCCTCAGTCCTGCAGTACGACCTTTAATGAGATGAATCCTGTAAATCTCCTCTTCTGTCCAGGTACGAGGTCGCAGATCTTCTCAGCCCCCCCTTGACAGACCACAAAACTCCCAGGAGCCCTTGCAGCAGTCCGGGTCGGTCCGTAAGAGTCACAGAAGGAAAGGTAAAGGCCGTCTGTGGAGCTCAGATCATCGTTCAGTCCTCTCTCAGATAAAACCTCTGTTTTCTGTCTGCTCTTTAAAATCATCTCCGTTACTTCAAACTCTAACCTCACTTTCCCACCATCATCTCATATCTCCATCTGCTCGTCCTCTCACTATCCTTGTCACATCTTCCCTCTCTTTTCCTCCGTCATGCCTCCTGAATCTCCCTCTCACCATCTCCTCTCAGATACATCAAATACTTTTGTCTCATCACTCGACTCGAACCGTTTCTCTGATGTAACTGCAGGAGGATCTGTCTCAGTATCACATGTCGTCGCTCCGACTCTCTGCAGACAGACGCAGAAATAAAGATTCTCCACATTCAGACCGACTCTGTGTTTGGATGGTCGCTGTAAATGTTCTTGACCCCTGACCTAACCCTACAACCGTCCTCCTTCTCTCTCTAACTTCTCGTCAAACTGAAGTCTGAAACTGTTTCTCCCTGAACCTCTCAGGTACGTTAGTCTGCAGCGGAAACGGGACCGCCAGCAGCTCCATCTACTCCGTCGCCATGGTAGCGATCCCAGACTGCGTGGACAACGCCACACAAACAGACATCAGCTTCCAGAACATCGTGACGGCGGGAAAGAGCAGAGGTCATCACCACCACCATCACCACCACGGCCCGCCGCCGCCTCCCCCGTCTCCGCCCCTGCCTCACCTCGGAGGACCGTACGGGATCAATGAGTTGTGCGTGGCGACCTGAGCGGTTTGCAGACATGAGAATCGATGATGTCGGGTATGATGTGGATTGATTTTCTGTCTCCTCTGCAGCTGTGTGTTCGAGTACAACGACCCCGACGACTACTTTGACGTGTCCAATCACGAGGTGGACAGACAGGACGACCTGGAGTACGAGGTGAGAACTGACGCCGAGAGGAGGGAGGCGGGGGAGACTGACGCCTTCAGTCATCGCTTCTCCTGGGACTTAAAGGGATAGTCTGGCGTAAAGTTAAACACAACTCACCTACTCTCTTCCAGCAGACGCTTGTTTGTAGAGAGACCTCAGACCAGTCCATTACGGACTACAGCGGGGTGCCGCAGCTCAAGGAAGAACATTTAAGATCATTTCTTTGAAGTAATAATCACCGTATTAAAGGGAAAAAGGGAGGATGGGTTCGATGAGAAAGAGGAACGTCTGTAAATCGATGTAAAAGCAGAAATCAGAGTGAGTGAACTTCACCTTGAGAAAACAGATCTGGGTTTGGTTTAGAGAAACTTAATGGAGCGCCGTGTTCAGCTGAGTCGTGTTTCCTCTGTTTCCGCTCCATCTGCTCGTGACGATTTCCTGACAGTTTGGTCATTAAAGGAACCAGCTGAGTGGAAACATCCTCGCTCTCTCCCTCTCTCTCTCTCTCTCTCCCTCTCTCTCTCTCTCACTCCCTCTCTCTCTCTCTCTCTCTCTCTCTCTCTCTCTCTCTCTCTCTCTCTCTCTCGCTCTCTCTCTCTCTCTCTCGCTCTCTATCTTTGGCTTAAATACCTCAGGGACTCTGAGATCTCTTCAGATCTCTTTCCTGATGTTTTTCCTCATTTGTTCCCTCCTTCATATCGTCGTCTGTTTTGTCTCCAGCATCATTATATCTCCTCAGATGACTTCTTAATGGACCTCTCTCTTCTCACTTTGGGTTCATTTCTTCTTTAAATCACTTCATGGTCACGCTGACCTTCACTGAACTGAGCGACCCGGTCCTCTCAGAGTTGTAGTGGGTCCTGGATTCACGTGTGTTATGAACTGGAACATGGTGGACTCCTCACACCTTCTTCTTCTTCTCTCTTTCCTCCAGGAGGTGGAGCTGTACAAGTCCAGTCAGCAGGAGAAGCTCGGTCTGACCGTCTGCTACAGGACGGACGACGAGGAGGATCTGGGGATTTACATCGGCGAGGTGATGAAGATGAAAACGTCGCTCTTCATCCCTTCATTCTCGTTAATTGAATCCCATTAATCACAGGTCCTTTTTATTTGAACACTATCTCATCTCTTTATTTATTTATCGTTTCATTCATCGTCTTCTCTCTTCAATCATTCATCACATTCATCACTCCCTCAGCCGTTCATTCAGTCGGCATACTGATGGAGGTGTTCATTTATTCATCCTGTGATCATTTATTCATCTCTTCTTTAATTCATCAGGTTTATTTCTTTTTTATTTCAGGTCAATCCAAACAGCATAGCGGCTAAAAACGGACGAATCAGAGAGGGCGACCGAATACTGCAGGTATGCAAACAATCGTTTACTCGCCGCTCTGGTCTTTATCTTCCCGTTATCTCCTCCAAACATCTCAGAGAAGTGAAACTCTAACAACTTTATCTCTCTTTTTAACTTTTTAAACTTTTGATCTGGTGGGTTATAAAGTAAGTAAACGTGTTGTAAATCCTCCAAACAAAGACCCCGAGGTTCGCTCTTCGGGTGTTTGAGGACACGGCCTGACATGAAGGAATCCCACTCTCGCTCTGGAGGTCAAACTCTTTGATATTCAGGACTTCATCGGCTCTCTCTCTTCATGCTCCCGACCATAAAAATCTCTGTATTCATAAATATTAGATGTTGACCTTCCAGGTCTTTTCTGCAGCCTGGAAACACAAACGTTCCCGCGACTCAGCGAAGGTTAAGATTAGTTTCGGATCCCACCATGTAAATTTATACCTGGCCCCCCGGGGGACAAGACCATCCAATCAGAGAGAGACGCCAGCAGCACAGTTACTGCTCGGCTAAAAATAGAGAGAGAGGCAGAGATGAGGGGATAACACCGGCGTTTCCATCACAGCGTTCGTTCGATCTCAGAAAACAGGCCTCACATTTAAGATCTTTGTTCTTCTGCTCAAAGAAAACGTTTGTTTACATTTTTACTCCCTGATAAAACAATAAATAAAGTTTTATTTGTACTAAAAGTGAAAGAGTTCAGTCTTCAGAGCGTCGAGGTCTAAATTTAACCGTCTCTACATCCTGATAAATCCGCAGAGTTGACGACTTTCTCTTCCTGTCATTTCTCGGATCATTATCCTGCGACCTCCAGAGTGAAACTGTGTCAGAGAGACGGTAAAGTTAAAGAATAGACCGCCAGCATCACCTGGCGTCACCATGGTAACCAGGCAGGGGGCTTAATAATGTCAGCAGCAGTTCCCATGACAGCCGTGACCGGCGAGGAAAGAGGGATGAGCTGTCTTGGGAACACACCTGTGAGATCATTGGTGCAGATGACGACACGCTTCGGTATCAATAATCAATAATGGAGCTGTGATCTCCTTAAATCAATCGTCTTTATCTCTGGTAAAGTTTCATCTTTGCAGCGACAAACTTCTGGAGTGTAAACACTGATCAGCTGATGCCTCTGCTCTTTGCCTCCAGATAAACGGCGTGGACATCCAGAACCGAGAGGAGGCGATGGCGATTTTAACCCGAGAGGACAGCATCAACTTCTCCCTGCTGCTGGCCCGACCGGATATAGAGGTGATACCGCACAACGATAATAACACCGACTTAAACAAACTGAAGGTAACCATGGCAACCAACATGATAGGCAGAGCCACGGCACGAAGAAAAGAGAACTACAGGACTGAGACACATGAAACCGACCCAAATCCACAACAGACCTGCCTTCAAGTTTCAGTTTTACCTTCAGTTAGGGCTGGGCGATACGACCTTAAATCAATATCACCATATATTGATCAGTTCACCTCGATAACGATAAACAGACGATAACTTCTCCACCAGCTGCTCACCCCCTCCCACATTAACTTCGTCTACTTCAGCTGCTCCAACTTTCTCTCCGTCCTCCATCTCCTCACCTGTCTTTCCCTCTTTGTTACAGACTGGATGGGGTGGAGTCACGTCTCTGATGTAGGACAGCGTCTTAAAGGGACATGAGACCATAGCCTACCTACACACATCCAAAACTAACTTTGATTTATTGATTTATTGACACCAAATATACCGATATGGGCAAAATGACGTCGGTTATTGCCGTAAATTTCGGCATCAGTAAGTTTTCGGTTTATCACCCGGCCCTACCCTTAACAGTCGAGTTAAAGTAATAAGAGTTAAGTAATAACTACTTACAACTCGACTCTTTGGAAACGTGAACGCTCGACCCATGTTTACAGTTGCTAACGTGATAATAGGGTTTACGTCTTATACCAAAGTCTGTCAGTAGGGGGAGCTCTAATGCTGTGTTCCAGTTACCTCAGAAGTCAGGTGTCAGAGCTGGGAATGACATGACACCGGAGTTGACGGTGTTCCAGTTAACAAGTCGGAAATCCAAGATGGACGCCAACTGTTAGCGGTTATTAGCTGTTGTTAACAATTGTCAGCCGTCGTTAGTGAAACCAGCTATAAACACAACACAGTATTTTACTCGTACAAACACCGTAGAACTGTGTTCACAGTTAGACGTTGGGCAGAACAATAAACTCTCCAGATCGTCTTTTTTTCTTTGTTCGTGCAGCTCTGACTCTCAGTCCACCGTCCTCCTTCACAATCTTAATGTTACAAACAGCATTCATGGTTCAGTATGCATGTGTGTGTTTCATGCACACACACACACACACACACACACAGCTATGATAAATGTCTCCAGCTTGGCAGCAGGTCCCAGAGTGTGTGTCCACATCTGCTGACAGAGGAAGAACTGCAGGGCAGCACATTCATACATGTCAGTCAAGCACACACACACACACACACACACACACACACACACACACACATGCATGCATATTTAGTGATAAATGCAGAGTGTGACAGGAGGGCTGAATGAATGACCCATCAGTCAGTCAGTCAGTCAGTCTTTAGACACTCAGACACCTGAGAGTGTCAGATCTCGCTCTAATGAGAAAACCGGAGATGATGGACGTAAAATCAACTCTGCAGAAAACAGAGCAGCAAACAAACACGCTCAGAGACGGAGTCGTGTTCATTTTCATCTACAGGCGTCTTTACAGCGTGAGGAAAACTAACGACCCTTCAGTGTCAAGATTGTCTCCTAACACACAGATCCCAGTCCTGCACCCTGAGGGACAAACCCTTATTTTACAGTCTCTCCTCCTACTCAGATATCAGCAGCCTCTCTGTGTTTGTCAGTATTTCCACTGAGGTCTGATAGTGTTATTATTTAATATCATTTCATCCAAATATTCAGACTTTTGAAACCTTTAACCCAGACTTAAAGGGATATTCTGCTGTAAAATTAATTTAGGGTCAAACCCACCGTAACACCGAGTTAGACCCCGCCCCCTCCAGAGATGAATGTTGCCGACCGCTTCCTTCTCTAGTTATACCAACTTTAGTAACGACCGCAGGATAGTAATACAGAGAGCCACGCCCCCAACCAAAACGCCACTCTATAGCCACAAATAATGCTCAGAACAGCACCTAACTTCATCAACAGGACATATAGGGTCACAGCCATAGTACTAGACACCAAACATCTTTTTAACTTTGACTCATTTCTTTAGCAAAGAGACTAAACACAACTCACCTACTCTCTTCCAGCAGACGCTTGTTTGTAGAGAGACCTCAGGCCAGTCCATTACAGACCACAGCGGGGTGCCGCAGCTCAAGGAAGAACATTTATGATCATTTCTTCATGGAAATACAATCAGACCGAGACGCTAAGGCAGAAGAACTACAGCGTCTGTAAAATGATCAATATGGTGATTATTACTTCAAGGAAATGATAAAGAAATGATCATTTGACCCTAAATTAATTTTACACCAGAATATCCCTTTAAAGCTGAAAAACCAGAAGATAAAAACTGAACCTTTAACAGAGCAGTGTCCTAAAAATAGAAGATATCAAGGATGAAATGATGCTGGAGGAGGAGAAGATGGATGAAGAGAGGGAAGGAGGAGGAGTAGAAATTTATCCCATGTCACCTAGTTTCCTCAGTCAAGGTCACACACACACACACACACACACGTGTACACAAACATGCTTCACACAGGTGTGTGCACTGACATGTTTTTTCATCTGAATTTTAAACTCTATTTCTTTATGACGTTATTATATTATATAACTCTCTGAATCACTCTGGTAAATGTGCAGCAGGTTTCACAGACAGAAGGTGTCACAGTGAGCTTTGGTCAGTGATGGACCAACTTCTTGGTGCTTGTTTGGGTCTCAGCGGTGAGATTTGATGCTCAAATCTTATTTTGTGGTGTTTATACAAAAAACCTTTAAATATCAGTCAATAGTTATTAGTTATTGATTATTTGGTAATATATCGATATCTCTGTGTTCTCTTCTGTCTGTGTTGTCAACATTTGAACATTTTTGAGCGGTCCGCTCTTTCTGACTGTAAACAAAGCCGTTCTCCACCTCCTCTAACCTGATTGGTTGTGAGGCAGACGCTGCTCCCCCGTGTCGTTCAGGAGCCCAAACAAAGTTAGCGTGCTACAATATCGGACAGTAGAAACCAACCAGAAAGTTCGGAAAATTGTCTGAATCCTCCTTTGGCCACGACTGCCGACACAAGCAAGAAAACAAAGTAAATACCGGAGACTCTGGAGGAATAACGGGCGCTTAAAACGGAGGTAGACCGGACAAGAGCTAAAAAGACGGGTCAACATAAACCATGGGGGACGCTTGGGGATCTTGGTGACCCTGTAACCTTTCTGCTGGACAGGTAAACCGCTTTAACAAAGTAAGACAAGTGTCTGTAACAGAAGTGTTTCTTGTCAAACGGACCTGCTGTAGCGTGTTGTAGCGCCATCGCTAAACTGTCCTCCCTCGGGTCCTGGACTATGTCACTTTATCCTCGTTGTAGAAGTCCTGCAAACATTGTGTTTGCTGGTCGTCTGTTGGCATCTACAGTAGATCCTGACGACCCCACCTTTAAGACGGTTTTTAGTCCACACGGGGACACGTCATCCTGATCTTCTTTGTGTCCCTCCAGAATGAGCCCCCTGTGGATCCAGAGGAGGACATGGAGCTGACTCTAGAGGGAGGAGGCTTCCACCAAAACCCCCGAGTGTCCTCCTGCTCCATCACCTCCACTCACCTGGCAGGATATTACCGCTTCTACAGGGGAGGAGACGCAAGTGCAGAAGGAGGAGGAGGAGGAGGAGGAGAAGAGCTGACCTGCCAAGGTGGAGAAAGAGGCAAAGAAGCAGCAGGTGGTGATGTGGAGGAAGAGGAGGAGGAGGAGGAGGAGGAGGATGGGGAGGAAGGAGAGAGAGGAGAGAAAGAGGACAGAGACCCTCCGGTGCCCCTCCCCCCTCTGCTCAGCCTCGCCCCTCTGCTCTCCAACAGTCAGGAGCTGGACAGCGGCGTGGGCCGCACCGACGACAGCACCCGCTACGAGGAGTCATCAGAACACGACCTGCTGGGGGATCAGACCAGCGCCTGCAACACCAACACCACCAACACACCCGGCAGCACCCGCAAGTTCAGACCCGGACCCAGCCCCAGGTGAGCCGGGGGCGGGGCTTATAGAGGACGTTTAAAGATAAATAGGACAGATGACAGAAAAGTACTTTAAGTCATCCTGCACTAACCCCTGTCCCTCTGTCAACAGGCCCAGCCCCAGACCCAGTCCAGGCCTTGGCCCCAGTCCAGGGCATGGCAGAGGAGACACCACCCCACCTTTCCTCCACCTGAGAGACCTCCAGCTCAGCTCTGACTCCCTCCCTGGTCTGGACTGGGCGGCTGGAGGAGGATCAGCGGGGGCAGCATACAGCCCCCACCACCATCACCACCACAAGGTAAAAGACAAGACCAGAATCAGGAGGAGAAACCCACCGAAGGCAGAAACCTTTGAAAGGGGGCAGTGCCAAAAACTGCAGCTCCTTGGCTGACCACTAGAGGGCTTATGTTCAGACAAGGCAGGCACTAAAATAACTTTCGTAGACGTAGCCATCTGGCCTCGGTTTAGCTTTTTACCGACTTGGTAACTGAAACGCTGCGAACTCGGGTGGGACGTCATTTTCAGCTCAGACTCCGAGGAAACTTGATCAGTCGGACCCCGTCTTTGTATATTGATCTTTGAGAATAAAGTCTAAAGGTCTTTTTTGTGAAAACACTTGTTCTTAATCGGAGCTAACAAGCAGCCAGTAAATATGGCGGACAGAGGGACACGTGCAAAGACAGTGAGTCCTAAAAGACCGGCCGTACAGTCGTACAGAGACGGACTAACGGTGTATTTCTGGACTGTAATGGAGACTGATTGACAAGAAGTAAATTAGAGGATAAACTGCAGCTTGAGTCCCAGTTCTACCAGCTAAAAATGACCCTCATGAACTCCAGTGGGATGTTCTTTACGCCTTCATGTGCTTCAGCTCGGAGAACCTCTGAGCTATTATTTAGAGTGGTTCCTCTCAGTGGAGCTGTCAGTCGTCTCATAGCAACAAGAGCTGGGACCGGTGATGTCCTCCTCCAGAGAAATATCACATCAGACCTGCTGCCTGGGTGGATATCTCTGCCATCATTAAAAACATGAGCGGAAATGTTCCCTCCAAGTTTAAGTGAAGTTTGTTAAGTTGTATTTTTGTTTGTGTGTTTTGTCCACAGGGGGCGCCAAAGATAACACAAACACAGGTTCTTTACAGGAGCTTTAAAATGAGTTGTAGTCTTCCTGAGTGTTTACAGTCTCAGTTTAATCTGACTAAGATCAGAATTCGTCTTTTTCTCTGAATCAGACTTCTCTCCTTGTCCTCGTTTACATGCAGCTGAGAAAATCCAATTATTGACGTGAACGTGTCCTCCTCCCCAACACTAGGGGGCGATATGGGTCTTTTCAGCGGCGCTGTTTCCGACCCCGTACAACCGTCAACAACAACAGCAGGTCGGTGTCAGACGTCAGAAGTGTCTCCAACTGCTGCTGGGCATTTTGGAGAAACAAGAAGATGGAGCATCGTACAGCGTTGTTTTTGTCCGACATGATGGACGCGCTACTTTTTCTAAAGAGGAGACCAACGCTACTCCTCTACTCTGGGGTTTGTTACGGGGTTACGGGGGCGTGGCGTCATACTCCGACTACGCTGGTCACATGGTAGAGAAAATCGAATTCCAATTGCATTATCTGGGTTGTCGGACTAAGGTATTAACATGACCTTCAGTTGTCCGGTCTTAATCGGAATAAGGCGATAATTCGGGTCTGTTACAAAATCTCCGTCCCAGTAATGAGGCAAACCAGGCAAAGACTAATCTGTGATTTTAACGTTTAAAAACACTTACACACCGTCTGACCTTTGACCTGCAGCACTTCCACCACCATCACCACCCGCCCTCTCTGACCATGATGATGCCGGGCCTGACAGAGGAGGAGTGCCAGAGGTACCAGGAGCTGCTGGAGATCAAGTGTCAATACGAGAGACGGGCCGAGAAACAGCAGAGAGGGAGCAAACGAGAAACCACGGAGGAGGAGGAGGAGCGAGCAGAGGAGGAGGAAGGCGGAGGAGGAGGAGAAGCCGCCTCTTCTTCTTCTTCGGTGGTGAGGGAGGTTGACTGCAGCACCACCCTGAGTGAGCATGAGATGGCGCTGATCGAGGAGGAGTTACGCCACCTGGAGTTTAAGTGTCGTAACATACTGCGAGCTCAGAAGATGCAGCAGCTCAGGGAGAGATGTCTGAAGGCCTGGATGATGGAGGAGGAGACGGTGGCGGCTGGAGCGGGGCGACCAGGAACCCCTGAAGCAGGTAACCATGACGACTACAGTGTGTGTGAATCCTGCCATCCTTTTACTATCAAAGAATCTGAATGATACTCAGGACTCCTGCCTGTTATTATCGATTTTTATGAACTTTTCCATTTATTATTCCAGCTTCTACTCTGAGTTTAACTTTTATTTTTAATAAAAAATCACAAATAATTGATTTATTTCCTGAATGAAAAGGTTTTTTTCTGTGTGAAATCACTCTGGACTGTTTCGATGGTTGTTGCCTTTTTGCGTTTAACTATTTAAATACTTCAGTCAGAGGAGAAAAAGGCCCCAGCAGTGATTGGAGGTTATTAAACATGTATATGGCGCCATCTGCTGGAAGATTGCTCAAACTACTCATCTGAAGCCCGGCCTGCAAATTAAATGCACATTCTTAGGCGTTGCATGTTTTATACTGCAGGAGCTGAATGCAAAAGAAATCAAGGTTATAATGGCTTTAAATGAGTGTGGTTATTTTGATCATACAGACCAGTGAAGGCGGACTGCAGGGCGGTTTCTGTCTTATGGAAAATAACACACGTCGCCAAGGGAACCAGAGAAAGTTCAGATAAGATGAGATAAGATAGGAAGGACTTTATTGATCCCCGAAGGGAAAGAATAATATAAAAAGAATTATATTAATATAATTGTTATATTAGATATAATTTGATATATTTTATTTTATATATAATTTATTTTTATTATACAGTATATTATCACATATAATATTAAAATCAAATATTTAGATAATATTATATATTAATTTTATGATTATATATTATTATTATTATTATTATTATTATTATTATTATTTATAATATTATTATAATTATTATTTATATTATATATTTTTATTTTTTAAACTATTTTATATATTTTATCTAATATTTGAATATTTTTTATATTATATGTATTTTTTTATTATATAATTTTATATATTACATATTTATTTATTATATTAATATTATAAAAAGAGAATATACTAAAATTAAATCAGTATTTAAAGAGCTTCTCTTACTAATATCTGACCCTCAGGTTTGGCTAACGCTGATGAAGATTTGGACGATAACGACCCTCATCATCACGAGTTATCCGCCATCAACGAGGTCCCAGAGCGAGAGCGATCTGACGACAAAGACAGCACCAGCGCCTACAACACCGGAGGGGAGAGCTGCCACAGCACGCCATTGGTCAGCACAGAGCAGATCCCGCCCCTCCAGGAGGAGGACGATGACAGAGGAAGACGACTGATGTCCCCGCCCCCTCTCCTCCCCCTCAGCCGCCTCCCCCCTCTGAACTCCCCACTCACTCCTCGGCGTCATGGGAGGGACAGAGACCGGGAGAGGCGACACTCCAACCTCAGCTGCACCTTCTCACCCAGTACTTACAGGAAATACGAAACGGCCAATGGCAGTATGGCGCGTGGCTCAAGCTCCACCCCCTCTACACCCTCAAAGTTCAGGTGTCAATCATACTAAATATAAATTTGTTAAACCTTTTTTTAATGAGTTGCTTTCAAATATTAAATCTTTGCTGCCCTCTTCAGGTCCCTGACCAGAGAGGTGGGGTCATCCTCAAGAAGGGGCGTGGCCGATGGGGGGCGGGGCTCCAGAGCAGGTACATGAAGAGTCCTTTTAGCCAGAGCTAACCCTGCACACACTGCTCCTTATTGGCTGGTTTTATCCGTTGAAGGCTGACCTTCAGATCTTTCCTCTGCAGGTGGAGCCCCCGACAGGCCTGGAGGTGGAAGTGCAGAGTCCAGTCCGTACTTCAGCAGGAGACACCACAGCCGCAGCCAACCGTTAGAGCGCTACCAGAGCTGCATGACCCTGCCCTCTGAGGGCCTGGTGGACCCTGTGGACCGGGTGAGGGACAGAGCCAGGGTGGAGGGGGAGGACAGAGGGGTGGGCACAGGCAGCAGCGGCCCAGCGAGCCCCAGGAGTGTCAACAGCGCCCCCTGTGGTCTGGAGGACCATCGAGCCTCACGGTTAGGACTGGCGTTACCCCTCGGGCTGACGCAATCGTCACCGACCGCCTCGCCTCAGCGCATGGAGTGGAAGGTAAGAGATGAGATGATGGCGGCTGAGTTACCACATGAAGACCCACAAGACTCTCGAGCAGAACCGAACCTTTAACAATATCGATTTTGGGCTTTTGGAAATCCAGAACTTTGATCCCCTCTGTGTTCAGGTGAAGATCCGCAGTGACGGCACTCGCTACGTGGCCAAACGTCCGGTCAGGGATCGTCTCCTGAAGGCCCGGGCGATGAAGATCAGAGAGGAGCGCAGCGGCATGACGACGGATGACGACGCTGCCAGTGAGATGAAGCAGGTAAAGTCTCTGATCTGATCAGATTCAACTGTTTTTATTCTCGTCTCTCAGCGACTTTCAACTCCTCCAAACTTCGCTCCAACAGGGCCGATACTGGAGCAAAGAGGAGAGGAAGCAGCAGCTGCTGAGAGCCCGAGAGTACCGACGAAGACGAGAGTTCATGATGCAGAGCCGCCTCGACTACCTCAAAGGAGACCGGTACGCAGAGATGTGCAGAAGTTTTCGGCTCTCCTGGTTTTCTCCTGAATAACGAAGTTTTTTTAAGCCTGTCAAATCTCGATATCGTCACTCTGTGGTGTCTTTTTTACTCGTACAGCTCTGTGGTTCAACTGCAGATGTTTACTAAATGTCTGATTGAAAATCCGTTGACTTGACTCCGGTTTGATAAATGTGTGAAGCTTAATCCAGCGTGTCAAGACCTGTTTGTTTTTGGTTTCCTCCTCAGAGACTCCATACTATCAGGAGGAGCCGAGGACCCCCGATCATCCCAGACCACCCGGCAGGACTCCCCGAACAACAACATCCTGTTACTGAGCCAGAAGAAGCTCATGAAGAAGAGGAACCGACGCATCCTCGACAACTGGATCACCATCCAGGAGCTGCTGGCCCACGGATCCAGGTCACCAGACGGGAAGAAAATCTACAACCCTCTGCTGTCTGTGACCACGGTGTGATCTAGGCTTTAGAGGAGCTTCTAAAGACGGAGAAAGACCTGCTGGAGGAGGTTTTAGAAAGGACGGGTGACAAAAGGATCAAAAATCTGCTTCATACTGTCTTTGATTATGAGGACAAACCAAATGACCAAATGTAAGAAAGTAGAAATCCAGACGCTTACAAAGACTTGGAGGATGGATATTTAGGAAGGAGATACAGCAGGAGGTGAACGGACAGATAGAAATGACTCTGCAGAGATAAAGAGATGTCCCGGGTTACCACATAAAACTGAATCAGGGAACAAAGGACCCTCTCGGATCAGACGGAGCCTGATGAGACTGAAACCTACAACGAAACTGCATTTCCGGTCAAAAGGAGGACCTGAGTCGCACAAACCAAGAGTCACTCTGAGTGTTAGAAACGACTTCAGAGAGACGACCAGATCCAAACACGTCGAAGAAACCGGCTTTTCTACGTCGTGCAGGTGCAGCTGTAGTGTTCGTGGTGTGTTTAAAGTGCGTTCGACTTTTCAGGCCTTCCAGTGTCGACTGAGGTTTTCTTCTTTTGACCTCATTTACGTAAAAGTTCAGAGATGATATGTAAAAGCAGAATAAACAAGAATAAAAGGTTTAAGGTTCATTTAACAGCATTTCATGTTTACAAATGGACCAGATTTGTCCTCAGGACCTGCAGCGTTTATCAGACAACCGTCCTATCATAAGAATAAATAAATGAAATGAATAATAAAGGTGTAACACGTGGTTTTAATGATATTATAACCAGAGCAGTGGAGCCTCTGAAAATGCTGTTTTTGGACATTTCCACTTTAAGACGACTTTTAAATCAGGAGATCAGATTCACAACTTTTAACAAGAAATATAACCTGCTCCAAAAAACATCGACTTTCCTTCAGTTTACAGACGGATTACACAGTTTTTCTGTTTGGGATACATGCGCTGTAATCCTGAACAGTTACTGTAGATACAGAAGGACAATTTAAAGGACAAATTCAAACTTTTTCTACTTTGATTTCACAGAAAAGTGGAATTTAAGAAGGAAATTTTGGAGCTAAAATCCCAGTTTTCTCACAGGGCTGTACAGAAATCTTTGGATGGTTTTGATGGTGCAGAAACTTTTTTCATGAAATATAAATAAAGTATTATCATAGATAGAGGGATTGTGTCGTTACAAACATGTTTATTGTCTTTCAGAGTTTTTTATTCCTCTCATTTCTTTTTATTTGTTTGTTTTTAAATCATTTTTCAGCCGCCTCTTTAACCAGCTCGTCTCTCCGAGGATGAGTTGGTCTGTTTTGTCTCATATATGTGAATTACCTACAGTTTTATATTTATCTTCTATTAACCTGCAGTTATTCTGCACTTTTTCATAAAAGTCCTCTAAATGTGGAGGAGGGTTTGTCCTCTCCTGCAGGACGGTTTATCGGTGTCCGTGATCATGTTGGACCTGTGTAAAGACAAACGAACACTGAGATATGAAATGCATGAACTAAGTATCGTGGATTATTGGATATAAATCTGAATTTAAAGTGATGTGGTGTACAAAGATTTCTGCAGAAGGTTTCAGTAGTGAGAGATGTGAGAAAGGCCGGTGAAAATATGTGGAATTAAAATCAAGTGTTACTTAAAGAGCGACGAATTCTGTGTTTTTTCTTTGAGTCACGACTTCATAATTCACGTCAGTTTTACTTTTACACTCAGACTGTGAGGGGTGATGTGACAGTGACGCTGCGGTGGGGCGGGGCTGAAAACTTGACCTCAGTTCTTATGCATGACAGTAATTATACTAATTATTACTTATTCTCCTCCAACATCATTGTTAGATTTTGTAAAAGATATGTCAAGTATTTTTTTGCAATGACGACAGAAGACGCACGACCCTAAAATCCTGAGACAAAACAGTCCAAACAGTTAATTTTAACACAGACTTAAACCAGCAAGAAAAAAGAGAAGCTTCTTCAAAATAATGATTCTGTACATCTACAGGAAGAGAGAGTTTAGATACTAATTCAGGGGTTTTAAATCTGGTTGAATTACAGCCGAGCAAAGAGGGAAAAAACATCTCGAATGAGGGAACAGTAGATTCAGAGAGCCGGGGTTACAGCAGAGCAGATCGTTAATTTTCCATCTGCAGTGTGACAAGAATAATCAATCAGAGCAGACAGACCAGGAACTGCAGAACAGAGCGACGCACAAACCGATCTGAGCCGACCGTGTTATTAAAAACAGAGGACAGCTCAGTTTAACGTGAACTAACCAGCAGACAGAAGAAGAAGAATTCAAATAAACTCAGTCTTTTTAAAAGTCTGAAAACCAACAGAGACGTCCAAAATATCTGAATTAAAGGGATATTCTGGCATAAAATAAATTAGGGTTGAAAACACTGTAACATCGAGTTAGACCCCCCCTCCAGAGATGAATGTTGTCGACCGCTTCCTTCTCTAGTTATACCAACTTTAGTAACGACCGCAGGATAGAAATACACAGCGGTCTGAGGAGCCAAAAACAAACCTCAACCAAAAATATCATCATCAAAATCATTAATCATTTCACAGACGCTGTAGTTCTTCTGTCTTAGCGTCTCGGTCTGATTGTATTTCCATGAAGAAATGATCATAAATGTTCTTCCTTGAGCTGCGGCACCCCGCTGTAGTCCGTAATGGACTGGCCTGAGGTCTCTCTACAAACAAGCGTCTGCTGGAAGAGAGTAGGTGAGTTGTGTTTAGTCTCTTTGTTAAAGAAATGAGTCAAAGTTAAAAAGATGTTTGGTGTCTAGTACTATGGCTGTGACCCTATATGTCCTGTTGATGAACTTAGGTGCTGTTCTGAGCATTATTTGTGGGGGGTCTAACTCAGTGTTACGGTGGGTTTGACCCTAAATTAATTTCACACCAGAATATCCCTTTAAAGCTTCTGAGCAGCAACAGAAGGTATAATAAAGCGAAATAAACTGGAGAAGAGGAAGAAACGAACTGATGTCATTATTCAAATTCAGGAGACTCAGAGAAAGTGACTCAAAATTATTGTTTTGGAAAATTAAAACACAAATTAAAGAATCACAACAAACAACAATGACGAGGAATCCTTTTTCAAGAAGACAGTCTAGGACATTTTTTCCCTCTAAAATACTGAGTTAACGTCCACAAACATGAGAAAAAAGAAAGAGTCCTTTCTTGTTTTTAAGTGAACTCAGATATCTATGAGGGGAAAGTTCAGGAGGTCCTACCTGCTCAGTCAGTGAGGAGGAGATGATGGTTGAAGGTGAATCCTGGGTCAGCTCATCAAGAATCAGATCTGGGGGTAAAAACCTAAGGGACCAGAACCACAACAACTATTTTAACATGTTTGTTTGTTTTTTTACAATAACATAAATATATGAAAACAAATGTTGTACCATAAATAAGATAAGACAGGAATATCTTCTTTGATAATCAGTCCTAATAATCTACAGATGGGTTAATCTCACTCACCAACTCACGGTCTGTATAATCCGAAATTATCCGAGGTCGACTTTGAGCGGTCCTTCTACTTATTTAAGCGGGAGTTTAATTCATTAATAACGTTTAACTGATGTTTCTGCCGTTTTTTAAAGTAAGTTTAAGTCACTCTGTAACTCTGTTCGCTCATAAACTCCACTCAGCCGCTCCTTCTTGTCCGTGTTTCTACTTCCTGTTTGGAGCTGCCGCAGGTGCGCCGCCATTGGCTGGTAGCACTCGCGCGAGATTTGAAACGTGATTTGACAAAATTCCGCGAATATCATGGCATTTGATTTAAAGTTAAATTAATTATTTAAAGTTAATTTAATAATGAAATTACATTAAATTATTTCAACTCAAAAATATCGATTTAATTGATTTTTTCATCCTTTTTACTTTTTTTTCTTCTTAACCCTCGAACACTCTCGCCAAAGTTAGTAACATCATCACTATCGCTATCAGGTAATTTTTACTTGAAATAACTAGTGACCAAACTAGTGATATGTGATTTGAAAGAAAGCTCACGATCAACAAGAAAACCCAGATATTTATACTCTGATACAAGATCAATGGAAACACCTTCAGAGTTAGGATAGAGGGAATATTCGCAGGTAACTCACTCTTACTCAAAAATACCACGACTTTGGTTTCATTTGCGTTCAAGACTAATTTGAGTTTCTGCAGTCGAGATTGAAACACATCAGAAGCAGATTGTAAAAACTCAAAAGTCTGAATAATTAAAGATGAACAACAATTAATGACAGTGTCATCTGCATAAAAGTGTTACGAGGCTTTTGACAAATTAATGTGTTACAAGAAAGAGTTTGTTATCAGCTCAAGGTTTGTGATGTTCCTGTAGAGGGTCGAGCTGGGCTCTTTAAAGTCAATAAATCCGGGGTACTTGGTGTAAAAATATAAAAACTCCAGCAGGTTACAGGTGTCGACCATCCTGAGTCTCCCCTCGGCAAATGTTCGTTCGTCTGCCACTGAAAGTAGTCCCCAAAAAACGCTCCATCTCCTCCTGTCTGCTCCATGAAAATGTAAAGCAGCAGTCATGATGTTTTTGGAGGGAAAGAAGGAGCAGTTATAAATGTTGGAGAGGCTGGGAGCGGATCTGTGATCTGCAGTGACACCTGCTGGTGTAAACAGGAACAACCTGGAAACTGACTTGACTGGAGTGAACCTGCAGAGAGCTGTCAGGACCAGAGGTTAAAAAATGAAATCAGTTTTTATTACACATTTCACATTTTTATTATGGATGAAAAAACCTGGAGCTCTGACTGCAGCCTCAGTCCAGTCCTGAATCTTCTTTCTTTGTCAGTCCTCTCATGGATGCTCTCAGGACGGGTGCTTGTCCCCCTTTTTCTCCCTCACTTTTCCCGCCTTTCATGGTCAACTTCCCATGAATTCCAGGACTTTTCAGGACAAAACTCTCATGTTCGGAGTCTCTGAAGTGCTCTGGGGCAGAAACAGTCAGTTTCTCTCTGGGTGTGAGTTTGTGGTTTGATCATGTTGTTATCTTGTTATTAGAAATGCATCACCCACCTCACCCCAAACATCACTCGCACTAGAGATAAAATCAGCTTCCTGTTGCCTCCTCTACACTCTCACAGCACACATGACGCTGTCGGGACTTTACACCCACACTGTGTTTCTACTGCTGACTGTAAACCTGTTATAATCTGGGTGTTATTTTTCTGATCATGAAAAATGTCTAAAGACTGAATCCTGCCCATGGATCATTAGAAAACAGACAAAAATCTGATAAATGAGAATTTGACATTTGTTTAAGGAAATACTGGATTGGACTTTCTTTTTGAAAATCTTCATTAACACAAACGGAGGTACTATAGATGGAAGAATCAGAAACTGTAGGGTCTGATCAGCGCGGTCACCGTCACTCAGATGGAGAGGAAGTCAGTGCGACCTGAGCAGGATGGAGGGGGAGGAGAGTCTGAACAGCTGTTTTAAAGAAAAGAGAAGTTTATGTTTGAGAGACGACAGAAACTCCAAGAGCCTCAAATATGAACGTCCTTCAAACTCTGATCTTCTCCGTCCTCAGTGAGTACTTTCATGTGTTTCTGTCCAGGTTTTAGTCATGACTGTATTTCCTCTCATGGTCCTCAGTGTTTCTGTTTCTTATGAGGGATTTTATGATCAAAGTCACGGATCAGAACCAGATAACAGTCATGAATCGATCGTCACTCAACTCAACTCAACTCAACTTTATTTGTAGAGCACTTTAAAACAACCACAGCTGTACAAAGTGCTGTACATAACAGGACAAAAACAACAAGATAAAAAACAATCAAGAAACAATTAAAACAATGGATAAAATAAAAGCAGAATTAATAATAAAATATAGCTTCAATGTTTTTAAAAACTAATTTAAAAACATAGAAACAAATAACTAAAAACAAACCATAAAACACTAAAACAGGAGCCGAGTCTCATGGAGGGTTAAAAGCCAATGAATAAAAATGGGTTTTAAGACGAGTTTTAAAAATGGACAGTGTGGGGGCTTCTCTAATTTGGAGGGGTAGCTTGTTCCATAAAATTGGGGCAGCAACAGAAAAAGATCTATCCCCTCTGAGCTTCCGTTTGGACCTCGGTACCTCCAGGAGCAGCTGATCAGCTGACCTGAGGCACCGAGCTGGGGTGTAGGGGTGGAGAAGCTCAGAGAGGTATGATGGAGCCAGACCATTTAAAGATTTAAAAACAAATAAAAGAATCTTAAAATGAACTCTAAAATGCACAGGTAACCAGTGGAGGGAGGCCAGGATGGGAGTAATGTGCTCCCTCTTACGTACTCCAGTTAAGAGCCGGGCGGCTGCGTTTTGAACTAACTGGAGACGTGAGAGGGAGGACTGGCTGACTCCAAAATAAAGTGCGTTACAGTAATCCAGCCGAGATGTAACAAAGGCATAGATTACTGTTTCAAAGTGCGTTCGTGAAAGGAAAGGCTTTGCCTTCGCCAGCTGCCTAATATGATAAAAACTGGATTTCACTACGGAGCTAATTTGCCTGTCGAATTTAAAATCACTGTCCATCTTAAAACCCAAATTTGAGACGGTTGGCTTTAAATAATCTGCTAAAATACCCAAGTTTACAGGAGGGGTTTCACAAGGGCCACTGGGACCAAAGACCATCACTTCCGTTTTTTTTTCATTGAAGTTTAAGAAATTCAAAGCCATCCAGGCTTTGATGTCTTCAAGACACGCCAGAAGTGGAGTGAGGGAGAAAGCATTTTTTTTGTTAAGTGGCACATATATCTGACTGTCATCAGCGTAACAGTGAAATGAAATGCCATGCTTTCTCAAGATGGATCCCAGGGGCAGCAAATATAAAGAAAAGAGCAGGGGCCCTAAAATCGACCCTTGTGGAACCCCATACGGCAGTGGAGCAGAGCTGGACTCTGTATCTCCAAGGCTCACGCTCATAGTTCTGTCGGTCAAATAGGACTTGAACCACTCTAGTGCAGTACCACGGACACCTATAAGATAGCTTAGCCGAGCCACCAGAGTATTGTGGTCCACTGTGTCGAAGGCTGCAGTTAGATCTAACAGAACAAGAACAACATAATCACCAGAGTCATTTGCCTGGAGGATGTCGTTAAAAACTCTTATTAAAGCAGACTCTGTGCTGTGGCGAGATTTAAAACCAGACTGGAAGACCTCCAAGACACCATGCTCATCCAGAAAGGACTTTAGCTGAACATGAACAACTTTCTCTAAAATCTTTGAAATAAAAGGAAGCTTGGAGATGGGCCTAAAATTGGCCAGCACACTGCAATCAAGGCCTGGTTTTTTAAGTAGAGGCTGCACCACTGCATGTTTAAAACCTGGCGGAACAACACCAGAGGACAGACTGCTGTTTATAATAGCCAGAACAGACTGACCTATGCAGGGGAAAACCTCTTTAAACAGCCTGGGAGGGACAACATCACAGGGAGAACCTGCACATTGAAAGAGGTTTTATCGTCATTCACAGTGAAAATCTTCTGTTGTTAAAATGATCACAAACAGCTTTTGGTTATTTAGATAAATTCATATCTTCTACTGTCTGTCAGTGTTTCCTCGTGTTACTTCACACTGACTGGGACTTTTTAGTCTTGCTGAATGTTCACCGACCACAAACATTGTGAGTTTTTTTTACTTTTTTACTTCCTCAAAACAAAGAGTCACTCAGGAAGGAAAATAAAAGCCCAGAAATGTGTCAATGTTTTGAATCAGACATCAACTGTTTCTATAATTAACTGATTACAGTGTGTGAAGAAAACAGATTAAATATTACATTAGAAAAATAATGTTCAATTTTAAATTTGACGCCAGCAACAAGTTTCAAAGAAGTTTGAAATAGAGACAAGAAACCAGGAGAAATCTGACTCTGATGTGGACGTCACCGCATGGGTTAGAAAACTTCAAAAACCATCGTCTTTGAAACGCTGCAGACTTCTCCTGAGAAAACCGTCAAAATCTGACATCCTTCTTAGAAAATCTTAGACGCTGAATCCTCCAAGAGAGGCAGGGTTCAAAACCAGCACCCCTGATGGTCTGGGGATCTTCAGAGTCCGTGTCATGGGAATCTCTGTCGTGTCTTTGTTCTGAGAAATGGGAACAAAAGAGAATCAATAATCAGCAGGATACCATGGTGACAGGATGTAAAGACAGTCATTCCTGATTGTGTTTCGTTTCAGCTGCTCTACTGGATGCCCAAACAGTGTATTACACAACAGCACTTGAAGGAGGAGACACCAAAATTCACTGTCTGACTTCTGAAGCCAACGAGAGGAAGTTCTTCTGCAGAGAAGACTGCAAACAGAATGACACCCTGGTGGAAACTCTAGGTGTGAGCGCTCAGAGCGACAGGTACAGCATTGAATGGGAGAGGAGAGGTCAAAGTTCAGTCGGAGATGTTTTTATAAAGATCTCACAGCTGAAGAAGTCGGACTCAGGACAGTACACGTGTGGTGTCGGTCCACTGACATCAGCTACATACGATTACAATGAGATCGTTGTTGTAGACGGTGAGTCCCTGACCTGTTTCAGTGTTCGTTTCTGGACAGATTACTGTCCACAGAGTTTCTCCTACTATCTGATATAATCTGAATCATTCAAAATGACCTTCAGTTGAGCCCTGAAGCTAAAAACAGACAGACTAATGTGATCTTTGACCAGGATCTCAGATATTAACCTTTTTCAAATCTGTTCTGCAGCTGAGCTGAGTGGAGGCAAGAGAGAAACACCAACTATCTCTGCAAAAAGTGGAGGAGATGTCAGAATAAGCTGCCCTTTTTCATCCTCTTTCCATCAGTTAAGAATAAGTGCATTCCTCTGCAGGGTAGAAACTCTGCAGTGTTTGTTTGTTCCCACTAAAGTCACTGGAAACACTCGGCAGCATGACAGATACACCATCAGATATGTGCAGTATACTTCTGGATCTGGGTTTGTGTACGTGAGCATCTCACAGCTGAAGAAATCAGACTCAGGGCGGTACAGATGTGGTCTGGAGAGACAGGGGCTCTCAGATATCTGGAGTGTGTTTGACGTTGATGTTTCAGACGGTGAGTTTCTTTTTAAAGTGAGTAACAATGATGATAATGTGCTGATTCTGGGGATTCAATCTGTGGTGAATAAAAGACTACATTTCCCATGAGCACCATCAGCCACTGTGGAAGAAATGAGCCCACTCTGATCCCATCTTTATCTTCCATGACTTTTTCACAGAACCAACCGTGGAAACCCAAACATCAGCTCCAGAAAACTCCAAACCAGGAACAACACCGAGCAAACCTGCAGCCCCCCCTAAAACCACTTTAAGATCAACTACAGGTACGCTCACACTCCGGTCTGTTTTATTAAACTGTCTGATTTTACACTAACAAACACGGATCTCAGAGACAGAGGAGAAAGAAAGTCAAGAAACAAACAAAAACCTGTTTGTCCATCTCCGACAGACACGCTGCTGTACGTGGGACTGACTCTGGTGGTTCTGCTCGGCCTGTTCCTGCTGGTTTTGCTGATATTCTACAAAAGGAAGTCTTCAAAACCAAAAGGTGAGGCAACTGGAAATGAACCCTCACAGACAGGAAACCACGCCGCTAACACTTTGCTAACAGTGTTATTTCTATCTTCCACCTCATCCTTCTCCACACACAGTAATTGCTCAACCACCCACAGACCGATTTACTCATGTTGTTTGTGTCAGTAGTCATGCTCTCCTGTTCGTCTAAAACCTGTGTGTTAAGAAATCCTGTTTGTTGATATATTTAAAGCTTGAAAACATTGTCCACTATCCCCGACAGAGCGACAGGAAAACCTCCAACAAGCACCAGAGGAAACTTCCAAACGACCAAAAGGTATTCAGACCGCCACCAAACCAAACAAAACCTTAAATGCACAATCAAAGGTGCATTTAAACAATTAAATCAGGTGCAAAAATCTCAATAAAACTGCACAAGAGTACATAAAACCACGCAGCCAACACTGAACAAACAAGGGAAACGCCGGCAGTTAGCGCCATGACGGTCAAAAGCCTTTTGCCCTTCCGGGTCAAACACCTGCTGACACGGCTACCTTTAAACACGACAGCGACACCCAACGCACAAAAAGGGAACTGCAACTCCTAGTATGTATCACAGCAACGTATTTGGCTCCTACACCAACAAAGTCTTTATTAACCAGACTCCAAACGCCAGGATTCTACTCCAGAATGGTAGGCGGATCAAATACGCAAACATGCAGCGCCCGCCGGATCCGCTTGCTATATTACTGGTATTCCTCACAAGACTGGACCAGATCTCACCGTGAGACATCGAATGAGATCAACGGTGTTTATAAATACCTACATCCAACAACCCTGGCCCCTCCCATTATCACGTAAAGAACAGTTCAAGGTATCGACTTTATTTTATTTTGAAGGTTCACCGGATATTTTACTTTGTAGCTGCATTAAACTGCTGGTGCAGCGCTGAATTGATGCGCTGAATTGATGCGCTGTGCCGCAGCGACCAACAAAAATAGAGGCCATGGGTATCTGGTCTGAGCAGCAGAGCGGAGCTGCAGCGGAGCTGGGCAGCGAAGTATGTAGGATAACACACATTGATTATAATGCTTGCGTATTTGATCAGACTTCCATTCTAGAGCGGAGCGCAGCCGTTTCATATCCTGTGGAATTTAACCAAAAGGCTGAGAGGAAAACTGTAAAAGGCCACATTAGAAACAGAACCTGAGGTGACTTAAAAACAGTCAAAGGGACATGAAGATAACTGCTGAACAGCACCGAAAAAAACACGAGAGAGTTCGATAAAAAAATAAAACAGGCTTTAAAGTGAAAAATCACAGGAGGGTCGATCATCTTAAAGACAGTCACCCTTTAAAAAAGGACTGTAAATGGACTCTGTAAAACCTCAGAAGTCCTCCTCAGGAGAAAATACGTCTCAAACTCAGGAAATACTTTCTGTGTGACAAACTGAGTCGCTTCCTGGTAAAATCAAATCTTCACGAGTTTACTCTCATCTGGTTTCTGTTTGCAGACCCTCCTGTTGAACCAGAGTACGCTTCCATCACAGAGGTAGGAGTGAGGACGTTATTAATATATAGAAAATGATCTTTTATGAACACAGAAACGATCCTCTCCTCTCCTGCAGATCAACAAAGCCAAATATACAAAACCAAAAAGAATGGAAGTCAGCAGTGATTACAGCTCGGTCCTTGGACCTGAAACTCAGCACACAGTGAGTAAACCAGCAGACCTTTGACATACACAAAACTCTGAGGTATAAAACTTTACTCATTTAAGAGGAGGAGAGTAAACTTCATCAAAAAGAAACTCTAATCTGTGATAGATTAGGGCCTGTGTCCACTCGCACTGAGATGCAGTGAGTGTACACAGGCCCTTAATCCCACAAACTGGCTTCACTTTTTGTTTCTTTCACAGGCTGAAGACGACTCAAGTAAACTCACTTACTCTGAGCTGGATTTCTCTAATCGGACAGCCAGCTCGCTCAACAGCGCCCCCGGTGGTCATCCCAACACTGTTATCTACTCCACACCTCGATAGAAACATTTTGACATCAGCAATTATTGTATATTTCTTTATTCAGAGCTGTGGCCGCCATGTTTCTGCTAATGAAGAGTTTACTGAGTAACATGAAGATAAACTTGTAAAATTGAGCAAGAAAACATTTTTTTTTATGTAGAAAAGGAAGTCAAAGTGAAAAACAAACTTTACTTGATTTCTAATGGACTCATAACTTCAAAAATCAACATTTGTGGTGAGGCTCAACAAATACGTGTTTGTACAGATTATAAGATTAAAACAATGTTAATATACAGATTAAAATGCAATCATAAAACGAGGTTTGGTGTTTTTATTGGTCGTGTAGAATCACTAACATGGTTATGTGCACACTGCACCTTTACTGACCGGTTGGTTTAAGTGACAACAACCCAGAGGTCAGAGTGACGCCATCGATGTCCCTCAAACCGACAGTGAGAAGCAGAAGAAATAAGAGGATGTGTGCTCAGCGTGGTCCAAGTGGTCGAACCCTGACCTTCATCATTTTGGACTTTGGAAAGAATGAGACAAGACTGAGGGGCTGCTGGGAAAAAACAAAACTACTGCATAAATCATGAGCGTTCTGTAAGTTTCCACAGAGGGTCTCATGTGGTTCAGAGGTGCTGTTCAGGAAAGGACCTGCAGGGGGAGACATTTACATACAGAGAAACTGAGGCCCAACGAGCATGGGTGTTTCAGTGTGTATTATTATGTATTATTATTATCACTATTATTATGATTATTCCTCCAATAATCACACCAACAGCTCTGCTCTCTTCGTCGATCACACCGATCGTCTCTGTTTTAGTCTAAATTCTTTAATGTGATTCTGACGAGAAACTGGACCAACATTTCATCAGGAGACGCACGTTTCAAAGAAAATCTTTCCTCATCTGACCGAGCGGATATCGATGAGTTACTGTCTGTATTGATTAACTATGAAACGACGGGAACATCACATGCAAAGACACAGAGACTGGGACGAAAACTCATTTTTGAGCTGTCAATCATTTCTCAGTTTAGAGTCCTGTCTGACTGAGAGCTGGTCTGGGATCAGGTTTAGGGGGCATTAATGAATGAATACAAGAACAAGTGTGTGTGTGTGTGTGTGTGTGTGTGTGTGTGTGTGTGTGTGTTTCACATGAAGGTAAAGGCAGCAGCAGAATTCATAAGTCTAATGGCTCTAATGTCTTTACAGGATGTGAAATCAAATCAAAGTATTAACCCTCATACATGTCCTCATCTATCTCTCCTCCTCCCTTCACCCTCACACCTGTGTGTGTGTGTGTGTGTGTGTGTGTGTGTGTTTGTGTGTGTGTGTGCTGCAGTTTCTTAGTGTTCAGTATTCCAGTCATAGAGGCTGAGTCACACTTACCGTAAACTGTTTCCATATTCAAGGAAGATGCTTGTGTGTGTGTGTGTGTGTGTGTGTGTGTGTGTGTGTGTGTGTGTGATGACATGTCCTAGACAACGGCAGACATGATGCAAGGACATGCACAAGAGATTGGAGAGAGATCCTCGTCTTCTGTATTGATCCATGCATCTTAAACACACACACGTGCACATACACACGCACACACACACGTGCACATACACACACACACACGTCCAGGTTAAGTGAATTATCTTTAAGATGTGGAGATGGAGGCAGAGGAGGAGGAGGAGGAGGAGAAGAGATAAAAACAACATGGAGGAGATAATGGAGGTGCCGTCTGCTGGAGGGGAAACTTGATTTGTAGAGGAGGAAGAGGAGAACTGGAGGAAGAGGAGAACCGGAGGAAGAGGAGAACTGGAGGAAGAGGAGAACCAAGTTTCACTGCTTCGAGTCTGAACTCCATCTCTCTGGTACTGCAGCATGTATACGGTCAACTCCAACAGCTGCAGACCAACTGTGCAGGTGAGGCCTCAGCCAGGTGACAGGTCAGGAGAGCCATGAAGAAACTGATATCAGCTTTTTGTCTTTTTCACATCCAGGTCATTTCAGTGCACACTGAAGCTCCACTAAGTGACTCACTGGCAACCTCCACCTTCATCCTGATCGTCTCCTAAAAGGTCGTATCCTCCGATCGTAGCTGATCGTAACCATTCAAGTTAACGTGTCAATTTACACCGACTTCTTTCCGTTCCTCTGCGGATCGCCGGACTCCTCAGCTGATCACAAGAGTTCTATTTTTTCTGGACGCCGGAGCATGGCGGATAAATTCAGCACAGATTAACCCGTGCTGGAAAGGAAGTCGGGCACAGACACAAAATAAAACATCCGTCTTCTTTTCAAAATAAAACACTCCGTGTTTCAGGAGGATCGTATTTCACACCATGCAAACGGGCGGAGACGAACAAGTGAAAGGTTTTTAGACGTCATTTCACCCCGATGACACCATGGATGAGGAGATGCTGATTCTAGAAGTCTAGAAGTAGATTTCCTCCTCTGGAAGGACACAATCTACTGCTTATATGTCTATGTGTCTGTCTTTACAGAGACAACTCGTTATCGTGCGATTGAACTACTGCTTTTACACTCACACACACACACACACACACACACACACACACACACACACGGCCTTCTCTCTTTGGCTGATAATAAACAACATAATTATGATCATTGTCTGGAAATGAAGAACAGAATCTTCACTCTAGTGACGAAGAGGAGGAGGAGGAAGGAGGAAGGGGAGGGGCCAAACGGGAAAAGCGTTCAGAAAAGAGGTGAAGGAGAACTGATGCAGAAGAAGATGTGGGCTGTGGTCTCAGAGGAGAGAATGAACTGACCTGAAGTAACCTCAACACTGTTACGAAAACTCAGAGAGAGTCCGATCATTTCAGTCAATCAGCTGATCATGAAGCTGCAAACTCACAGTGATGAGGGGTGATGTTACGGTCGCTATAGTAACCATCTCCTGAGTTTTCATGAAATCAGAGAGTGACAGGGTTTGTCACTGAGCTGATATTGGAGGCAGTACTACCTGACTGTCAATCATTTGTGTGGTGAGTGGTCAAAGGTGAGACACAGGTCTGCCTGGTTTAACTCCCTTTACAGTGTTGAAGTCGGAGGAGAAGCTAACCCGGGATTTCCAACGCATCCGGAGCATCTCCGATCCGGAACGATGGCGATTTTCGCCGTACGCCAATTCCTACCGGATCCGTTTGTGAGGCGAGTTCTGTGGCGGATTACAGACCGCAGAAATCGTGAGAACTTACAAGAACCTGTGGATTCAGGTACAATTGCGTGAAAACTAGTTGTCTTTAGCCACAGATGCTAACGATATAAGCAGTAGATTGTGTCCTTCCAGAGGAGGAAATCTACTTCTAGACTTCTAGAATCAGCATCTCCTCATCCATGGTGTCATCGGGGTGAAATGACGTCTAAAAACCTTTCACTTGTTCGTCTCCGCCCGTTTGCATGGTGTGAAATACGATCCTCCTGAAACACGGAGTGTTTTATTTTGAAAAGAAGCCGGATGTTTTATTTTGTGTCTGTGCCCGACTTCCTTTCCAGCTGGAGTTAATCTGCTGTGGAGTCCGGCGATCCACTGAGGAACGGAAAGAAGTCGGTGGAAATTGCCAGTCAGAGTTCACAGAGAGTTTAAAAAGAGAAATGACACAGAGGAGGATCCGGTCAGTGAGTCTGCGGCTGAACCTTTTACAGAGCTTTCACACTGAGGCATTAAGAATTTCAAACTCAATCAGAGAGTTAAACTAAAGTGACGCCGATGATACAAGGATGACGAGTGAAAACGTTTCTTCATGAATCTGCATTTTTAACATCTCTGACCTCAGTTTGGATTAAAGCTTCTTAAACCTGGACCATCCCTGACAAGCTTAGACTTTATCCGAGGTTTTAGTTTTGCTTGTTTTGAGCCAAAATCTTATTTTTGACAAATCCAGTCATGGTTTTCGTTAACGTTGTAATCTTTGGGGTTGAAAATGACCTCCTCTGAGCTGCAGATCCATCCTCCTTCTTTCAGACCTGAATAACTCTCTACAATCACAGAAAGGGTTCAGTCTGAGGTCCACCTCTGTTAGGTCTATGTATGCTCCCCTTTAGAAAGACATCATCCAGACTCAGAGTTACTTTTAGGAGGGGGAGGTGATCACAGGAGACAGAGAGGAGCATCAAAATAAAACAGGAAACATCAGGATCTGAACTCTCAGCGCCACAGCCCGACATGATAATCACAATTTTCTCATTTATTGATGATTTTTCTAACAATATCTGAGAGAATCAAACCGACGTTAGTGTCTGAATGACTTCACTCAGTCTGTGGTGACTTAATGAAGCAGTTCATGATGGATTTATTCAGCGATATTCCTCCAACCAGCTGTCCACCAGTACGAGGAGGAAACCAGAACAGGGGGGAGACTGGGAGGGACGGAGTGAGGTAAAAATAGAGAGGGGGGGGGGGCATGGAGGTAAAGAAGAAGGGAGGGGCAGGAGCTCTCAGGGGAATTCAGAGAGAGAGAGAGAGAGAGAGAGAGAGAGGCTGCAATGAAAGAGGCTGATGTCATCGCTGTGAGGCGGCCAATCAGAGCGCAGCAGGGAGGGAGGAAGGGAGGGAGGAGAGGCAGAGCTCAGATGGGTGTGTTTTATGTACCACTGCAGCATCAGTGTAAAAAAGGAGAGGAGAAAAGGCACGACTGAGTGGACGAGAGAGAAGACATAAAGACAGAGGAGAAGAAGAAGAAGGAGAAAGAGAAGAAGAAGAAGAGAGCGAGGAGACGAGGAGACAAAGGGATAAAAGACGAGAGGAGCTGCAGAAAGAGAGGACACACCTGCAGAGGTAAGAGGAAAACAAAAGCGTATAAGCATGCTGTGTGAGTCTGGGTCTCCATGGATGATTGTGTCTTCATCTGTGTGTGTGTGTGTGTGTGTGTGTGTGTGTGTGTGTGTGTGTGTGTGTGTGTGTGTAGTGGGCTGTGCGATAGATGTGGGCTCCAGGGTGTGATGGTGTCTTACATAATAGAAAAGCAGGTATGAGGAGCTGTGCTGGGCGTGCTCGGATGAATCTGTGTCACTGTCTTTACGTCGGTGTCTGGGTGTGTGTGTGTGTGTGTGTGTGTGCCTTTACACTTACAAAAAAAACACACAAAATGACCATTCACAAAACAGAGAGCGTGTGCGTAAATCAGCCTTCTTCAGGGAGGGTCTGACTGACTTGATTCAGCTTTTTAATATCTCCTGTGTCATCTGCAGCGGCGTGTTTGGATGAATATTAGATGAAATGCTGCACTACACAACATCTCAGCGCTCAATTATTAATGCCTGGTTAGTAGTGCACTTCCTTTCATGCTCAAACTCTTAGGGCATCTCTCTGTCAGGTATTATTTCATCCTCTTAGTGCAGGGATTTCACGCACATAAACAGCTCCACTTAAATCTGAGCTTCTTCTTCTCTCCTCGTCCTCTGGTGTTAGAGACGACAGAGGTTCATGTCGCTCTGAGAAAGTGTGTCTGAGTAAGTCCGAGCAGAGTGCAACAGGGCAGCGAGCTGGACTGTCAGCTCTTATTGTTGGAGTCCTGAACTGTCCTGATCACTAAAAACCTGAAACTAAAGTGGAGCAGCTGACAAACCAGCAGACTGACAGTTTGTCTGTGTGTCAGCAGGATCAGATATGAAGGACTCCGGACCAGGGGTGGGAGTCACAGGCTAACTCATGACCATGATGCTCAAACAGGGGGGGTTAATGACACTGGGGAGTCTGATGTTTAATGGTTCTGTGCTTTGATGTTTCGGGGTTCTGTGCATTGATGTTTAAGGGTTCTGTGCTTTGATGTTTCGGGGTTCTGTGCATTGATGTTTCAGGGTTCTGTGCATTGATGTTTCAGGGTTCTGTGCATTGATGTTTCAGGGTTCTGTGCTTTGATGTTTCGGGGTTCTGTGCATTGATGTTTAAGGGTTCTGTGCTTTGATGTTTTGGGGTCATGGGCATTGATGTTTAAGGGTTCTGTGCATCAATGTTTCGGGGTTCTGTGCTTTGATGTTTTGGGGTTCTGTGCTTTGATGTTTAAGACCAGACTCACCCAAGGCAGGGAGAGCAGCAGCAAAAAGTTTCGTCCTAACCATCATCAGGACTTATCAGTAGTTTAGTTTATTTAAAATGATTCTAACATAGATTTTTGATGGGAAAATACCAACTAGATTAGACAACAACATCTCCTAATATTTGTGTTTTTGCTGTTTAGTTTTGTCAAAGATTCAAGTTATTTTCATGACAAAGATACTTATTTCTCAAAGAATTTCCATTTTATTTAACTGTTTTTGTTTATTTATGAATTTTATGTTGCTTTTGCTGTAAATGAATCATTTAATTAATTTTATTATTTCTTTTATTTTATTGTACTTATTTTAAAAAAATCCTTCTTTAATCATTTATTTACTCACATATATTTATTTAGTTAATTATTTTTAATTTCTTTTTTTATTTATTTATTCACACTTGTTTTATTTGCTTAACCTTTTTCATTTATTCCTAAATTTCTTTATTTAATCTCATATTTCAATTCTTTATTTATTTACCTACTAATATTTAATTTTCTATTTAGTTCTTAAATTAATATTGCCTTTATTATCAAACATTGATCTATTTATTTATCTCCTTATTTACATATTTTTATTTTCCTACCGATTCCCTTCCCTATTTCTTATTTTTTTCAATTCATTTTTTCATTCACTCATTTATCAACTGACTATTTTATTGACACATTGACATATTTACTTTTTATTTACAAACTTTTTTTTATTTATTTCTACGTTTTTTTATTTACTTAATTTTTAATTTTCAAATTTTTATTTATATACCTGCCAGCCTTCCTACTTCATTTTATTTATTTCTATTTTACTTATTTACTTATTTTGCGGATCTTTGTCTGAGAAGCAGAAAAACTTTGGTGTTTTTCTTGAAAACTGACCTCTCATCCAACAAGAAGTCGTCCAGTTCTTGCAGCTCCTGTGTGAGATCCTCCTGTTGACAACAGAAAAGAGGATTTATTTCACTTTTTCACTTCAGTGCATCTTTTACTCTCCAGTTTTCCTCTCTTTGCTCTGGATCTCTGTTTGCCTGTTTACTCCTGAATTCCTTTTTCCACTCGTAGCAACATCATTTACACAAACACACACACTCGTCCCTGTCTCTCCTTCTGTTGTTTGCATTGTCGACTTTCCTCTCACCGGGATCGCTTTGGCAGAAAATCTCCACAAATGAGGGAGAAACTGAGGGAGAAGACGAGGAGGCAGAGAGATGATAAACAGGAAAGAGAGAAAGGCGGAGATATGAGCGAGTGAAAGACGGGATAATAGGCAAAAGTCCAGGATAACCAAAGAGGAGGAGGAGGAAACATTCATCCTGAGGAGAATGAATCTGAAAGGAGAGGAGTGAAAGAGAGGAGTAAGACAAAGAGGAAGAGATGAAAAGATAGCCTGAGCTGGGAATATGATGAGAGAGGAGGTGGAGGAGGAGGAGGAGGAGGGAAAGTTAGGAGAGGAAAGCGTAGGTGGTTGTTGCTGAATTTCTCCGTCCCCCTCCTCTCAGGCTTGGCAGGAGTCAAGTTGACTGAAACCATCTGGTGTTTTTTTTTTTATTCTGTGGTCTTTGTGCTTCACAACCTGCAGACAGACACAGGAGAGGACACGGGCTGTCTGCAGACACAAACCAGACATAAAAAAAACAAAAAACACCTCAGAGAAGTTATCTTCTAACAATGGACGGATGATAAAACCTGAATCAGTCAGTCTCTGAGAGGGTTTTAAACCTGCATCAACCTTAATCTACAGACTGCATGTTCCTGATCGTAGCAGAGAGTAAAGATGTTGGTTCATGAATATTTTGTGTGTTATCGTAGAGTTATTGTGTTATCATTTCCAGGGTTGAGGATGCTGGTTTGTAGATTTGTAGGTTTGCAGACACCTCAGATTTAAAGCTCCTGTCAGGAACTTTCTGCAGCAGCGTTTATGTCTTCCTGATATTTCACCCTTGGACTCAGGCCTGTCTGCAGAGGTAGGTCTGGGTCCAGCCCCAGTCTGTCCTCATCTTTAAGGTTTTTAATCATTTCAGGGACGATTTTTGACACTGAATTTGTGAGGATGTTGTTTTCAGTCTGTCCTCTGAATAAAGTTCTTACAGACCAGAGAAATTCACGTCACGGTCTCCAGGTCTTTGTTTTCAGTCTGATTGTGACTCTCGTCTGTCCTCCTGGTCTTGTTAGTGGACATGCGTCTCTCTCTCGTCCTGGCAGGCGTTTAAAGTCAGTCAGAGTCCCAGGAGAAAGGTTGAAGAAGCAGTTTGGACTGAAGCGAAGTCTGCAGCCTCCAAATGAGATTAGTCAGACTTTTAACTCTTTCTCAGCTCCTCTCTGTTTCTGATTATGTCCTCTTCTATGATGCTCATTGTCCTTTTTCCTCATCCATCTTCATCCATCTCTCCCACGCCCCCTCTCCCTCCCCTCTGATCCATCTTTCCTCTCGTTTGCCCCAGACTTTCTCCCCCTGTTTGTCCTTTTTTCCTCCACAGAAAGAGACCTTTGTGTCCAGATATGAGAGGAATGCCACTGTATTTTTTCTTGTTTTCCTCTAAGCTCCTCTTCCTCATCTTTCCTCCTCCTCTTCCTCTTTTTTGTGTGCCGTTGTGGTGGTGGTGGTGGGTCGGGGGTGCATCCATTAGCTGGGATTAGACACTGTAGGAGGGTCTTAACAGCCCCTCTGTGTTCGGGTTTTAATCCCCTCAGAAACAGCTAATCTAACTTCAATGGCTTTTACATGTTCAGCGCAAAATCACACACACACACACACATGTGCAAACACACACACATGTACAAACACACACTCATGTACAAACACACACTTCCTCCTGCAAATGTGTGACTGGTGTGTGTGTTTTTATGGTCAGTGTGGTCGAACCATGACGGGGTTCATTCATGAAGTGACCACAAACACAGAGGGCGCTTTATCAGCCGAATATCTGACCTACGATATCACCAGTCACTGCGATGACAAACGACCACGAGTCCGACTGGAACATGACGACCAGCTGCTGACACACACGACAGAAATCTGATTCATAGGCAGAGAGTCTGTGAGGACACGGATTCATCGGTCAGACAGGAAGTTAGTTTGACCCGGAGCCCCTTTGAATTCATACTCCTGCAAAATCATCTGCATAGAAGCAGATCCAGTTATCAGAGGAGACCTGTACGTGGAGCAGGATCGGTGTCACTCATTCAGTCTCAAAGTACGGACGATACTTTTGACCGTATCTGGTCTTATTTAAACAATCTGAGCGCGCAACGATCCGAGCGTGTTAGCCGGATTTACTTCTGTGCGCAAATCTACCTGCACAGCTCTGGTAACATTTTCATGTGCAGCTTCAACAGCCTCCGTCTCCAAATAACAGGATGGACTCTGGGCTTTGGACCAGTTTTTATTGCCCTAAGGTGGAAACCCTTTCTGCGTACTTTTTTTTTTTTAATTTATTTTTAATTTTATTTTGAATCTATTATTTTATTTTTTCCTTTTTTATTTTATCTTTTATTTTTCATTTAATATTTAGTTTTTTTAATTTGTCATTTTATTTTATTTTTTATTTAATTTGTTTATTTTTATTTATTTTTTTAATCTAATTTTTTGTATATTTTTTAATTTTGTCATTTTCTTTCATTTATTTATTTTTATATCTTTATCTTTAATTAAATCTTTTTATTTATTTTCGTTTTTTAATTATTTATCTCATTTTTTATATGTTTTTTATTTTTATCCATTTATTTTTTTATTTCTGCATCCTTGACATAGCAATGCTCCACCCTTGCTCCTGACCACACCTCATTTCAAAACAACAAATTTGTGGTTGTTAATATTTGTTTGTTTTTAATGTAATGTGGGCGCTAAAAAGTAGGAGTGCGTCCATCATCATCATCATCATCACCGTCATCGTCATGTCCTTTAAATGTGACTTTAATATGCACTAAAATTCTGACACAAAACTAACAAACATGAAAACATGAAGCAGCTCTCAAACAGGAATCGGCTCAATTATTGATGGTCAAATATTTCCTATAATCAGGTTTGTTTTTTTTTTTTTTTTGAGTCATGGATGATCCAAAAGAGACAACTTGGATTAAACAACGATGGAGAGAGCAGATATCTGAGTATTTACAGTAAAATCCTGTTTCATCTCGAGGTTAATCAGATTTCTTCACTCAGCACACTCACACTTGGATATTTGAGCAGCAGCTCCGGTTAAAAAAGTAAATCAGTTAAAGGTTTGGAGTTTTTTTAAAACTCATCAACACCTGAAGTTGTCCATCTGAATCCTTTCATATTTGTTTGCAGAATTGCATCAATGATACAGTTTATTTTGGGGAGAGTTTACTCTGCAGCAGGAAGCGAAAGCTTGCCGAATTTGCTCGCTGTAAACGCCGCTCTGCAGAGGTCAGCGCCACAGTCGGTGTCTATCAGATAAATCCTGATCCTGACCTCAGATATCAGGTCTTCAAACTGAGCTCCTCAGGAAAGTTCATCCAGACACGGATCATGGAGGATTAACCAGTTTGTGAGTCTTTTTACGACACCGGGAATCCAAACTGGAGCTGAGAGTGGAAAAAGGATTTTTATAAAACAATCAGACTGAGGATCGATTGATCGGTCGTCAAACGGCACAGAAACATCAGCTTAAACACAGAGACGACAAAGTTATCATGTCGTAGAAAGATCTGGAATCAAAGACGGTTTATTCCACAATAAGAGTAAAGCTACTGTTACAGGAAATGAAAGTAACCTGCACTTTCAGAATAAAAGCCTCTGAACAGGAAGAATCCTCAACAAACATCATTGAAAATACTTGAAGCTTCACATCTTTAACATTATTTTAAAGTATTTTATAAACGAGCAGCTCGTCTGTTTACCGGGAAACAAAAACCTGAATCCGTATGTTTGTCTGATATGAGGAACTGGAATCGGCGGCGCCGACAGCGGCGTCAGTCAACACTGACAGCTGGTTGGCTGACGGCTGAGGGATTTCTTGCACCTTTTTTATGCCAAGATGCTCAAATTAATGCAAATCCGCTCTCGGGGTAAAAGAACCTCTAGATTTGGGTCTGGTTTATCGTCTCTTCTGCTTTTATGGTTTCTCCTCACCTACAGGAAATCCCTGCTGCCATTACTCCTCCTAAATTAGACCATCTGTGCGCCTCCTCTCTTAGATACTGTTTTTGTTTGCCTCGCCGCGCTCTCGGAAAAAACCAAAAAGGATTCGGCTGATTTGACCGGTGGAGTCAGAGCGAAAGGGGGGAGGCAGGTGGGAAGTGAGACAATAGCAGGAGAAAGTGTGTGAGGGAGAGAGAGAGAGAGAGAGAGAGAGAGAGAGAGAGAGAGAGGTGAATCAGGGAGATGAAGGGAGTGGCACCGGAGAGCGAGCGAGGGAGAGGTGTGAGGGACGGAGTGGGGGATGGGAAAAAAGGGAGGGGCGGCGTGGGGGATGGGGGAGAGAGAGTGAGAGAGCGAGAGAAATATTGCTGCGTGCTGCTGGAGTCAGGGGGTTACCATGGTGATGGGGGACTGACGGGAAGAGATGGGAGAAGAGGAGGAGAGGGGAAGAGCGGCTGCGTTCATATCCACTTTAAACACAAATGCAAAATGACATTTTCCTCGACTGATCGAATCAAACGATAAACATCAAATCTGCTTTTAATTCGAACCTTCCTTCCCGGAGGAGGAGAAGGAGGAGGAGGAGGAGGAGGAGGGATGGAGGAGAGCAGGAGATAAAGAGAGAGAGAGAGAGAGAGAGAGAGAGAAGCTTTCTGGGAGGAGATGGAGAAACGTGATCCCTCACCTGGGAGCGCTGTAACTTGGAGACGGAGTTGTGGCTTCGAGAGGAAAGACGGACAAAACGAAGACTTGGATTCAGCTCCACAGTCACTAAACGAAACACTCATGATGACCTTCAACATCAGAGCGGACCAGAGGGTCCAAACACGACTTTAAAGGGATATTCTGCTGTAAAATTAATTCAGGGTCAAACCCACCGTAACACCGAGTTAGACCCCCCCTCCAGAGATGAATGTTGTCGACCGCTTGCTTCTCTAGTTATACCAACTTTAGTAACGACCGCAGGATAGCAATACAGAGAGCCACGCCCCCAACCAAAACGCCACTCTATAGCCACAAATAATGCTCAGAACAGCACCTAACTTCATCAACAGGACATATAGGGTCACAGCCATAGTACTAGACACCAAACATCTTTTTAACTTTGACTCATTTCTTTAACAAAGAGACTAAACACAACTCACCTACTCTCTTCCAGCAGACGCTTGTTTGTAGACAGACCTCAGGCCAGTCCATTACAGACTACAGCGGGGTGCCGCAGCTCAAGGAAGAACATTTATGATCCTTGAAGTAATAATCACCATATTGATCATTTTACAGACGCGGTAGTTCTTCTGTCTCAGCGTCTCAGTCTGATTGTGTTTCCATGAAGAAATGATCATAAAAAAATAAAGATAAAAAACAAATGAAGGAAACGATCGTCTGTTTACACATGCACAGAATTTAGACACAAAATACTTGACCTGCACACAAACAGCTGATGAGTATTGACTTTGATTTTTGATGTACGTCTATTCAAACAACATCTACTTTCTTTAAAACAATGAACCTCTGAAGATACTGGGATTTTATTGGCTGAATCAGCTGCTCGGCTGCAGAGTCAAAGTGCTCCGAGGACTTGGTTCAGTTTGGTGTTTCAGATCTGCGATGATACCGTCATAAACCAGAGTTAAAAAAGTGTTTCAGGAGAATTTAAAGCTGCTCATAAATCACATCTGTGAATCTGTGTGTCTGAAGCGTCGCTCAAACTCTCAAACTGTGGATGTTTTTGAGGCGGTTTCTGCGTCTGATCCTGCGTAGTCGCCGTCAGGCCTCGCTCTCTCACGCCTTGAACATGAAGAGGATGAGGTAACCGCGTGAGGAGCTGCAGAATCAAAGTACCGCCCTCTACCTGCCAGGAGGGATGAGGTGTGATGTGTGAGCGGCTGGTGGAGCCGCTGGGAGACCGAGGAGGCGAGCCAGACGAGCCTCTGGGTGGTGGTGGGTGTGCGTGGGTGGAGGGTTCAGGGGAGACGGTGTGTGGGCGGCTGGTGTGTGTGTGTGTGTGTGTGTGTCAGTGGGACTCTTCTGCATAATGTGGAGTAATTCAGGTTTATTATCGCCGGGGGCCTCTGAAACTTTACAGCTGTGCTAATTGAAAGCTGCTATAATTAAAACCTTTATATTGAACTTTAATCCACTTTCATGATGTTGGACCACAAAGTTTGAAGGTGCAGAAAGTTTTCGGACTTATTTCCAGGCTGTTGTCAGCAGAAGCGTCCTCTCTTTTTAGACTTGAATGAGTCACGCCGCCGTAGAAAACAGCGGTTGGACGTTGGTTTGATGAATCGTGGTTTTGTGTGTCTTCAAAGGCGGGACGACTGTTAACAAAGATCTTTTATTCAGCGACACAAAAGGCTGAGAGGAGACCATAATATCAGAGAGAACACATCCTCTCCAGAGCGGCTGTAAAGGTGGTCAGGATCCACCCCAGCCTGCAGCTCCTCACGTCTGAATCAGGTTTAAAGATCCAAACGCGTCTTTCTGACCAAATATAGACACAGTTCGGACAGTTTACGGCTTTACTTCTCTAAACAGGACACTAACTCAGCTGACCTGCTGTTACCCGCTCACAGTGGTGGGATACACACGTAAACAGAGATTTCACTTCATGAGGACGAGTCACAGCGCAGATCTTCGTCTGTATGAACGAATCTGAATCTGAATCTTCTCCTGCAGCTGCTGCCACTTCAAACCTGAACTACTATTTCATAAAATCTTGTTTTCATGCTTTCACATGAAGGTGGAGAAACTTGAAATGAGGATGTTTTCGTAAACACAACAAATGCTGCACTAAACTAACCTCTCCTGTGTCAAATCGCTGTTTTTCTCAGTGGGATCTGGTGGCTGTAAAGAACAAAATGTAAAGTTGAACTAATCCATCTCTCAGCGGCGATCCTTCGTTTACACTCTGACCATAACTTTGAGGAGACAGAAGAGGAGAGGAGGACAGAGCGACAGTCTTGCTCGCTGCTCTTGACGCTCAGCGGCGTTTTAACGGCGTTGGTTAAGCGGTTCAGCCGCACACATGTGATATATGATCATGTCAGTTATTGATCGACATTACAGTGGAGGAAACCATCCCACCAGCGAGGACACTTAACTCTGCAGAGGCTTACAGCGTTCATCTGAGCTCATCTGTAATAACGTTGATGATACCATGATTTAATCCGGCCTGTGTTCACGTTATTAGATTAGATTGATCAATTACTAATCTAATAAGAGGATTAAATCAAACTTTAACTGAGATCCGTCTGTAAATCCGTGGAGTTACAGTCAGACTCTCTCCTCTCTGTTGACTCTCGGGGACAGGATGATGAATGCCTGTTCTCCGGTTTTGTTTATACCGCCCTGAGCGCTCTGTTAGACTGCGGCCTTTCACAGCTGGTGCCGTTCGCCCCTCAGCGAAACGTCAAAGACCCCAGCAGGGCCGGGACGCCACCCAGAGAGCCAACTGCTGTTTACCCAGAACATACCGGCACTAATGACGGATCCGTGCGCTCCGACGCAGTCGCTACGACCAGAGAGAAACAAACACACGATACTGTCTTTGTCTTTGCGGAGGTGTGTGTGTGTGTGTGTGTGTGTGGAGGAGGGGGTAATCCAGAGGTGGCTCAACAATGTCACGCCAATAAGAGCAGATTTGAATGTGAAAGGAGTCGGGGGGCGCTGTGGGACCAGAGCGCTGAAAAGTCTCCCCGAGCTAATCTGGAAGACAAACAACGAAAAACGACCTGATAGTCTAATTTAATCCTCGACAGACAGAAATATCAACAGAGCAGTGGAGCTGAAACCAGGTCAGAGTTTCAGTTTGATCCAACAGTCACTCCTTCACAGCAGGAGGGTCCGGCTTTCAGCTCGGACTCCAAGAACTCGAGGAAAACGACCAGGAAGACCAACAAACTGTTGACCTGATGACGCGCTGTAACAGAATCTAGATAGAAGCAGATCTGTGTAAAACGACACGGCGGTCCATCGGCTCGTTCTGGACATGTTCCAGTCTGATTCAGAGTGGGCCAAGTGATGAAGCGTCCAGCACCTCTGAGAGTCAGAAAACGCTCTGTGATCCGGCGATCGTACTCATCTCCAGGACATGATGGCGGTAAATCGAGCGAGTCTGAATTAATGGGGGTTGGACGCCGTTCTCTTTATTACGGCTCGTCTTTAATGGTTGGAGCTGATAAGGACCGGGGAGTCTTCTAGTCTAAGCCTCCCCTGGAGCAGATTCACAGAGACACGCTCAAACAGAAAAGTGGGTGATGATGGCGGGATGGAGACCAGCAGGAAGAAAACAAAGAAGACGACAGCGGCGGGCGGGCGGGCAGTTTGTGTTTCTGTTGAGTTATTCATCCCCTCTCTCTTCCTCGGGGAATCCCCGTCTGCTCACACATGGACCTCAGAAGAAGAGCTGGAGGTCGACACGTGTCTGAGGACGTCTGCGGGTGTCTCTGACCGTGCGGCGGTGACTCAGCCATGACTCGTCCTGAGCGTGATAACGTTAGAGAGCAGGAAGTGTCAGAGAGGGTCATTTACCCGGAAGAGTTTTCCTCTGAACTCACAGCTCATACGGGGACAAACGGCTCATTCACAGCTGCAGGGAAAACATCATTAACGCCTCGCTGTTTCACGCACGCCGCCTTTCCGGGAAACGAACGTCAAGGGAGGGGGCGCCATTTTCTGTTTCTGATGGTTTTGGTGAATCTGGTCGGTCAGCTGGAGGAGAATCAGTTCAGATTTACAGTTAAAGGTCACGTCACACCTGACACTAAGACTGGGCGATATGTCCTCAAATCAATATCACGATATATTGATCAGTTCACCTTGATAACGATAAATAGACGATAACTACTCCACCAGCTGCTCACCTCCTCCCACATTAACTTCGTCTACTTCAGCCGCTCCAACTTTCTCTCCGTCCTCCATCTCCTCACCTGTCTTTACATCTTTGTTACAGACTGAAGGGGGTGGAGTCACGTCTCTGATGTAGGACAGCGTCTTAAAGGGACATGAGACCATAGCCTACCTACACACATCCAAAAACAACTTTGATTTATTTAGTTTTTTGTCACTGAATATATTGATATGACCAAAATGACGTTGGTTATTGTCATAAATTTCTGTATCTGTAAATATTCGGTTTCCCGCCCAGCTCTAGAATCTTTAGTGGAAGTTTCTGCATGAGCTCAAATGAGAAACCGACTTCTCTCATTTTTCAGATGAGTGTAAATTTAACTGAAATTTAACTGAAATCTATCAAATGTTTCTGCTTTAATGTCTTTTATTATTTCTGTATTTATTTATTTGGTTTGTCTTTCTGTGTTTGTGGATAAATCTGTAAATATTCTAGTTCATCTTTATTTGAACGTTTTATTCTTCCTCCTGTTTCTTCATTCACTTTCTGACCGAACCTTAAAGACGTTATTTGCTGCGAGAAGATAATGATTAAAATGTTCTGTATCAAAATTTCTCATTATGTCGGCATTAACGTAATCCTGATGAGGTGAAGTTCGTTAAAACACGATTTTTTTTAGATTAACGGTCTCCGAGTGTCGCTTTATTAAAATTTCAGTTACATATTCATGAAGGCGAACGTGAAGGACATCAGGGAGGGATCTACACACACACACACACACACACACACACACACACACACACACACACACACACACACACACACACACACACACACACACACACACACACACACACACACACACACACACACACACACACAGATGAAGATCAGATCACCTATATGTTGCTGCTGCGGGGCGTAGCTTGGTCAGCATTTGTGTGTGTGTGTGTGTGTGTGTGTGTGTGTGTGTTTAAATGTGAGTGTATGTAATGAATAATGAATTTAGGTGAATTTAGGTCAGGCAGCCAACCGGGAGTGACAAACGGGGGGGTAGCTCTTTCTTACCTCTCTCTCTCTCTCTCTCTCTCTCTCTCTCTCTCTCTCTCTCTCTCTCTCTCTCTCTCTCTCTCTCTCCCTCTCTCTCTCTAATCTCTCCATCCACACTTCCTCGTTCTTCCCCTCAGATCGGAATCTATCAATGAATTAATTTCTCGCTCCGTCGCTTCCTCTCCGTCCACCTGGACCCTCCCTCTCTGATCCCCGCCCCCCTGATCCTTGCTCCCGCCTCAGGCCTCCCAATGGACCCCCTCCCCCTTTCTCTGGTCCACCTGCCGGCCCCTTAAAGCCCCCTCAGGTTCTGAGGGACCCGGCTCAGGACTCGGGGGAGGAAGTCGGTCCGGTATGTTAAACAGTCCAGGAGGGATGAACAGCGCCTGCAGGGTCTGAACCGGCTCAGGTCCTGTCAGAGAGATTTACGGCAGGTGTTACAGACACGCCTCTGATTGGCCGGTTATCAAACCTGATGTGTTTATGGCGCCTTCAGAGTAATCTAACAGAATCCATGTTATTGATGAGGCTTCAAACCAACGATACACGGATGAAGAAGAAGAAGAAGAAGAAGAAGAAGAAGAAGAGGAAGACGTAACAGAAGTGTCATTTAGTGTGAATGAAGACGTGTTTCTTCAGCTTTGAGGTCAAAATAACCAAATTAAGAATCTGGATATGAGCTGTTAGAAAAAACAAGAGCAGTTTAGACACTCTAACCTCCGATCTCCACCTTCATCCTGATCGTCTCCTAAAAGGTCGTATCCTCCGATCGTAGTTGATCGTAAACATTCAAGTTAACGTGTCAATTTACACCGACTTCTTTACGTTCCTCTGAGGATCGTCGGACTCGTCGTTATCGTGCGACTGAACGTGAAGCCGCTGGCTCTTGGAAGTTCTTGCAATTACCGCTGTTCGTAATCTGCCACGAAATTCGCCTCATAAACGCATCTGGTAAGAATTGGCAGATGGTGAAAATCGCCGCCGTTCCAGATGCGGTGAGAATTGGGGGGTACATGAATGATCAGGCTAATTCAGCCCCGTCAGAGTAGAGTTAGAGGGTTGGATTCTTCGCACCTCAGACTCTTTTTTTACCTGCAAAGAAACGACAGATAGAGGACTTACACATCTAAAAACCCTGAAAAATGGACTTCTTGTGCTTCTACTGTTCTGACTTTTACACAAACGTCTGTAATCTGAACATGAAACTTCCAAACATGGATTATTGATGATTATTGATGATTATTGATGAGTGTTTGAACATGAAGGCCTCTAATTTCCTCTTATTCCAGATCTATTTCCTGTCTTTTCTCGTTGTGTCTCTGAAAAGTCTTCCTGCTCATCACTCGTCTCTAAAATCCTAAATGCACTCTCCTCCCTCGCGTCCTCGTTCCCTCGCTCCCTCGCTCTAAACGCCTCTCAGACTGATTTAATTCGAGAGGCTGTAACCCGTCAGGAGCGGTGAGAGTCGAGCTTTAAATGTCGCGGTGAGATTATGATTGTTGCTGTGAAGACGAGTCTGTCAGCGGAGGTCAAGTATCTCTCAGACGCAGCCTGAATAAAAAAACACAGAGAGGAAGTCGAGGCGGCCGCCACGGTCGGTCTGTAGATTAAGACTTAACGCCGTAATGAGTGGTGGCCCTCCCCCCTCCTTAACTCAGCCGCTGTAGGAGGTCCATGAATATTTAAATCAGAGGAAGTCGGCATGAATAACCAAATCCTCGCCAGAGTCAGAGTGTAAAGTCAGAGCGTGTTCGGGGCGTGTGTGTGTGTGTGTGTGTGTGTGTGTGTGTGTTTGTGTGTGTGCGTGTGTGTGTTATTGTGGGAGCAGGAGCATGCTGGGACATTTCCCAACGACCATCACTCATTTTCTGCACGTCTGATACTTTTCTGTCTGCATGACGAGGACCCCCACCGCAGGTCGTTATCTTTCCCTCGTTAGTGCACAACACACACACACACACACACACACACACACACACACACACACACACACACACACACACATGGCTCATGTCCCACAGTTCTTTTTGGATCATTTATTTTGTAAATAAGCCTGGCAGGTAACAGCAGCCCCAAGGGTCGGGGGGGCAGCTGTGTGTGTGTGTTCATGTGTGTGTGTGTGTGTGTGTGTGTGTTCATGTGTGTGTGTGTGTGTGTGTGTTCATGTGTGTGTGTGTGTAGCAGAGAGAAAGAGTCATAATTGACAACAACAGCAGACTAGATGAGTGAGGACCTGACAACAATAGGAGTTGAAATGGGGGTCATGTATGTTTCCTGTCTATCTGTGAGTGAGTGTGTGTGTGTGTGTGTGTGTGTGTGTGTGTGTGTGTGTGTGTGTGTGTGTGTGTGTCCTTGAAGCAGGGCAGATGACTGTGTGAGTGTGTGTGCTGTGGGACAGGTTGCGTAATTATTAGATGAAGGAGGGGGTCTACATTAGCCAGCTGTCACTCCTTACCCCTCACTAGGACTCGTGTGTGTGTGTGTGTGTGTGTGTGTGTGTGTGTGTGTGTGTGTGTTACAGTCCCAGATTGATAAGTTATGACATATCCTGTGACCCCCCCCGCCCGCTCTGTTCAGTTGTGCTGATTTATCTTTAGGAGACTTTGGAGCTCATGTGGTGATTTCCACTTCAGAGTCATGTTATTGTTGTTGTTTATGTGCAAAAAAAAAAACATTTAAGTTTTCCTAAATTTGCTGGAATAATTATAAATAACAGTGTTGGAAAAAAGCAGAAAAAATGTTCATTTAAATTTAGAATTTGATGGTTTGCAAAAAACAAGATTAAGATGTAAAAACAGAGATTTTGTTAAAATATTATATAAAATTATATAAATAAAATTTGTGTTTTATCAACAGAAAATAATATCATTAAAAGACATTAAAGCAGAAATATTTGATAGATTTAAGTTCAATATAAACTCCTCTGAAAAATGAGAAAAGTCGGATTCTCATTTGAGCTCCTGCAGAAACTTCCACTACAGAGTCTAGAGCTGGGCGGGAAACCGAATATTTACAGATGCTGAAATTTATGACAATAACCAACGTCATTTTGGTCATGTCGGTGTATTCAGTGACAAAAAATAACAAATAAAAGTTGGTTTTGGACGTGTAAACATTTTTTTAAAAAGCGACACTCAGCAACCGTTAATCTAAAAAAAATAAAAATAACGTGTTTTGACGAACTTCACCTCATCAGGATCATGTAAATGGCGACATAATGAGAAGTTTTGAAACAGAACATTTTAATCATTATCGTCTCGCAGCAAATAACGTCTTTAAGGTTCGGTCAGAAAGTGAATGAAGAAACAGGAGGAAGAATAAAACAGGTGAGGAGATGGAGGACGGTTCAAAAGTTGGAGCGGCTGAAGTAGATGAAGTTAATGAGGGAGGGGGTGAGCAGCTGGTGGAGTAGATATCGTCCATTTATCGTTATGGAGGTGAACTTATCAATATATCCTGATATTGATCTGAGGACATATCGCCCAGCCCTAACAGAGTCCTGTCTTTTTATTGTACGATGAGCCTAAAATTTCTCCAATTTCTCTGATCATTTTACAAAATTATTTCCTGTAGATAAAACACAACTCTTATTTCATCTCAAAGTCTTATTTTTTTTTCTTAATATGGCCCTAATACTCCGTCGTACTTATTTATTATAATTATATAATATTTTATAAATTATTATTTTTTTAAATTAACGTAAATAAATAAATAAAAATAAAGTAAAATAAAAATAATTTAAATGAGCCCAAAATGAAAAGCTAAAAATCTAAATCTGTTTTTAAAATGATTAAAAAAAAAAACTGCATGAGGACGCAGCTCTGAGAGAATCATGTGACCTGGTCCTGGATGTTGGAGGTTAATGAACAGATATCAGAGGTGAGGGTCCGGTTCCTCCTGGTTCGGCTCAGTTTTCCCATAAATGGAGCTGCAGCCTGATGTTACCAGCTCTGAAGTCCTGCTCAGATATTTTTAAACTGACTGTGAGTTTTTTAAAAGTGCACAGCGGATTTTAAGAGGATTTCACGAGCTTTACATCAACCCACGGAGGAGCGTGTAATCCCTGACTTTGAGTAAAAAAAAGGAAATGACCAAAGTTGGAGCGCTGAGGTTTTGGCCCGCGTGTTTAAGGGAGATATAGAGGAACAAAAGGGGGAGAGCCTGATCCATCTGCTGTCAGCCCCCCTCCACACACTCCTGCTGTCACGGGTCAGTGTTCAGTCAGCAGCCGGGACAAAAGAGAAGATGTTTAGACGAATGAGAAAGCAGTCGATACAGCACAAACACACACACACACACACACTGCGTCTCTTTGTAATGTCATTAGTGGAGAAGATGTTTCCTGCTGCTCTGATCTGATCCTCCGTCTTTATCAGGATGACCTAATCCTTCGCCTTTGACTCACACACACACACACAGAAAACAGGCGTCCTTTGTCTTAAACTGAAACTTAAATATATTTACAGACTTCCTTTAAATATTGGAGTTCATTTAAACTTCAAACAGACTCATCAGCTCCAAAGTTAATTGTGAATTTTTAATTTCTAGGTCAACATTAATTCAGATTAATATTTGTCTTCTTCCTGTTTGATGAATTTAATGATGTCTCCTCTTTCTCCCTCCTCCCTCCTCCCCTCCTCTCCTCCTTGTGCCTCCTTTGTTCTCGGGTCACCCCTCTCCCCTCCTCTCCTCCCCCCTGTTCTTCCTCTCCTCTCCACAGACGCAGCAGAGTTTGGAGAGCGAAAACACACACACACACACACTCTTGTTGTTTACTCGCCGTCTCTCTCCAGAGGGTCCGGGACGTCCCTGGAGTGTGTGTCTGCTCGGGTGCTCACAGGGTGGGAGGAGTTTTATGTGTTGATGAATGTGTGGGTGTCTGGCGTCACTTTTCATGGGACATTGAGAGATGTGTGTGTCACAGCGTCGGTGGACGGGCTGTAGGGGGCCGTGCTCCCCCGCCCTCCCCCTGGTCCTCCTCCTCCTCCTCCCTCTATCCTTCCTCTCCTCCACACCTCCGCTCGCTCAGGGAGCCATCCAGATCCCCGAAGGCTGTGAGTAAACACCTCTCACTCTTTCACTCCGTCATACCTGTGTCTCACCTTTCAGTCTCAAAACACTCCTGGTTATCGTCCATAAACACACACACACACACACACACACACACACACAAGAGTGATACTGGGACTTTCAAACAGACACTAAAGGGTTCCTCGAAAACTCGGGGGTGTCTAGAAACATTCTCCAGGACGGCTCAAGAAAGACGCCAAAAAGTACCTTAAATAAGTCGTTAAAGGCTCCTGACAGAGTCGATAAATTAGCCTTAAAAGAGACACCAAAGGGTTCCTTAAAACAGGAACCATGAACCTGAAAACACACGACGAGGGTAGATTACAGACAAAACCTCATCTCAAAACGTAGGAGAATACGACCTAAAAATGCACTTAAGAGGTCAGCGAAATACGCTTAAAGTATACCTGAAAACAGACACTAAACCTGAAAACAAGGAAACCTTAAAAAGACACCAGAGGAGGCGAAAAACAGACAATTTATAGTTCCTACAGTAAAATAAAAGCCAACTTAAGAAAGACACTTAAGAGTGAGTTTAAACAGACTCTGAATGGGACCTTATACAGATGCCACTTATTAGAGTAAATATATGCTTAAGTTTACCATAAAACAGACACTCAATAGTTCCCTGAAATAGACTCTAATGGGACCTAAAGACAGACACTAAATGATAACTAAGAGAAACCTCAAAACTGACACTTCAGGCCACCTTAAACTAACGCTTAAGTCTACCTTAAAAGACATTTAAAGTATCTTTAATCAGAGAATTAAGTTAACTCTTACAAAGACACTTAAGTTTACCTGACAACAAAAACTTCATGGACCTTAAAAACGCACCTGTAAACAAACACAAAGCTGTCCTTCAACACGATGATGACTGAACTCTTTTTCATTTTAAACAGACTCTTAAAATCAGACACTTAAGTGAATCATGAAATAAAAGCCAAACATTTAAATGAAGAGGTTCACACTGACACACCGAACATGTTTTTAAAAGGTTTCAGTGGAAAAAGAACTCTTTTAAAGTGTTTTAGTTGATTTTCATGAAGATTTTGATAATAACTGCAGTTGTCGCTGGTTTTGCTGAGTCATGTTTTCCTTTAATTGCAGGATCATGTTATTAAAAATGAAAACTCATAGATAACTAACTAACAGCTAACGTCACATGATCACGGAGGATCGTTTTAAAAAATGGTTCCTGATTAAAGTTCATCGATCGGTGGTTATCGTTCTTCAAACTCATCTTCACTAAGAGAAATTTCACTTTTAAAAGGATCCACTTAAGCGCTAAAGCAAATATCCTGATCCTCACAATGAGGTTTACAATGACCTCTGACCCTGGAGGTGAAGTTCAAAGGTCAGAAATCTGAGGCCCTGATGGTCCCAGAGGACAGGGAGGGGGGGTAAGAGGAGGAGTCAGGTCCAGCTCGACCTTGAGGCAAAGACTCTCTACTCTGGGTGTGGCTGAGAGAGAGAGAGGAAGAAACCAGAGACTGAGGGTGATGAAGAGGAGGAGGAAGATGAAGGTGAAGACGTGAGGAAAGAGAGGAAAGAGAGGGAGGGAAGGGTGGAGACGGAGACGCAGAGGGGGAAAGATGTAAATTGATCCGGGACGCCGCCATCGTGTCTGAGTCAGAAAAGCGAGAGGAAGACGGATCCTGTAGTCTGACCACTTTAACGTTTATTTATAACCAAAATAAAAACACAGAAAAGCCTCTTCATCAGAGTTCACATCCTCCTACAGCTTCCTCTGTCTTCACCCTCTAACCTGCTGTCTTTGTCTGAGTGTTTTTTTCTGCTCTCCTCCCCTCGCTCTCGCTCTCCCGTGGACAAACAGATAAAGTCTCCAACAGTAAGTCTCTCTCTCTCTGTGTGATGACACTGTGTTCCCCTCACCTCCATGATAGAGGACGTCAGTCTGATCGGTCTTATTATTCGTGCTGCTGTGTTGTGTGTTTGTCCTCCATCATCTCTCTCTGCACGTCTGTCTCCTCACTGAGCACCCACTCGGATGGTTTTAGGTGTGGGAGTCCCTACAGAGCCGAGAGTCTGCAGATTTAGACATTTAACAAAAGTCAAACAAGCCGGAAAGAGTCGCTTTCGTTTGTTCCTTTTGCATTTTTTAAATCTTTTCCATTAAAATTCGGACGAGAGTTTCTGCTGTCGTGTTTTACCCAACACTGTGCATGTCTTTGTCTAAAGACGGGAATAAATAATGAAAACTAAAGGAATAGTTTGACTTTTTTTTGCAGAGAACAATGTGGTATCAGTAAGAAAAAGAAGAACACCTTAAACCTGCAATCTTTTAACTGCCAGTAGGGGGCGACTTCATTTATTACCCCCAATTGGGTCCCAAGTAAGTCCAACTGTCCTTTGAATGAAGAACTGGAAGTCATAGATGCTGCATCCTCAGTTTCAGACAATATCTCCAGGTTTAGGTGAAACATCTGAATCCACCTTTAAGTAGCTGTTCTGGATGAAGGTGGAAGATGAGGGTCACAAACATTTTTTAACTCTTCCTGCGTACAGAGAGGACAGGAAACGAATTTTGTTGATTCGTATGAAAAGTTTGTCCAACACAGTCAAACTATTCCTTTAACGGGATCTGTCCATAAATCTGCAGACCGCCGCTCGCTCGCTCCCTCCCTCGCTCCCTCTCTGTGAAGTTTTGAGTTTTTGCTGCTTTAAAAGCTTTCTCCATGTTTGAGTCGCTCAGTCAGCCACTTAGAGCAGGATGTGGTCCCGGTCCATTACATGCTTTTATTTCTGTTCAGTTTTGACTGTTATCATTCGATGTGATTCAGAAATGATCGATATTTGATATGAATTATTGAACTGCTCTAATAACATCATCAGAAGTTTTAAAAGCCAGAGAAAAGTAGAAGAGACCACAAATTAGACGATTTTAGAGGAGAAAATTGTACGTTATTGTGTGTAACTGTGTGTGTGTGTGTGTGTGTGTGTGTAACTGTGTGTGTGTGTGTGTGTGTGTGTGTGTGTGTTCAGTGTCTAAACCTCCAGTGTTGATGGAGACGCCAACGTCGTACACCGCCTTTTATACAGACGACATCTATCTGCCCTGTGAGGCCACCGGTAACCCAACGCCCACGTACGTACAACAGCCAGTGTGTGTGTGTGTGTGGATAATTGACAAACCAGACGTGTGCATGTGTCTGGTTTGTCCACTTCCTCCCTCCAGCTTCGTGGTTGGCATGGCGATAGATGTCCTTCTAATGAAATCACTACAGTAACAGCATCATCGCTCTGTTCTTCCCTTCCTCTTTGTCTCCTCCTCCCTTCCTCCTCCCTTCCTCATCTCCTCTCCTCTCTGACCTTAAGCCTTATGTCTTCATTTTTGTCTCGCTGTTTCCCGTCCACATCAAGAAATTCAAGAAAAAGTTACAGTTCAACATAGGGCTGGGCAAAAAAACGATAACAGTACATATCAAAAATTAATTTCCCTTGATATTGATGTAAAACATGATCAATATCCTTTTCAATACTCGGCATTCTGACATGTTTTGGTCGACTATACGAACAGCCAATGAAAAGGGGAGTTTCTCCGGGTCTGAACCAATCATGAGCTGAATTGTATCAACCAACTGCGTCGTAGCAGACAGCAGCTCCACCCAACCATAGCACTTTAGTCGTCGGTGGTGTGGAGGTATTTTGGTTTTTGGAGGTCGGACATGAAGCAGAGTAATGTGGACTGTAAATTATGTCGAGTACATGTTCTCACAAAGTCGGGGAATACCTCACCATTCAGTCCGTTTTCTCTAGAACAACGCCTTACAACAAAACGTCGACACAAAGACCTCACAGATTCAGTAGATTATTGTATAAAAAAAGACATGCGACCGATAAACACTGTTACATTTATTATTTTATATCCTGATATTTATCGATATCAGCTGATACGAAGAAAAATATATGGTGATAAACTTTCTCCCGTATCGCCCAGCCCTACGTCAACAAGAGTCAAAGTCGAATATTTTGATGTGATCAGATTACGTTTAGATCTTGTTTCCTCTCTGCATGTTTTTGATTTCCAGTCAGCGCAGTGACTTCATGATGAACATCTGTCTCCTCTTGTCTTTAGTTTCCGCTGGGTCAAAGACGGACAGACGTTCGGACTGCAGCTTTCGGGGTCCGGGACTCTGAAAGCCAACGAGAAGGATCCTCTCGATAGGTTCAACGGCAGCTACCGCTGCTACGCCTCCAACGAGCTGGGGACCGCCATGACACAAACCGTCCAGGTCATCGTAGAGAGTGAGTTTGACATGTGTCCTCAAACGTCCACGCTGACACAAACGCCATGTTTCCTCACAAACGCTGACTCAGATCATGGCGTGAATGAAGCGTTATGAAGGATGTACAGTGGAACAGGAAATATCCTCACCCCTCACCCTGTTTCTGCCTCCTCCCACACAAACACAAACACACACAAACACACACACGCATCAGTGACTCAGCAAGGTTGACCGGGGCCACCTGTTCCACTCTCTCATCTCTTGTTACCCCGGCAACCATTTCCTGGAGACAGAGCCGTGACGTCGCTCTGCCAGGAGGGTTGATGAGGGGATGCTGGGAAGTTTCAACTGACTGAGAGGAGACATGGTTTTTACCGGCAGCAGTTTTTACAAGTTTGACCTTTGAACCTCTAAAACACTCCTCTTTAAAGACGTGTTTATTCTCTCACTACGATGTGCAAACCTGCGCAGATAAACGCAGCTACTGCCCCCTAATCCAGACCCTGAAACTACATCTACTTCATCACATTATCTGCCTTCGTTGTAGTAGAAACTTTGCAGAGTACACAGTCTGGTCTTTGTTTTCAACGTGAAGTAGAAGCTTAAAGAGAAAAACCTCAGCTGGAGAAAAAAAAACTCACTGAAGCAGAAAAAGGAGCACTGACTCACCGCAGACTCACTGCAGCAGCTCTGCATCATTTACTGAACACAAACACAACCGTCAGAGCTGACTTCACACACTTTAGAGGGAAACAGACAAATTCATACAAACTTCACCTCGAGTCTCAAGTTTCTTTTTACCCAAATATTTACGACCCTTAAAGGTGTTGTAGTCAGGATCTGAGGGAGAAATCTTGAATGTAAACTCTACTCCTCCCAACCAGTTTTCCCCTCAGCTCCTCCCCTCAAGCCCCGCCCACAAACAGACGCTCCTGCTCGTTCGTATCGTTCCAGTTAAATTCAGATATAATGCAGATAAATACTTCAGATCATTACAAATGGGGCCCAGTCAAGGTGAAAGTCAAAAGCATTGGTGCTACTGTAGATGCCAACAGACTACCAGCAAACACAATGTTTGCAGGACTTCTACAACGAGGATAAAGTGACATAGTCCAGGACCCGAGGGAGGACAGTTTAGCGATGGCGCTACAACACGCTACAGCAGGTCCGTTTGACAAGAAACACTTCTGTTACAGACGTCTCTTAAGAAGAGACGATCTCATAAAGTCTGTTTATTTCTGGATAATTGAAGAAATAGGGCAGCCTCCATCTTTGAGTTTGATTCCAGGTTCCTCAGCTCCACACTGCCCCCGGTGGCTATAAGGGTGAGGTGTGCATTAGAGGTTTATCTCCTCTAATCGGTTTTTAAAGGCAGCAGGTGATCCGGTTTAAAGTGACGCCCCTGATGTTCTGCTGAAGTTCTGATCTAATCCTCTGGGTCTCTGTGTTCCAGCTCAGCCCATCCTCCTGAAACAACATAAAGTTCGTGTGAAATCTTACGAAGGCGACAGCATCGTCCTGTCCTGCAGCCCTCCAGACAGCACCGACCCCCCTCACATCCACTGGATGGACAAGAGTGAGTCTGTTTCTCATCCTGGCTCTGTGTTTTCTGTCCCGTTTATTAGCTTTCATTCAGGGTGACACACAGACGGACACTTTGTCCCCCATTAGTCCTCCAGTCTGCCTGTGTCTCTGCTTCTCTGTCTCATATCTGAGCCGCTCTGTGGGATTTCTTCTGCATCCTTCAGTCCACCTGACGGCCCCGTTGGAGGGATTTGCATCAGCGCTCTGCATTGCAGACTCTTTCCACTCAGACTAATGAATGCAGCACTCTCTCTTTTGGCTCTTTTTTATTTATATATTTTTCACTTTCTTGTCCTTCCTCCTCTCTCTCCTTCTCTGTCACTCGCCTGTTAGATAAAGTCGAACCTTTTAAGTCGTCAGTTTAGTTTCACTCACTCAGGAAAGTCGATACTGTAGTGAATTAGAAAGACTTCTTACTTTGCCTCCCTGGTGCACGTTTAGGAAGATAAGCATGCTTGAAGCTCTCTCTAAAAACTACCTGAAGAATAAATACGACATCTGCTCAGTCCGCCTCCTGTCGTCTTTGTCTGGTTCGTTTCAGGAATGGTGCACATAAAGCAGAGCGACAGGGTGACCGAAGGCCGGGATGGAAACTTGTACTTCTCTAATGTCTTGAGGACTGACAGCAGAGACGACTACATCTGCAACGCCCAGTACCCTACAGCCAGGACCATCCTCCCTGTAGCCGCCGTCTCCCTCACTGTCCAGCGCAGTAAGTTCACACACAATCAAGACCAACAAAAACCTGGTCCTGAGTCTGAAGTCTGACGTGGTGCATGAGTGCATCAGGGTGGAGCCTCTCATCCAAACTCTGTTTGTTTTTTGGTCTGTATTTCTGCACATCGTCTGCAAACCTGCAGATATACCAAATGTTGCAATACCATCAGAGACCAGAGGGGGCAGGAGAGCCAAAAGTTCAAACTTTAGACTGTTGAAAAACATGAAATATGATACTAGACTTGGAAGAACTGAATCCAGATCTCTGAGTTGTGTTTCAGAGATTATCAGCTGCAAATGCTGTCTCTGCGTCTGTTTTCTCCACCGCTCCAACGATGACCCGATGTTTATTCACCTTAGATTCCTCGCTTGGTCACATGTCCTCTTTGACTCCACCCTTTCTTCTGTCGGCTTGCGTTTTTTTTTTAGCGTCCTTCTCCATCGCAGCTCCTGTAGCTAAGCTGCTACGCTACTTTTAGCCGCTCAGAGCTCCGAGGAGGGCCGGGTGAGTGGGAGGGGACAAGTCGGAACTACAGGAGAGGGGTGTGTCCAATACAGCGAGGTGATTGGATGGAGAGGCCAAGCAGGAGATTGACCAATAGGAGCTGTCCGGGACAGATGGCTCCCATTGGTCAATGTTTTTGCAGCCCTGTAGCTGATAGGGTGAACAGATTTTTCCCCATTCGTTTTTCACTTCCCTTTGTGGAGATCGCACTTTATGACCATGATCGCCATAGAAACGAGGTTTATAATAAAACCAATCTCTCCAATCATCGACCATGACTCTAATTGAAGCAGAATTCAACCTCCTCCATCGTCACCATGTTTGATGTCGAAGGAAATATTCAAGTCCAGGTGGATAATGTCCTGTCAGATGTGCAGCACCTGTGCAGCACCTGTGGCGGCGCTATTTTCAAACGTCAGGGGAACGTAAACGAGTCATCAGAGGGAAACAGAGGACATAAGACGAACATCCACGTTTATGTTCTGCTTTGTCTGCAGGTAACGACGTGGTTCACGAAAGGAGACCTCACTTCTTCGTTCCTGAGGGACCCCACTCCTCGGTGCTGGCTGTCAGAGAGCAGACCGTGGTCCTCGAGTGTATCCCCAAAGGCCTGTGAGTCCGTCTGTGTACCAAATCTAATCACAGCAGTAACATGTGACCCGTTCATGTCAAGATGGTGGAAATATAAACTTTTTTTAAACTTCATTTGTCTTCATGTTTTCCTCCCTTAATCGACCACCTCTCTGTTCCTGCTCCTCCAGACCGACTCCGAAGGTGGAGTGGAAAAAGAAAGACGGGAACCTAGAAGACACGAGCGCTCAGCTGGAGAAACACAACCGCTGGCTGCGCTTCGAGAGCATCACCCAGGAGGACGACGGCGAGTACGAGTGCAAAGCCGTGAACAGCCACGGCTCAGTCGCGCACTCCTTCACCGTCACTGTGGAAGGTACAGCGGGTTTCTGCTCTGACCGTGAACGTGGGTTAAAGTCAGCTCTCCAAACTAAGGTGGAGGTGTTTGTGTTTTGTTCTGCAGCTGCTCCGTACTGGGTGAAGGAGCCTCTGAACCAGCTGTACTCTCCTGGAGAAACTGTGCGTCTGGACTGTCACGCCGAAGGGATCCCGACTCCCACCATCACCTGGGGGATAAACGGGCAGCCAATCACAGGTGGGCTTGATTTAACTCTTGTTTTATTTTCTGGAGAAAGGTTAGAGCAGCTGCAGAAGGATGGAGTTCAGCTGTTTCAGAGTGAAACTTCTCTGTCAGAGCTTCTTCCCCCTCAGACTTTGGTGCAGAATGAAGTCAATGTTAGCTGCCCTCAAAGTGCAACAACAAGCAGTTTCTACAGCGAAGAGTCAGAACACCACAGGGGTTTACTGCATTCAGGAGGATGAAGAGATTTAAGATCAAACAAAGAGAAAGAGAGAGAGAGAGAGAGAGGACAGAGAGGTAAAAGGAGAGAATCTGGACCATAAAGTAACAACAGAAGAAGAAATAAAGGAGCGCTCCGTAAAATGAAAACGACAGCAGAAAGTGAGAGAGGTGATGAATAATAGTGCGTTAGCAGTTGCTGCTCGATCCTCCATATTTAAGTGTCTCTTTGGCGTTTTGTCGTAAGGCGTTGCTCTAGAGAAAGCCGACTGAATGGTCGTCTGTTTCGGCTCCTCGCTCCTCTCGGAGTTTGTAACCTTTTGCGTTGCGCGTGCTCTGCGGCGTGGCGCTGCTTCAGGTGGTGAAAAAGATTTGAGGTATTCCCCGACTTTGTGAGAACATGTACTCGACATAATTTACAGTCCACATTACTCTGCTTCATGTCCGACCTCCAAAAACCAAAATACCTCCACACCACCGACGTTTTCCTAACGCCAGTGTTGTGGTTGACATTGATGTGGTCATCTGTTGAGCCTTCATGGTCATTTCTGTCGGGGGTAGCACTCATTTTCTTTGTTTCTCACCAACAGTGCTGTCGGCTTCACCTGTTAAAGTGCTATGGTTGGGTGGAGCTGCTGTCTGCTACGACGCTGCAGTTGGTTGATACTTGGTTCTAATTCAGAACATGATTGGTTCAGACCCGGAGACACTCCCCTTTTCATTGGCTGTTCATATAGTCGACCAAAACATCAAAACTATCAAAAAGGATATTGACTATATTTTACATTGATATTGAGGGAAGTTAATTTTCCATATATATCGTTATGGTTTTATCGCCCAGCCCTAACTGAGAGTCAGTAAAGATAAGTCATATAACAGTAATTGTCCAAAATAAAGCGCTGTATCACCACAGATACTAAACCCATTAAAACAGGTTCAGCTCCGAACTCAAAGTATAAGAAAAAACCCACAGGTAGATAAACAGCAGACAGTAAAACTCGCCAAAATTATGGTCGCATAATCACACAAAACCGAGTTACAAAATCCCAAGACGTAAACAAACATCTTATTACACAAATCATTTTAGTCGAGTAACTGAACTAACAAACTAACGAATAACTGAAAACACGGCGTCCGGTAAAGGACAAATGGCGACGCATAAACAATGTACCAGCGCCGTCTGCTGACTTATGTAGGTAACTGCCTTACACAAAGTTCAATGTTTGTTTGTTTCAGCCGCCGTGTGCACACTTACTTTAATTTAGAAGGACATCTGTATGTTGGTATCGCTGCACATACCTGTTTCCCACATTATTAACGGCCAGGCTCCCGGTCCTCACCGGCATCTCTCCTCCGGGTCCAGCCGTATCCTTCGAACCGCACCTCCTCAAACCTCCTCCTCCTCCGCCATGACTCCCCTCCTCGTCTCCACAAACTCCGGCAGCAGTAGTAGAGCTCCCGAACAAACGTGTTTATTTTACTTCTTTAACCGACAAAAACGGAATAAAACCCGACAAATACATTTATATTTATATATATATATGTAATCCACACACATTCCCTGCGGCAACATTTGCGCGGTCAAAAAACTGTTTCCACTTCCGGGCGGAGCACCTGCCCAGATTATAAGGTTCCTACCTGAGTGAGAAAAACTCCACATCCCCATGTAAACAGTGATAACACAGTTTTATTTCATAATATCTGCGACTACAAATGGGATCCAAGTAAAAGAGAGATAAAGAGGGAGAAGGAGGGATAGAAGGAAGCGAGGAAAGGACGAAGGATTCAAAGATTTAGGTTTCAAAGGAGGGATAAAAGGAAGCGAGGGAAGGATGAAGGATTCAAAGATTTAGGATTCAAAGAGGAGTGTGTGGGGGGGGGGTTACAAAAACAAATGAACAATAAAAGGATAATTAAAGAAGTGAGAAAGAAGGAAAAAGGAAGGGTGGAGGATAGAGGAGATAAGGAAACAAAGGAAAGGAAGGAAAGAAAAAAGTCAACCCTGACCCAGAGAGAAGGATGAAGTGAAAAGAGAGAAAGAGAAAGTAAAAGGCATTTAAAGGAAGATTAAAAAGAGAGAGAGAGAGGGGGGGGAAAAGTAAGGAAATAAAAAAGAGGAAAAACAAACAAACAATGAAAGGATAATAGAGAAAAAAGAGGAAAAGGAAAAATAAGAAAGAATAAAAAATAAATCTACCAAAAACAGCAACAAAGAAAAAAAGATGAAAGAAGAAAAAGAAAGGGTGAAGGATGGAGGAGATAAGCAAACAAAGGAAAGGAGGGAAAGAAAAAAGTCAAGAAATAAAGGAATGTAGAAAGAAAGAAAGAAAAAGAAAGAAGTGGAGGAGGGTTAAAGAGAAGAAAAGAGAGGAGCAGCAAAGAGAGAGAAAGAGAGAGAGAGAGAGAGAGAGGGCGGACGTGGAGTCTGTGGAGTTTGTAGCAGCTGCAGCTTCTTCTGCTGGTCGACGTTTTTCTTATTTAAACATTTCTTTGTGTTCCTGAAAGTTTCTCTTTGACAAACTCTTTTTCACCTCCTCCTCCTCCTCCACCTCCTCCTCTATAGAAGTGGACGAAGAATCTCGCCGCAGCGTGTCTGGCGGCGTGTTGATCCTGAGGGACGTTGTGTTTGCAGACACCGCCGTGTATCAGTGCGAGGCCACCAACACACACGGCTCCATCCTCCTCAACACTTACATCTACGTCGTCGGTACGGACCCTCTGCTGTATCAGACCCTTTATACTCATGACCCCTGACCTATGACTGACCCTGAGAGTGTGTGTGTGTGTGTGTGTGTCAGAGCTGCCTCCTCAGATCCTGTCCTCTGATGGAGTCGTGTACAGAGTCACTGAGGGTGGAGACGTCATGCTGCACTGTGAATCCTTCGGCTCCCCTCGACCACATCTGACCTGGTGAGAAACACAAACACAGAGTAAAGGAGGGCGTGTCCGACCAGCTCAGCTCTCATGTTTTTATACATCAAATACAGCTGCAGAAAAATGACTGTTTTAAATCTTGGTGTAAAAGTTGACGATGATTTTAAAGAGTCTTTACCTGAACTCTGCTCACTGATTTACATGCAGACGGTGTTACTATTTCTGATAGTGTAAATACTTGTATACTATGTTTTATATATTGTGTTTGTTCTTTTTTGGTAAACCTGAATGTTTTTTCAAATGTGTTTTCTAAATAAAGTGGATTGGTTTGTTTGTGAACATGAGAGCAGAAGTAGAGACGCTTTAAAGTTTTGTCTTCAGGGTTTAATGACAGTAAAGAAACCTGAGAAATACAGCTGTGCCGCTCTGAAAGATTAAAACATCTTAAACTCGGTCAAAAGTCATTCAGACATTTTTAAGAAAGAGTTTATTCCAAAATCAGCTCTTGGTTTTTACTTTTGAGGGAGCAGCGCCCTCTGGTGGTTATCAGTTCATGTTGTAGTTTAATAATTATAGATTTTATATTTTATATTTTATAAAAAGCTTTTCCAGGCTGATTTTATTGTCTGACTGTTTTTCAGTTTATTTGTGCACTTTGAGATCTGTTTTGGCAGAGTTAAAGTTTAATATAAATAAAATGTATTGTTATTATTATTATTATTATTATTATTAATAAATAAAGTCCCTCACAGACTCTCCAGACTGGATCTTTACCTCACAGTTAGTCAGTTTTACAGCTGACAGCTTCAGTCCCGTCTCTCCCTCCTCTCTGACACAAAAATCCGAGCAGATCGGAGTTTTGCTGAGTGATCTTGAACGTTGATTGATTTTGTTTCCCTCTCATCATTTATTGATCGCACTTTCTCTATCATGCCTCAGAGCGAGGAAACACTCTCCTGTGATTATCATGAGCTCCATTTCACTGATGCTGCTAATGTCCGCGTGTGATGTTTAGAGCAAACCCGAAAAGACGTGTGTTTTAGCTCGATTAAAGTGTGTGTTTGTGTGTGTTTGTGTGTCCTCCACAGGGTGGACGAGGACGGGCTTCCTCTGCTGTCACACCCTCGCGCCTCCCTGCTGACCAACGGGACGATCAAGCTGTCCAAAGCCAGCCATGAAGACAGCGGAGCGTACACCTGCTCCGTCAGACACACCAACACCTCCATCACTGCTCACCTGGAGGTCTTCAGTGAGTCACACACTCTCCACAAACACACACCAGCGACCGACGGGACCTTTTCTCCTTCCACACGTTTATTAGACACTTTCAGAAAATGCATCAAATCCTAAAAGTTCATTTTTTAGAAGGTTTCGGTGTCTGTGTTGAGATCTAGAGCTGCAGACGTTATTGACGTATTGAAGGCGTCCCACAAGACTTAACCATAAATGACAGAAACTTCCTGAAAGTATCGAACACGCCTGTGAAGACAGTCATTAACGGTAAATGGTTACAGATTGATCCGCTCAGATAATTGGCTTCAAATCATCCAAATTGATCCAGGAGACGGAAAGCCCGGCTTCCTAATGAGACCGGGAGATGATTCATAATTTGTAAAATGGATCAAATTGATTGAGAAGTTGTTGGACAGAGAGGAAAACTCTGATAATGTGATAGACTGCAGAGTGAAGGAGGTGGTGTGTCTTATTAGGTTTAGCAGATATAAACTCAGCATGAATAAAAAAACACTGAGTCGTATTTTTCTGCTCCTGTCAGATCAAACGATCATCCTGACGAGCCCGGGGGACGTCCGTGTGCTCCGAGGAACCACCGCTCTGCTGGACTGTGAGTTCTACAAAGACCCTCTGCTGCTCGGATACAAGGTCGCGTGGAGGAAAAACGGACACGAGCTGCTGGAGTCGTCCCCGGATGACAAGTAAACAAACACACGAGCGAGGATGTCTATTTACAGTCACCATGGCAGAAATATTTACATCCTTTTTGGGCTTTTAAAGGTACAGTTCGTAAAAATGGGATAAAACCTCCTCGCTCACTCTTCTTCATGGTTAGAGAAACAACGGTGGCCTTTGGAGACAAAAATACAAACCCCAACCAAAACGCTCCTCTATGGACGGTTTCTTGTGTACAAACAATACGAGGTGTGCGCGCAACCATGAGGCAAAGGCCTGCTTCAGAGTGAACTGATATTAATGAAGATTGAACACTTGCTCAGTTTACCAGGTTGTGACGTTGTTTTAGGTGTTTTCTAATATCAGGAGCAGGGTCGTAATGTTTGCCGATTGTTTGTTTTGCCGATTCGTTAAGTTTACAGCATGAATCGGCAATTACAGAGACCTCAGGCCAGTCCATTACGGACTACAGCGGGGTGCCGCAGCTCAAGGAGGAACATTTATGATCATTTCTTTATCATTTCCTTGAAGTAATAATCACCATATCAATCATTTTTCACCATATTAATCAGAGGTTGTTTGTGTTGTTGCAGGTACACCATCTTTGACAACGGCACCTTAAAAGTGACAAACGTCCAATCAGGCGACAGCGCAAAGTACACGTGTGAGGTCAGCACAGACCTGGACAACGCCAAGGCCAGTGGCTCCATCACTGTCGTAGGTACGAGACAAAGATATGATCCATTCAGACCCGAACCTGGTTCTGGTTCTGAGCGGGTTTAGTGCTGCTGTTGAAGTCCAGAGTTTGTCGTTTGTTGAACACTCACAGTTTTGTGTTTCCACCTTCAGCACGTCCAGATCCTCCCAAAGATCTGACTCTGTCTGACGTAGAGGACCACAGTCTCACCCTCAGCTGGATCCCGGGGAGCGCCCACAACAGTCCCATCCTTGGTACTGAACACACACACACACACACACACACACACACACACACACACACACACACACACGCACACACGTCAGGTTCACTGCATTGTTCTGTTGTAAAATAATCCAAACTTTCGTGAAAAAAAGCAGAATTTTAATCATAATTCATGAGTTACAGATATAATGAAGCTCAGTATAAAAAGCTTAAATGAGATATTTTTAAAAAGCTCTGATCAAAATTAGAAAAGACTTCAAGAAACCTCCGTTATGAGTGTTAGTCCGTCCCAGTCTGTGCAAAATGAAGTTTTTGTTGTTGTTGAAATTCTTTAATTCCTCGTTTTGTTGTAAAATATTATTTTAGTATCGCTATGACAAACAATCCTTCAAATACTGATCGATGGAGATGATGATATTTTGGAATCAGTCGAGCGTTCATTCGTTCTCTGATTTGATCTCCAGTGTATAAATACTGAGTCCATCTCCTCAGAGTTGTTTGACGTTGTGGCGTGTTTCTCCGTCAGAGTTCATCGTGGAGGCGCAGGAGGAGCAGCACACAGAACCAGGGAGGTGGAAGTGGGAGACGTTAGAGACCGTTCCTGGAAACTTCAACCACCGTCAGCTGAAGCTTCACCCGTTCTGCACCTACCGCTTCAGGGTCACCGCCGTCAACGAGCTGGGCCACAGCGACCCCAGTCTGCCCTCGGAGCACCGCAGCACGCCGCCGGCAGGTAAGTGATGTTGGTTCTGTTGGTTCTGCCGGGCCTGGATCTGTCTTCAGGAGTTGATGTTTCCTCCCCGTCTTTGTTCTTCCTCCAGCTCCCAGTAAAAACCCCGATAACGTGCGCAGTGACTCCTCAGACCCGAAGGCTCTGACCATAACTTGGGATGTAAGTACTTCAGTCTGCACCCCTCTGAATTCTCACACACCGCCGTGAGCGTGTTCATAAGCCCCGCCCCACTCACCGCCGTGTGTCTCTGCAGGAGATGGAGAAGCCTCTGCACAGCGGTCAGGGTTTCCAGTACAAGGTGTCATGGCGGAAGTCTGATGGGAGTCCTCGCTGGGAGGAAGCCTACGTTCTCGGGCCGCCGTTCCACGTGAACGACACGGGAACCTACACGCCGTTTGAGATCAAAGTTCAGGCCGTGAACTCACTCGGATCTGCACCGGAACCGGAGTCAGAACTCGGATACTCAGGAGAGGACAGTAGGTTGAACATCTGAAGACCAGACAAACTCAGACCTTCAGTTCAAAGGTCACATGACTTTTCTTTAGGTTCTGATTGGACGTACGTAAATTGATTAAATCCTGACATGAATCTTGTTTTTAGCGAGTGGAGAAGGCGAACCGTTTTCTGTCTTAATTCTGAGAAACAACGTTTGCGTGTAAGAAGCAGATTTTTCCAATAAAACCCAAAGTACCAGAGTCGAACAGTGAAATACCCAGAATTCCTCCTTGATGGAGAGAGTAAAGACTCGTCTCTCAGACTCACACTGAGTCTCTTTCTGTCAAATGTCAGATCTAATGTCTCTCTTTCTTTAAACGAAGACGCTAAAGTCTCCCTACAAGAACGCTCTGTTTGTGCTCGCCGTCTCGTGCGTTTGACACTTCTGGGGTTTTAATGGACGGAAATGTCTTCAGGTCAAGAGTCCCTCGCTCTGACACAGACGGACAGTCAGACAGCTGTGATATTTTACCGCATTTTTACCCTCATGTCAGAAAAAAACTGTGTTGGTCTTGACGGTTCGTGTTGAAGAGACTTTTCTGGAACTTCTTATAAAATCTTCAAGACGGTGATAAATCATAACCTCTTGGTCCACATTTCTAAGCGCAGACAGGACGCTTAGGGGGTCTGGTCTGGTGGTCTCAGGATTGGCTTTTTGTAGATGACATGGTCCTGTTGGCTTCATCGAACCGTGACCTTCAGACCTCACTGGACTGGTTTGTAACCGAGTGTAGAGCATGTGCGGTGAGAATCAGCATCCTGATGAGACTCATTAGTGAGACGTTCAGGACAAGTCCAACCTGTGGGAGACATCCTGAGCATCCCCAAGGAGGAGCTGGATGAAGTGGCCAGGGTGAGGGAAGTCTGGGCTTTCCTGCTGACCCCCGACCTCCACCTTCATCCTGATCGTCTCCTAAAAGGTCGTATCCTCCGATCGTAGCTGATCGTAACCATTCAAGTTAACGTGTCAATTTACACCGACTTCTTTCCGTTCCTCTGCGGATCGCCGGACTCCTCAGCTGATCACAAGAGTTCTATTTTTTCTGGACGCCGGAGCATGGCGGATAAATTCAGCACAGATTAACCCGTGCTGGAAAGGAAGTCGGGCACAGACACAATTATATTTCATGAGTCTAGAAGTAGATTTCCTCCTCTGGAAGGACACAATCTACTGCTTATATATCTATGTGTCTGTCTCTATAGAGACAACTTGTTTTGCTCGACTGCACCTGAATCTGTAGGTTTTTTTGTGAGTTCTCGCGATTACCGCGGTCCGTAACCCACCACAAAATTCGCCTCACAAACAGATCTGGCGTACGGCCGCCGTTCCGGATCGGAGCCATCCCAGACGGGGTGGAAATCCCCGGTCAGGCTGCTGCCCCCGTGACTTGACCCCAGATGAGCAGCAGAAGATGGATGTTGTTTCCTCAGATTATTTCACTCAATTCTTGAAAATAATCTCGTGTAAAAAGAGAGCGAACATTTTCGCCTCAGTGTCAACAACACCGCTACTCCTCGAACTGATCGGATTTAAAGGGATTTGGACCAATCAGAATCCAGTATTTAACACCTCTGGGGAATCGGGATATTTGATGTATCTTTGCTTTTTTCCGTCCTGCAGCGGACTCAGTCTCTCCTGTTCTCTCTCCTGTTCTCTCTCTCTCTCTCTCTCTCCCTCTCTCTCTCTCTCTCTCTCCTGTTCTCTCTCTCTCTCTCTCTCTCTCTCTCTCTCTCTCTCTCTCTCTCCCTCTCTTCCTCTCTCTCTCTCTCTTTCTCTCCTTTAGAGCCTGAAGGAGCTCCGAGCGGCATCTCCACCATCGTGACCAACAGCACGGTCAGGGTGAAGTGGAACGAAGCCCAAAATGTCCGAGGACTGCTGAAGGGATACAAGGTACCTGGTTCTTACTTTTGGACCACAAAGTATTTCACGGTTTCTTCTCAGATCAGAGCAGATGGAGACTCTGGTCCTGAGAAATGAATCCGACACAGAGAAGTTTTAGGTTTTAAGTCGTTTGGATGTTTCTGTCGTCTTCTGGACAGTCGTTCCTCTGATGAGCAGAAATCCAGATTTCGTCTCAACTTTCTGGATCTTCTTCTTGTCTTCATGACGGTGAAATTGTTCATGAATGATGTTTCCTCAGATCTACATCAAGCGGCTGGGTCCTCAGGGGGAGCGCGTCAGGAGGTCTCTGGGTAAACCACACCACGAGGAGGAGGAGCGATCGGAGCGAGCGAGGGAGAGACACCGAGACAGCAGGGAGGTGATGGTGGACGGCACCAAGACGTCCGAGGAGGTGACGGGCCTGCAGCTGTTTTCACGCTACGAGCTCTCCATGACCGCCATGAACAGCAAAGGGGAGGGGCCTCACTCCACGCCGCACCGCTTTGTCACCCCAGAGGGAGGTCAGTCGACTGAGATGTGGAGACGCAGATTTATTTACAGCAGAAACTGGAAGACTAACGTACGCATGTGTCCCGTGTGTCTGTGCAGCGCCCGGTCCGCCTGCATCCCTCAGGTTTGAGAGTCCGTCAGAGAAGTCCCTGACCCTCTACTGGACCCCTCCTCTGGAGACCAACGGCATCCTGCTGGGATACATGGTTCAGTACCAACAGGGTGAGTCCAGCTCCTGGTTTTCTGTCGTAGTCTGTCGTGAGTGATACCGACCTCACGGCGTGTTTCCTCTTCCTGTGGCGTGCAGAGGTGGAGAGCAGAGACAGCCTCGTCAAGTTCGAGATGATCAGCGACCCCAAAAAGACCTACATTGACCTGGACTCTCTGGACCCCAGCAGCTATTACATCTTCAAAGTCATCGCTCGCACCGCTGCGGGAGACGGGCCCCCCATCACATGGAGGGGCGCCACCCTGCTGGACGGAGGTGAAGTCACGATGTGAACGACGGACGCGCGCTCAGTGTTTTCTTCTTCTGTTCGCTCACTCTGATTCGTCTTCCTCCATCAGTTCCTCCGTCAAACGTCACCGTCGTCGCAGACAACACGGCGCTCAACCTGAGCTGGGCACCCGGAGAGCGGGACAGGAACCACGGCTTCACCATCCGCTACTGCAGGAAGTGCCGTAAGAGAGGGTGGAGGGGGAGGCGTCTAAAATGAGAAGGTTTTAGTCGTGCAGAAAATGACGGTCTTATGTGTCAGCTGATGTTGTTAACGCCCCCCTCTGCGTCTCTCTGTGTTTCTGTTCTTGTGTCTGTTTGCTGCAGCTGGATGTGAGTGGGAGGAGTCAGAGGTGGTGAACTCCACGCAGGGTTTCTATTCGCTGAAAGGCCTCAAACCAGGATCCCAGTACAAACTGGAGATCAAACAGGGCAACGAAACCCTGTGGAAGCAAGAGACCGAGACCATCGGACCAGGTACCTTTGGGTCCAGTCTAACCGGATCACACAAACACCGGCTGAGTTCAGGACCTGCTCCTTCTCAGCTCCTCTTAAAATAGTTTAATATTAAAAACATGCAAACAAACAGGTGAAAATCTGAGACGTCTGTATGCTGTCAATCAAAGTGGAGGTTCAAGTTGAAGAAAAGAATTTAAAAACTTACAGGATTCACAATAAATGAGTTAAATCAGAGTAACTGATCTAAAATCTGCTTATATGTCAAAATAAAACTAAACAGTCACTTAAATGATCAAGCTCTGTTGATTTAAACCGTTCTCTAAAACATAAATCACAGATCAATGATGATTAAATCCACACTTTAGTTTAGTCAATAAAAATAAATGCACAAATTTACCCTGAATAAGAACCACACAAACACACGTTAACTCGTCCAGAACGTCCAATCAGATCAATCCGTTAAAAGAAAACAAGAGTGTGAGGGGTGTTTTCGTGATCTCTCTCTCTCTCTCTCTCTCTCTCTCTCTCTCTCTCTCTCTCTCTCTCTCTCTCTCTCTCTCTCTCTCTCTCTTCAGTTCCCTCAGAGATGCCCGGCGGGTTCGCCACTCAGGGCTGGTTGATCGGACTCATCAGCGCCATCGTGCTGCTGGTGCTCATACTGCTCATCCTCTGCCTGATCAAACGCAGGAAGGGCGGCAAATACGCAGGTCAGACGAGAACACGCACACACAGACACGCACACACACACACACACACACACACACACAGACACGCACACACACACACACACACACACACACACACACAGACACGCACACACACACACACACACACACACACACACGCACACACACACTTGGTGATACACAGCTGAGTTTGTTTTTTTCTGACAGTGAAAGACAAAGAAGACAAGGAAGTGGACTCTGAGGCTCGGCCAATGAAAGATGAGACCTTTGGAGAGTACAGGTGAGTCTTCATCAGAACCAGACTCTGAATTTAAAAACCATCAAATTTAACGCACGCATTTTTATTTCTTACACTTGATTTTTTCTCAATGATGAAAAAAATTCAGTGTAAAAAAAAAAAATCAGTCTCTCAAAATTTTCTTGAGGTAAAAATTTGAATTAAAAAAAACTGTAAAAAAAAATTCAACACAAAAAAAAAAAAACTCCAGTGAAGTATTGAGGAATCGATTTCTTTTCCCTGGTCACCCAGATGTTGATGTTTTTTTACAGTTTTTTATAAATCAAATTTTTATTACACAAATATATTAAGAGGCTTATTTTTTTTTTTTACACTGAATTTATTTCATCATTGTGAAAAAATGCGTGTGTTAAATTCGATGGTTTTTAAATTCAATGTCTGATTTTGATGCAAAAACATTCAGCTTTAGAAATTCAAACTCAAAATCAGATGGCACAGATTTACTTCCATAGAAAACAGCTGCTCTAATATTCTAACTTCTGAATCTGCTGAAAATTCCCTGAAGAAGTAAAAATATATATTTTTTCCAGACACACGAAATAACCCTCTGAAATGTGAAGGAAACTAAAACTGTCCTTTTAGCTTCAGCTCTCCGTCATATTATTGATATTTTCCAAACTCACATGCTTGATACTCTCTCTGTTTCCAGACTAACTTCAGTTTTACTTCTGAACGTTTGTTTCTCCTCTAATATCTTCACCGCTGCTCTTTTTATCGTTCGATCTCTAACCCTCCTTCACTCTCTCCTCATTTTACCTCCTTTCCTTTCCTAACACTCGGCCTGCAGATCACTGGAGAGGTGAGGAAGTTCCACAGTCTGGTGTGCATGTTTTGACATAACGCTCTTAAGTTCGTTGTTATTTTGTTGTTATTTCACTCGTGTCACAATCAGTGCATTCGTTTATCTTTTGATGTTTGAACGCCTTTCTCTGCTCTGCAGTTTGAACTCTGTGTGTAATTCTAGTTTGTGGTTTTAAATGTGGTGATTTTGTTTCATTAGTGACCGTCTCTGTGTGCGCTCTGCTGAGACTCAAATCAAAGATTTTTTTATCTTATTTCTGGTCAATTTAAAACACAATTACATGTCAAATCTGTAAAAATGTCACATTTAAAGATATCACACATCAAAATTAGAACTGAATGGTTTGTAATTGGTAAAAATAAATGCTGATTTTTATTGTGTTTTGCAGGATTGAACAGGCTAAAAAACTGGAGATGTTCTAATAGTTTTTTTTGGTTATTTTCTTAATTAATTATCAGTCAAGTGCTTTTAAAACTGTTAAACTGTTAATTCAAAACATCTTGAGAAAAATTATTTTTACTAAATAGATATTTTTTTACTCATTACAGGTCATTCAGTTCTCATTTTTTAGGGTAAAATCTTGAAAAAGGACATTTTTTGGACTTAAATTGACTTCAATAAAACTTTTTTTTTTTTTACTAGAAATAAGATAAAAAACTTTCTAAGATTTGAGATTTAAGGACGCTCACCAGGGAGCTGAACAAAGAGACATCAAACAAATTAAAGAAAACACACAATCACAAACCTCTAACACGATCTGGGAACTGGTCGTTAATTTTACTCGCTCTCTGTCGTCTCTCAGCGACGGAGACGAGAAGCGCACGGACAGCCAGCCGTCCCTGTGCGGGGAGAGTAAACTGGGCAGCGATGACTCTCTGGCCGAATACGGGGACAGCGTGGACATCCAGTTCAACGAGGACGGCTCCTTCATCGGCCAGTACAGCGGCAGGGGTCCTGTTCCCCAGGGCAACGAGAGCTCTGGCCCCGCCTCCCCTGTCAACGCGGTCCCTCCTCCTCCGATCGCTCCCTCCATGTCGAGCATCCTGAACCGACCAAGCTAGACACACACACACACACCAATATAACAAAACACACACATACACACACACACTGCCCATCTGCAGCAATGACACAAAGGGACAGACCACTCCTGACTCCACTGCCTGTAACACACACGTACACACACACACACACACACACACACACACACACACAAACACACGCAGTCTCAATACATTCCACAGGTTTATGCAGAGCAGATGTTTACAGGATGTCCTACCTTTTCTACTGCAAGTTTACACACACACACACACACACACACACACACACACACACACACACACACACACACACACACACACACACACACACACACACACAGACACAGACACAGACACACACACACACACACACACACACAGACACACACACACACTGATACACACGTGCAGATCTCATACCGCTTCACTCTTGGAGGAGAAGAGCAGAGGGAGGAGCTGCTCCAGCTGTTTGTGAAGGTGTCTGCGGGGGTTTCATGGTTGGGGGTCTTTTATTTAAAATCAAACAGACTTTTCCTTCGTTATCTTTCGCTCATTAAAAGGTCCGAAGTGTTTGGAGTGTGACACTCCTGCAGATGTTTGACCGTCATCGGTCATCTAAAAACCTGATTTTCATAAAGACAGTTGTGCGTTCACAAACAGCTGGAGCAGCCACGTCCAGGAGAGGAAGATGATGTGATGAAGAGTGAGTCTTCCCTCCTATAATCCAGAACAAACACTAAAGTGTCATTAACATCTTTAAGGTCATATCCATGTTTTTATAACGTCATTTACATCCTCGTTCATATCTCACTTTTTTTTGTGCGTCGTCGTCGTCAAACGTCACTTTGTGTCTTTGTTTACACTGTTGTGAGCTTTTTATCGGAGTTTGTGCGCATGAGTCCCAGACTGATTCAGCTATTTATTGGCGTGTGTGCGGCGGCTGTCAAACCTAAGATGCATGCCCCTCCCTGAGGCATTGAACAGTAATTCAGTTTAGCATATGAGTTTAAAGAGCGACTGTTACCTTCTGAGTGTGTGAGTGTGTGTGAGTGTGTGAGTGTGTGTGCGATTGACCGTCTCTGCTCTTTAACCTGCAGCGACGGGAGATTTGTTGCCTTAAAACGAGAGTCCAGTGGAGCCTTCTCTCCTCCCTCTTTCTGTCCATCCGTCTGTTACTCATCCATTTCTCGTCTCACACGTTCCTCCTCCGTCGTCCAGATCCTGTTCGCTCAGCAGGGAAAAAAAAAAAACAAGACCAGGATGTTTCGCCGGCCCTGAAAGCTCAAAACACCTCCGACATTTACAGAGAAGGAACACGGAGACAGATCGCCAAATTAACGATAAACGTTCAGGATTAGAAAAGTGTCGGGGAAGTTACCGGAAAAGGGATATTCCGGCAACATTCATCTCTGGAGGGGGGGTCTTTTACGCCGGAATATCCCTTTAAGGAGAACCAGCAGACGAGCTCGGCCGACCGTTCTCTGCAGACACGGTCAAATCTCCAACCAACCTGGAGTCAGTCTGAACAGATGATTCTGATCTTCTCTGCCTGGATTTGGTCTCATTTTACCGTACATGTTATTGAGCTTTCAGGGCCTCCGTAGAAGATAACTGACACTCCTATGCATACACACACCGTGCACACACTCACACTGATGCATGCATGAAGTGGAGGCGACATGGAGGTCCTCTGTAGCAAACCTTAAGGGACCCTCTGCAGGAGAGAGGGAGGAAGGAGGACAGAAAACCACGAGGAGGAGGAGAATCTGACGTATCGTTCTCTGAATGTAAATAGAACCTTGAGATTGTCATTTTTTTATTTCCATTGCTTCTTTTATAAGATGAACAAATTGTACGTTTTTTTATTCTTCGTTGCTCTGTTGGATTTTGTCCTGCGGCGCTCCTCGGCTGCAGATTTTGTATCATAACCCCCCGAACACAGCGTCCTGTCCTCTTAGGTTTCCCTCGTGTTTCTAATAGTTACCCAGAGACATTTAGACAAGACTAGTATCATAGCCAGAACAAACACCTTCCCCCTCCACAAGTGTCTTTATAGCGCTTAGAAATGCAGCAGATAATACGAAGTTATAACGTCGGCGTTTATACTCCCTGACGGGCCGAGGCGACGGCGTCCTCAGCCCTGGACAGATGAATCTTAAAACCAAGAGGGTTTATTTTTTTGCTTCTCTAACGCTGTCTGAGAAATGATGTGAGGGTGAATTCAACTAACCAAGGACTCCCCCGTGTTTGGACCAGAGCTGAAGTTTGATTTGATGTTTGTGGAGCAGAGAGGGTCAGGAGGCGCGCACCTGAGGAGACGTCACTCTGGAGTTTTACTGTTTCATCGTCTTCAACAATAAAAATAAACCATCAGAGCAGCTGTTTAGATTACGATTACGGTATTTTTCAGACTTTAAGGCGCTCTTAAAAAATGTTCTCAAAAATTGACAGTGCGCCTTATGTATGATTACTTGTTGTGCTTACTGACTGATTTCATGTGGTACAATGCGCCAAAAATCTGTTAAAACGTGTGAGTACGACTTTGGTAAGCAGCGAAGTCGCTCCGCTCGATGGACGTTCAGAGCGTACGCTGAGTCACCACCAGATCAGCCCCGTAACAGGACCCCTGAGCGGTCTGCAAGACTGCCTGACTGTAATGTCTAACCCGGGGTTTCCACCACGTCTGGAACAGCTCCGATACGGAACGATGGCGATTTTCACCGTGCGCCAATTCCTGCCAGATCTGTTTCTGAGGCGAATTTCATGGCGGATTACGGACAGTGGGAATCAGGAGAACCCACAAGAACCCGCGGATTCATGTGCAATCGCGCGATAACAAGTGCGGAGTCTAGTGATCTGCAGAGGAACAGAAAGAAGTCGGTGTAAATTGACACATTAACTTGAATGTTTACGATCAGCTTCGATCGGCAAATCCGGCCTTTTCGTAGCCGTTCCGGATGTGGTGGAAATTGCCAGTAAACTAGAAGTGCGCTCATGTAAGACAGCCCAGGCCCAGAATACGCACTAGCAACAATAAACCAAATAATGCGGCAGTGCTTAATGCGCCGTACAATCTGGTGCGCCTTATATTTGAACACAGACACGTTAATTCACAGTGCGCCATCTTGCCCGAAGAATACGGTATGTTGCACTTGTGAATTGCACAGTGCAAATTGTGTAAATGTGTGGCGCAAATTTCTCGAATTAAGTTAGTTATACATGAAAACTGACACCAACTAGCAATACATTTAATCCATCGCCAATTCGTTCAACGTGCTGCTCGCTTTGTTAGCGCATTATCCCCGCCGCGGGATAACCAATCAGCATAGAGACTCAGTCTGTCTCCAGGACATCACATCACTCAGGATTTACATAAACTGTAGGATAAAAGTTTAATAAAACGCCAAATTTAAGGGTCAAACCAACCTGAACGTGTCGCCTTGTCGAACGCCTCCCAGGGTCTCGCTTCCTGTCCTCCTCTCCGCGCCCGATGCTGATTGTACAGCCCTATCTGTGTGTCTGTCCGTCATTCTGTCCGTCTCTGTCGCAGCCTTCTTTTATACCTATAAACACATCAGGAAACAATAAAAATAAAACATAAAAACATGAAAAAGAACAAAAAGACAAAAAAACTAGTTAAAAATAATAATAACTGCAAACGATTACAGCAAAACAACAACAGTGCTATTACCAGTTACGATGGCGCCATCAGTATTGTCATGAGGAGCGATGGGATGATGGGAAAACGACGGGAGGACGGCTGTGGGGTGTGTTTTTGTACGATTGGGGGGGGGGCTGCTTTAGCGTGTGTGTGTGTGTGTGTGTGTGTGTGTGTGTGAGAAAGTGTAAAAAAGGGGGTTGCAGCTCGGGGTAAGTGGGGTTCAACACTCAAACACACACATGCTTATATCAGAGGGGGAGGGGACGGGGGAGGGGTTACTGCAATATGGAGGTGTGCTGATGTTGTACCTGCTTGTTGCATTGTGCGCTGTTCTGTAGCTGACAAACTAACCCCAGACTGTCAACGAATAAATAAACATGGACTACGCATATCCTGAACAGACCCGGAGCTTCTTCTTGTTTCTTTGTGTGTGTGTGTTTGTTTATGTGTGTGTTTGTTTATGTTTGTTAGTTTATGTGTGTGTTTGTTCTTGAACAGCAGACTTTTCAGGGACGACGATTGCAGACCTTGTAAACGAGGACATCTTGGTTAATGACCTTCTTTTGGAGGTGCTGTAGTATTTTAAAGGTGGTGTCGTCAGGATATAATGCAGATCAATCCTTCAGATCATTACAAATGGGGCCCAGTCAAGGTGAAAGTCAAAAGCATTGGTGCTACTGTAGATGCCAACAGACTACCAGCAAACACAATGTTTGCAGGACTTCTACAACGAGGATAAAGTGACATAGTCCAGGACCCGAGGGAGGACAGTTTAGCGATGGCGCTACAACACGCTACAGCAGGTCCGTTTGACAAGAAACACTTCTGTTACAGACACTTGTCTTACTTTGTTAAAGCGGTTTACCTGTCCAGCAGAAAGGTTACAGGGTCACCAAGATCCCCAAGCGTCCCCCATGGTTTATGTTGACCCGTCTTTTTAGCTCTTGTCCGGTCTACCTCCGTTTTAAGCGCCCGTTATTCCTCCAGAGTCTCCGGTATTTACTTTGTTTTCTTGCTTGTGTCGGCAGTCGTGGCCAAAGGAGGATTCGGACAATTTTCCGAACTTTCTGGTTGGTTTCTACTGTCCGATATTGTAGCACGCTAACTTTGTTTGGGCTCCTGAACGACACGGGGGAGCAGCGTCTGCCTCACAACCAATCAGGTTAGAGGAGGTGGAGAACGGCTTTGTTTACAGTCAGAAAGAGCGGACCGCTCAAAAATGTTCAAATGTTGACGACACAGACAGAAGAGAACACAGAGATATCGATATATTACCAAATGTCATCAATAACTAATAACTATTGACTGATATTAGGAGATTTTCTGTAAATACACCACAAATAAAAAGATGCTTCTTTAACAGATTACTGCCTACAACACGTTTAAAGTTTGTTTAATGTCGACTCAAAGTAAATCTAAATATTTTGTTTTGGGCTCTAATTTCACGTGTTCTAGTAAATATTTATGTGGTTTATAGCAGTGGAAATTTAACTATCCTGCTATTTTAGGAACATATTTATTTATGTTCTGACGTGGATTAATGAGTAGTTTGTTTAATTTATTTGTCTGAGAAGCAGAAGCATCAAAAAAGTTATGGAGCAGAAATGCACACACACACACACACACACACACACACACACACACACACACACACACACACACACACACACACACACACACACACACAGAGTTAAAGTGTGCAGCATCAGCAGAGCGCTCTCCAGAGGACGGTGAAGGCGTGGCGGATGATGGAACAAGTATTTGCTAACAGGCTCGTCAGATATGTTGTCTTACCGGGAAGAGGACCCGGTAACGAGGGGTTAAACCTGGAGGACCAGTTTCCTGACGCAGACGGCGTGTGTGTGCGTGTGCATGAGTGTGTAAGTGTGGGTTTGTGTTGTTGTGTGTGAATGACCGGAGGAAGCTCAGAGGAGGAAGAGGTCCAAGATTTTAGGAGCGATGGCGGGCTGAAGACTGGCCGAGCATCACAGGACAGAGGCAGGACTCTCATTTACATGCTACACACACACGCACAGACACACATAACACACACACACACATAACACACATAACACACACTGAACGCCTGAATTTGGAGGATGAACGGAGCGTCGATTATGCAAGATGGGACCGGGCTGCAGGGGGGCGCAGGGAGGACGCTTCGGTTCCAGCGACCGCACGGTGAGTGACAGACAAACACACACACACACACACACACACACACACACACACACACACACACACACACACACACACACACACACACACACACACACAGCTGATGCAGAAACCAACTTACGCAATGCACGCTCACTCTCCCTCTTTTCATTGATTAACGAGCCGAGCGCGAGGATGATGCCCCGATCACGAATTTAATCTAATTAATTATCGAATCGCACAATCGGCCCGGCACGCGCACACTCACCCGCGCGCTCCGCACAGCCCCTAACACGCCATTATGTAAGCTGGAGGTGTATTTGCGGGAGCCTATGAGGTTTTTGGGAGAAGCTGACATATGGTACAGCATGTGCCGCCGGCAGTGGGTGGAGGAGCCGTGGGTCCGTGGACACTCCGGGGGGGAGGACACGGACCGGGGCAAGGGGGGAAGAGAAGAGCGGACCGGGGCGCTAAAGGACGCCGTGCTGGGTCGTCGGAGGTTTATTTTTGGAGGGGTGGGGGAGTTTAGGGTGGTCGTGTGACGCGGAGCAGCGACACACGTGGCTTCTTGGTCTGTGCGTGAAGAAACAAATGGAGTCCACGCAGCAGCAGCAGCAGCAGAACGGGCCACCGGTGCGGCGGAGGCGGCGCGTGCGTTGCGAGAGCACAGGTGAGGTCTGGAGCCACGAGGTCAAAGAGATAACTAACCTGCATGCTCTCTCTCTCTCTCTCTCTCTCTCTCTCTCTCTCTCTCTCTCTCTCTCTCTCTCTCTCTCGTTATCACATGTTGACCTCTGCCACTGTTGCGGGGTTTACACAGACTTGCATCGATTTCCCAAAGACTTTAAAGGGATATTCTGCTGTAAAATTAATTCAGGGTCAAACCCACCGTAACACCGAGTCAGACCCCCCCTCCAGAGATGAATGTTGTCGACCTCTTGCTTCTCTAGTTATACCAACTTTAGTAACCCCTCCTGGGGATCCCAAGACTCACCCAGGCTCTGGATCCACCCCAAGATCTCCTCCTAGTTTTGCGGACCCTTAAAGGGGTGTGTAATTTTGGGTTGCATGAGTTAAAGGCTGTGTCCTAAATGGATCCCTAACTCCTCTATAGGTGACTATATGGGGCTTAGGGGCCATTTTGAGGGGTGTCCGAAACCTCAGTTATCAATTCCAGTGCCCCATATAGGTGACTCAATATTTCCCATAAAGCATTGCAAAATGTAGTGACCATCCAATGGTCACTCAACGGTGGTGGGCATCCCGTCATGCCGTGTAGTGTCCAAAACCTCCGGTAATTGAGTTCACTACATAGTCAGCGTCTCGGTCTGATTGTATTTCCATGAAGAAATGATCATAAATGTTCTTCCTTGAGCTGCCGCACCCCGCTGTAGTCCGTAATGGACTGGCCTGAGGTCTCTCTACAAACAAGCGTCTGCTGGAAGAGAGTAGGTGAGTTGTGTTTAGTCTCTTTGTTAAAGAAATGAGTCAAAGTTAAAAAGATGTTTGGTGTCTAGTACTATGTCTGTGACCCTATATGTCCTGTTGATGAAGTTAGGTGCTGTTCTGAGCATTATTTGTGGCTATAGAGTGGCGTTTTGGTTGAGGGCGTGGCTCTCTGTATTACTATCCTGCGGTCGTTACTAAAGTTGGTATAACTAGAGAAGTAAGCGGTCGACAACATTCATCTCTGGAGGGGGGGTCTAACTCGGTGTTACGGTGGGTTTGACCCTAAATTAGTTTTACGCTGGAATATCCTCTTAACGCACGACTCCTGTTCTCTGTAACCAACTCTGACTCACAGACCCTCAAATCAACCTAAATGAACCTGCAGCAGTGGAGATTCTGTCCTATTACGTCTGTCACTCACACACACACTCTCAGAAACAGTGTGTGAAGCTCTTTCTGCTCTGAGCCAAGTTTCCTGGAAAGTAAAGAGTGTTTACACGCTCATTAGAAACCTGGTGTGACTTTCAGACGGGAACATGAAAATCAGGGTTATTTATATCTGATCTGGGCTGTATCCAGGCGTCTGATCCCCTCTCTGCAGCTGTAACTTTACTTCTCAGCGCCCCGGTCTCTGTAAACCCAGATCAGGTATCAGGTATGTGACAGCTTCAGAACTGGATGAGTGTTTACATGGTCAGGATTCCCCATGAAAACCAGGGGAGCCGTGCACTCTCAAATACTGGAAACGTGCAAATATGAGACTGTAAGAGTTAGGGGTGGGAGAAAAAATCGATTCACAGAAGTATTGGAATTTTTTTGTTTAGCAATTTTTAAATGTTTTTTTTTTTTTCAAGTTTGAGACTAAAGCTCCTTTCACACCGGGAGCGTTTTTTTCGTGCGATTATTTCAGACGTCAATATTTTTTTTGAAACCGTATCCTGTCAATACAAGCGTTCACATCAGCGGCGTTTTCCCGTCCTGTGATATTCCAGCATTTATTTTTTCGGATCACGGTCACATTTTATTGAGATGAGTACACAGTCTTCGTCATAAATGCAATGATACTAACACTTGGTGTAATAATTTCTTTCAGTTTTCTGCCTTGGTTTCCTCATTTTTAGTTTTCAAAGAATTCTCATTTCAGTGCATCACCACGTTCTCTAACATAAACTGTGTTCGGCTATAGAGGGTCGTTTTGGTTGATGGTGTGCACCTGGATTTTGTGGATGTAAAAAATGTGCCGAGGCTCAAAAAAGGTTGAAAAACTGGAATAGAGGACACTCTGATTGTCAGCCGACCCCTAGATTTGAAGCTCCAAACGCTGAATCCAAGTTCTCTTTTCAGAGCTGATATTGTAAACAAACCGAGATTATAACATCCTGAACTCTGCAGATTTAATCAGAGGCTGTTTATCCAATCAGGAGGAGTCAAAGTTTGGTAAATATGGAGGAAAGTTTCCCACAAAGTCACACGAGGCTCTTAAAAGCAGAAATCCCACAGCGCAGAAAAAAGAGAGAGAGGGAGAGAGAGAGAGAGAGAGAGAGAGAGGGAGAGAAAAGAGAGAGAGGGAGAGAGAGAGAGAGAGCGAGAGAGAGAGCGAGAGAGTGAGTGAGTGAGTGAGTGAGTGAGTGAGTGAGTGAGTGAGTGAGAGAGAGAGAGAGAGAGAGAGAGAGAGAGAGAGAGAGAGAGAGAGAGAGGGAGTGGACTCCGTTTAGTTGCATCACCTCCAGGTCACATGGTTACGACTTTGACAGATGTGTGTCTTCACATACCGCTGCAGAGAAACCAAGAACACACACACACACACACACACACACACACACACACACACACACACACACTCCCTTAAACATTCCCACACACACACACACACACACACACACACACACTCCCTTAAACATTCCCACACACACACACACACACACACACACACACACACACACACTCACTCCCACACACACACACACACACACACTCATATGGCTGTGCTGATTTATCATGTGACGAGTCATCAGATCAAACTTCTGTCCAGCTGCTCTCTCTCCGGTTCAGCGGCGCACACTTCCTGATTGCCGGGTCAAAGTTAAGATTCGAGCTCCGTGATTGGTTGAATATATGACCTCATATCTGGGTTTTACTTGGGCAGTGGAGGTGATTGACAGGTCAGTGAGCCAATCGGAGTCTCTCAGCAGGTGTGCTGACTGACAAACGAGTCGAGTCTCCTCCCCCGCTGACAGCATGTGAGACGGTTCAAAATCTGTACGCTCACCTGGAGGGCTCCTCTTTCCTGTGTGCTGCTGTCACACACACACACACACACAGATACACACACAGATACTCACACACACTCACACACATGTCAGAAACACGGAGCAAACTCACCCAAAATCCTCTGGAGAAGACGTGGGTGCCATGGATGAAGAGCAGGCTGAGCCAACGCAGAGGCTGTAAGTACAAACACACACTGTCAGTGACTGACACTAATGCTCTACATGACACACACACACACACACACACACACACACACACACACACACACACACACACACACACACACACACGGAAACCACATGACAGGTTGGTTCTTGTTCTCTGAGGAGACAGTTTAAGGAGAGCAGAGCGATGTCTGTGTGTGTTTGTGTCGTCGGTTCAGAGGAGCGCGGCGTCCTCCTCCTCTGTGACAGACCTGAGGGACGTTCACCCCAGAAGTTCACCATGGAGCCACGTGGACTCCAAACGACTCTAAAACCATCTAAACTCTGGGTTCTTCTGCTGCAGCTCTGCAGAAATAATCTGCAGAAATGTTTGGAGTCTGAACTTCTGCTGGATTTGAAGAAGAAAAAGAGGAGATTCTCGCCTCTGAGAGTGGAATGGTGGAGTTTCCTCAGACTCTGGTGTAGATCCAGTTTTAGGCTCATGATTAAGATGGTTTTATAAGAGTGTGTTTGGTTTCATTTTGACGGAGACTCTCTAGGCTTTCATTCAAGCTCAGTTATGAATCCTTCTCACGAACACAGAGGGAATCTCTGTGATATCCAGAAACACCACAGACACACAAAGACTCTGAGGTTTCAGGAAAAGTATAATCTACACAAACTTATCTTTTTAAGGTGTTGCTGTGAGTCACATTCACATGTTTGTGACAGAGCTGAAAAAACTGTAAAAGCAAAAGTTTGAAAAAAACATTTAGACACAGATTTAAAGTGCGTTGTGATTGGCTTAAAAGTGAGGGTGAGTCTTTGACCTGAGCCGTAAGGAGAGACTCTGGATTTACGGGTCGATCTACGTGCCGATCCTCACCTATGGTCATGAACTTTGGGTAATGACCGAAAGAACAAGATCGCAGATACAAGCGGCTGAAATGGGTTTCCTCCTCAGGGTGTCCGGGCTCAGCCTTAGAGATAGGGTAAGGAGCTCGGACACTCGGGAGGCGCTCAGAGGAGAACCGCTGCTCCTCCACGTCCAGAGGAGTCAGCTGAGGTGTTAGGACGCCTTCTGGACGCCTCCCATTAGACATGCTAGAGAAATTATGTCAATAAAGTCGAAATATTGAAATTACAAAATGTTGAAATGTCGAGATTTAAAAAATAAAACATTTTGAGATTAAATTCAACATGAACAAAGTCAAAATTTTGACTTTTTAAAATTTCGACTTTAATCTCATAATGGAAATTAAAAAATCTCCTCCTGTAATGATTTTTGTGACCCTGATCCTCTTTCGTACTCGGTGTTTGTCGTCAGTTTGGGATGTTTCCTCTTGATTTGTAGGTTTTGTCTCTTTAGTGAAGTTTAAGTCACTTTAAAGGGTTAAATGTAAGATAAGGAGGTCCAGCTACACACTGACATTTGTTAATCCTAATCTGAGAAGTAAACACTACAAGTTTAAGACGAGTGGTTGGATTAGGAGGTGAAATCCCAGACTTGGCTGTCTCATTACTATTACAGAACGTTTCCAGCTGTGCAAAGGAAATATTGATAAACCGTCTTTAATTCCAGTTTTCCTGATCGATAATGTTTTTGTTACCTCTCAGACTCGTTCATTTCTGACTCGGCAGGTCTTCGACATCGTCTCTGGTCAGCTCAGGTTTGACGGTCTGTTTGTGTGTTTCAGCGTCGGTGCCTCAGTTCACCAACTCTCCCACCATGATCGTGATGGTGGGACTCCCGGCGAGAGGGAAGACCTACATCTCCAAAAAGATGACCAGATACCTGAACTGGATCGGCGTCACGACTAAAGGTCTCACCTGAGTCCTCCTCCTCAGTGGTTGTGGTTTTGTCCTCTGAACCAGTTGGATAGTCCTGACCTCCTTCTCTGTGTTTTAGTCTTTAACGTGGGTCAGTACAGGAGGGACGCCACGCGCATCTACAACAGCTTTGAGTTCTTCAGACCGGACAACACCGAGGCCATGAAAATACGCAAGTACGAACCTCAGCGCCATCTTTAGGTCATGACTCACAGAAACATGTCTGAAAGAGGATTGTCTGTGTGTCCGTCAGGGCCTGCGCCATCACCGCCCTCAAAGACGTGTGCGACTATTTCACCAAGGAGCTGGGTCAGGTGGTGGTGAGTGAAGTCCGTCATTTCTGTGAAGTATGACTGCGCCGGCGAAACCTAAACTTCACCGCTCTGTCTGATTTTGAAGGTTTTTGATGCCACCAACACGACCGCAGAGCGCCGAGAGCTCATCCTCTCCTTCGCCAAGGAGAACGGCTACAAGGTCTGTCTTTTTATTCTTGATTTAAACTGTTTAAAAAACATAAATGTATGTAAGTTTCTCTGTTTTTGCCTCAAACGTCCAGGTTTTCTTCGTGGAGTCGATCTGTGACGACCCTGACATCATCGAAGAGAACATTAAGGTGAGAGAAATCACGGCGCCGAGCCAACAGCAGCGTGAAACCAGCGTGTGCTCTGTGGTTTGTTATTGGAGGAACAGGCTGACCTGAAACAGAGTCGAGTTTCTCAGGTGGTCGAGTTTGATCCAGGAGGGTCTGTTTGGACATCTGGAGGGCCGCCGCCCTCCTCCTCCTCCTCCTCCTCCTGCTCTCTCTCCATGTTGTTCTTCTCTTCAGTTTTCCTAATTTCACTTTGAAACCGTCTGTAACGTCCTCAGAGGAGATGAGCGTCCTCTTTGTTTGTATTTCTCTGGAATAGTTTGGATATCTGCTGACTTCCTGTTTACTTGATGAATAATGAAAACAGACACGGGCTTTTCAGAGTTATCTCCATGCTGTTGCTGTTTGACGGACGGTGTGCTGCGTTCAAGTGCAGCTTATTGGCCCTAAAGAGGCGATACAACAACCTGCCCCAGTTAAAGTTAACCCTTTAAGTCAGTTTGATGTTTCTCTTGTAGTTTAGTGTCCAACTGCACCAACCCTAAAGGAGAAGAAAGTGAATCTTTACATTTTAACCCGAGAACACCATCGCCTGGTGATTTTATCCAAACCTGTTTTTAGGTGATCTTCATGATGTTGTGTTTGTCTGAGTATCTTCAGTGTTTCGTTTGACGTCTTTGAAGACAGATTTGTTTCTCTGATCCTAAACCTGTTTTTTCCTCCAGACTCGTGTTCACAGGCTGATGTTAGTGATGGAGGGTAAAGTAGGTTTGACAGCTGCATGTAGAGAAGAAGGTCAGTCAGAGCGGTCCTGGAGTTTACATGATATCTTTTTTGCAGAGTTAAAAATAAAGAAAACGACTTTAATTTGTCATGTATTCTCCTATTTTGATGAAGTCCTTTTTCTTGGGTTTATTATTTCAGGTAAAAATCACCCGTTGATATTGATGGTGTTACTAATTTTAGCGGTAGTGTTCTTGGGTTAAGCAGCTGAAGGAAGATCTCAGGACACGGTCTCAGCGGTCTGCCTCCCCCAGCCTAGACTGGGACTCTGGGTTCCTCCTCTCCGGTCAGAGCCTGGGATCAGTCTTAATTTTCCACTCTCCCCCGCACTGTCACGCCACAGGGACTTGTTGGAGTTCTGTTCCCAGTCTGTCAGGTTTTACTGAGCTGCTGCTGCTCACAGATGTTCCCCTCCTCTCTTCTGCTGATTCAGTGTTCACCCGACAACACCAAACATTGATATAGATGCTCTAGAAGCTCTCGTCACACTCTTCATTCGGTTGTAAACATTCGACATAGATACTTAGATGCTGCTGCATGAAGCCTGAAATGACTCCCTCAGTGTCTCTGCCTCTCAAACAGCAAGTGAAGCTGAGCAGTCCGGACTACGTGGGCTGTGACAAAGAGGAGGCCGTGGCGGACTTCCTGAAGAGGATCGAGTGTTACAAGCAGACCTACGTCCCGCTGGACGACGACAAAGACAGGTGAGAGAGTCCACAATGTCAGAGTCTGTCCAGAGTTTCTATTCCTGTCCTCTCTGGATGATTTTCCGACGTTCAGCTCCAGAGTTATTTTAATGAGGTGAGAGAGGAGCTGTGGTCTGATGTTCATCTTGGATGTCACGTTTTCATAGTTTTCAACGATTTCACGTCTCCAAACCTTCGTGGTTTTAATAAATGAACCTGTCCGGACTTTAAAGGACAGTTTCAGATGGTCCAACAGTTCTTACAGTCTGACTTTAGTGAACCTCAGAGTTATTGACCCGAGACTCCACCAACCGTTTACTGTCGTGATTTTCCTCCATCGTCTTCTCGTCTTCAGGAGTTTGTCCTACATCAAGATCTTTAACGTGGGCAGCAGGTACCTGGTGAACCGAGTCCAGGACCACATCCAGAGCCGGATAGTTTACTACCTCATGAACATCCACGTCACCCCAAGGTCCATCTACCTGTGCCGCCACGGAGAGAGCGAGCTGAACCTGACGGGTCGCATCGGGGGAGACTCGGGGCTGTCGTCTCGTGGAGCTCAGGTCAGGGTCGTCAGATCTGTGTTTGGTGATGATCTGATTCTCGGTTCTGTTTTTACTCACTGATGTTCCGTGTGTTTGTGTGTCAGTTCGCCAGCGCTCTGGGTACGTACTTGCGCGGACAGTGCATCAGTGACCTGAAGGTGTGGACGAGTCACATGAAGAGGACCATCCAGACGGCCGAGGCTCTGGGAGTCCAGTACGAGCAGTGGAAGGCTCTCAACGAGATCGACGCTGTGAGTGGTGAAGCTTATCTGTTCGGGATGCATGCTGGGAGATTTTTACCGTATTTACTGGAGTACAATAGGACTAACTGGACTAACAGTCTAATAAAGGACTTAGTGGAAAACCAGGAGCTGTGTGATAGTCAGTGAACTCTGATGTTTGTGTGTCTGTGTGTGTCTCAGGGTGTGTGCGAGGAGATGACGTACGAGGAGATCCAGGAGAATTACCCAGAGGAGTTTGCTCTGAGGGACCAAGACAAGTACCGCTACCGCTACCCCCGAGGAGAGGTGAGGATCAGAGCGGAAAAAAACAAGAAGACAAGAGGAGGTGTGCTCACTTCCTGTCTGCGTTTGTGTCTTTTTTTACCATCAGTCATACGAGGACCTGGTGCAGCGTCTGGAGCCGGTCATCATGGAGCTGGAGAGGCAGGAGAACGTTCTGGTCATCTGTCACCAGGCCGTCATGAGATGTCTGCTGGCTTACTTCTTAGACAAAAGTGCAGGTGAAGAAAAAGCTGATAGTTTTCAGAAAAACATGAATATCAGAAGCTGCTAATGAACATTAATATTTGACAAAGTTTTGGCCAATTGACTTCAAACTGACACTCATCCTGATGTTACACTGAAACAGATCTGACTGTTCTTCCTCTTTTCTGTGTCAGGTGAGCTGCCCTACCTGAAGTGTCCTCTCCACACCGTCCTGAAGCTCACCCCCGTCGCCTACGGTCAGTCTTCATCCATCCTGAGCAGCACGACTCTTTGAACCTCGTAAACTGAATCTGTTTCTGTTTGTGTTTCACTCTCAGGCTGTAAAGTGGAGTCTGTTTTCCTCAATATCGAAGCTGTCAACACGCACAGAGACAAACCCGTGGTGAGTCACTGATGTCCCCCTTTAAAGCTCCAGTGAGGAGTTTTTTGGGGGGGCTTATGAAATAGACTTAAAGGGATATTTATTATTTAGGGTCAAACCCACCGTAACACTGAGTTAGACCCCCCTCCAGAGATGAATGTTGTCGACCGCTTGCTTCTCTAGTTATACCAACTTTAGTAACGACCGCAGGATAGCAATACAGAGAGCCACGCCCCCAACCAAAACGCCACTCTATAGCCACAAATAATGCTCAGAACAGCACCTAACTTCATCAACAGGACATATAGGGTCACAGACATAGTACTAGACACCAAACATCTTTTTAACTTTGACTCATTTCTTTAGCAAAGAGACTAAACACAACTCACCTACTCTCTTCCAGCAGACGCTTGTTTGTAGAGAGACCTCAGGCCAGTCCATTACAGACTACAGCGGGGTGCCACAGCTCAAGGAAGAACATTTATGATCATTTCTTCATGAAAATACAATCAGACTGAGATGCTAAGACAGAAGAACTACAGCGTCTGTAAAATGATTAATATGGTGATTATTACTTCAAGGAAATGATAAAGAAATGATAAAGGAATATCCTTTTAAACTCATGCTGAAGACTTTCCATGACACCTAAAAACAAATGAGGCCATCTGTGACAAAACTGATGAATTTTATAGCAAAACTTTAAAATATTCAAATTTGACTGTCCAGAGTCACCAGGAGGAGATTTTATAGTTAAAAGTCACCACTTAAGATTGGGAATGACCGTTTTTGTCCACATGGGGGCGCCAGAGTTGACACAGAAAGTTTTCTCTGCTGGGTTTTTGTGCGACTCCAAACTATTCAGGAAAAATACCAAAGTCACACGACAGATGAAAAAACAGACAGACCAGAGTATGAACAGACAAAAAACTGATTTGATTTTCTCATTTCTCAGAACGTGGATGTGGACAGAGACCCGGCGGAGGCTTTGGAGACGGTCCCAGACCATATCTAGACCTGGTTTCACCTCCATCCATCCTCATGGACTGTGGCCTTTTTTTAATTTAAGTAATCCTAGTGTTCATTTTCATTCGCGTGGTCTGTGTTGTGAAATGGTCGAACTTTGTGATAACACTGTATAAAACCCGAGATTTCTCCAATGGTAGCCTATCTCCATTGTAAATGCACTTTATAATGATGCAGGGCTCAGGCCCCGGGTCTGTGATATGAAGAAGAGGGGTCCTTCACTGACCAGACCACCATAGGAAATCTGAAAGTCGTTACTGTTTTGTTTTTATCTTCTTTTTTCTTTCTTAAAGGACTAACCAGCGTGAAACTAATTCATTCAGTTTTACTCAAACTGACCTGCTGGTCTGAGCCATTTTTCAGTTTTTCTGCTTTATATGAGAATTCAGCCGACCTGTAAGCAGGTGAAGATTCTGACCAGGTGTGTTTCTGTCACTTCTGAAAAAGAGGAAATCATTGAAGGTTTTCGAGACACTCGTGTGTCAGATGAGAAGCCCTGAGTAAACTCTAAACACTCTGAATATTCGCTTAGCGTGGCACAAAGACCAGAGAATAGTTGAAATCATAGCATCATGTTAAGAAACGCAAATATAAAATGAAGCTGACATGAGTGCCTTCAGCGTGTACTTTCACAGTGGCCACCAGGGGGCGACCCAGCTGTCAAAAAAGAGATTTATTTCTGAACTTATCAATAATGAGCCCACCTCTCTGTGGATCATTAAAGCTAATGAGATTATTTTTCAGCTGGTTAAAAGACAAACTTAGATTAGAAATGAAGTCCCTCTGTGACCTGAGAATCAAACTACAGGAGGGACTTTCTCCAGGTGGCTAAGTGATTGAATCCACACTGATAATACAGCTCTTTTTCACCTGCTGTTTTACCCATGAATCTTAGATTTCACTGTGAAAGGGAGCAGGATTTTTCGTTTAAGAAAGTAGAGAAGAAAATGGATAAAAATGATCTTAAAAAGGCCGGAGAAAGCAATATAAATCTAAAATAATGTGCAAAGCTGTTAAATTTAAAACACGAACAGAGCCAGGTTACTGTTTCTTCTTATTTCCATTGTGTGTGCGAAGCCAAGCTAACCTCCCCGGGCTCATGTCGACTATTTACACACACACACACACACACATGTGGAATCAGTTGTTTCAGTCATTGTGTATGGTGTCTGTACTGTCACAGAGGTGCTGTGTAATGTGCGGGTTTTCGAGGCACTGTTAACCCTTTGAGAGTCCAACCAGAGGGGACATTTGGCACTTTAACTGCCCGACACCGTGAAGTGCCTCCTGGGTCGAATTAACACGACTCCTCTATGCAGCCTCCGCACACAGACTGTCGTATGTGTCGAACCCTCATCCGTCATTCAGATAAGATACTTAAAGGGATCTGGTGCAATGTGTCAGTGTGTTTCTAAATATGACAACATTTCAAGATGGCTGACTGTAGTTTAGTGTAGCTGTGTTGTGATCAGAAAACTTGGACTTGGGGTCAAAATCTAGAACTTTTATCACAGAGTCTGGGTTCATACTGAAGAAGATTAGGGTTGCTACAAAGAAAGAAGTCAACTCCATACTCAATTTTTCCTGTGTTTAGGGAGGGGGGTATCTGAGTTTTATGTAAGAATTTTGACTCTTTTTCAGAAATCTGTTTTTGATCTCAGAATGCAGAGCCCAGAGTCAAAATTCCAACCTTTTTTTTTTTTTTTAATTTTGTCTTCATCTGTGGAAAGTGTTTTGGAACTCTAACATTGATCTCAGAATTGTTACTTTTTCAGAATTCTGTCTTTGATCTCAGAATTCCAGGATCAAAAACAGAATTCTAAGATTAAAGTCAAAATTCTGTTTTCATTTGTGAAAATAGTTCTGAAACTTGTTTTTGGAACTCTAACATTGATCTCAGAACTGTTACTTTTTTTCAGATCTCTGTCTTTGATCTTAGAATTTTAAGTTCTAAGACAGAATTCTAAGATTAAAGTCTGAATTTTGTCTTCATTTGTGGAAATCGTTCAGGAACTTTTAATGGAACTCTAACATTTATCTCAGAATTGTAACTTTTTTTCAGGATTCTGCCTTTCATCGTATAACTCTGATTTCAAATTATATACTTTTTTAAATTTTTAGTTTAAAGTCAGACTTTAGACTTTTTTCTTAGTCTTCTGAGATTAATCTCAAAATTTTCAGAGAAAAAAATAGTGGCCCCAGTCCTTTTCCATAAGGTTTCATGAAGCTGGTTCAGATAAATCTTTCACAGTTCTTTATTGGGAAAATGGCCCATGTTATGTTAACTGTAAGAAGTTTTTCTCTGTGACTAAAGTCTTTATGAAGGTTTGGAAAAGGAAAAGAAGCTTATTTTATCCCCACCCCTCATATGGAAAGATTGTCATATTGAAGGACTGAAGTTTCAGGGGTCATTACTGGACTCAACATGGAGATTGGACTGATAGATACCAAAAGATGTGTCCTTTCAGTTAATAAGAAAAACATAAAATGTCCACAAACTCTGAGTAAGTTTAACAACAAGTAACAAATAAAAAGTACACTGTGAGAAATATGGTGCTTTCCTCTTTTACTTGAGCTCTGAATATTAGACACTTGAAAGCAGAATAACAGGAGTCAGTGCCTAAAATGCCAAAAAGATGCTTTAATGACTCCATGTCAAGGGGCTCATAAAGCTGTTCTTGGTGTATCTGGGGTTGAATTATCCTCTAGGTTTGTAAGAAAAGATGAAGTTAAGAACAGCGTGCACTTTAAGGTTCAATAAGCCCAAATTTAATTGTGCTTTCACTGAACTTCAGAAACTCTTTTCACTTTAACAATTTTTAGGATTTACTTCAATCCAAATAAAAAAGATGTCATCAAGATGACGTCTGTCAGAGAGTTTGGCCCTGAATCTAAGCAGCAAAAGATTGGACTATTTGGGTTTATTTCAACATTTTAAACTGAACCAGCTCCATGACACCAGGAAACCTGAGTGAACCCACAGATATCCGGCCTAAATTCTGCTTTCTGTTCCAGTCTCTGGAAGTGTGCATCTACTGCAAAGTTCTATAAAGTTGTGCAGATTTTTTTTATCCTCTGAGTGAGCAATAGAAAAAAAAAACATCTCAGGGGATCCTTTTGTTCAAAAGAAGAGTAAAGACATAAATACCTGCATGAAGGTCTTTCCACATGATGTGATACTTGCAGCTAAAAGAAGGCGAGCTGTCCCTTTAAAACACTTTAAGTTCTTGTCAGCGGAGGAGAACCCAGAGTCAAATCTGTGCAATCAGCTGTGCCTGTCATCGAAGCTGAAACCTTAATGTCCAAGCAATAAAATAAAAATGAATTACTGATGAACTCTGTGTGTGTGGGGTTTCTGTATTATTCACAGTATGAACATACACAAGTGTAAAACTGGATCATTTAATGTTTAATGTAATATAATATAAAAACATTCAAGGAGAATATTTAATAATGATGCAGCTCCAATGTGGTAGCATAATTATTAAAAACAGATAAAATAAAGGTCAAATATTTAATATGGTTACGGTCGGCAGTTATCTCTGACTGCTGCTGCTGCTGCTGGGCTGTGAGGAGTTCTGGGAGGCGTGAGCTTCTCTGTACTGCTGACTCCAGCTCTTAGGGTCCACCTCATGAAGCTACAACACACACACACGCACACACACACACAAAGAATTTGATTAGTTTGAATTATTCTGCGAACTGACCCGTTTAAAGTTTAACCTGCAGGTAAAAATCAGGGATGGGAATTGACAAGATTTTAATATCGATGCAATTATCGATTCTGCTTATCAATTCAGTCCTTTCATCGATTCCCTTATCAATGCCTTTCTTTGATTTTAATAAAAAGTAGACTATAGGTTTTCACCGTTAACTCAAAGTTTTATTGAGTCTCTGATAACAGAAAAAAATGTGTGATTTGATGATATAAAAGATGTCGATGGACTGAACCATTTGGAACTGGTTCTCGATTTCCATCCCCAAATCGAACAGATCCCTACCTCTCCCAGGAACTCGAGGATTTTGGGTTTGGACACTTCGATTTCTGCACGCTGGCCCCACCTGAATTCATACTCGACTGGCTCTGTGTGAGGGATCCGCACATACTCCAGGTACCTACACACACACGCTGAGTTAAAGTCATACTAAACTGAAACGACAGTGTGTGGAGTTGGTGCTGATCCAGTCCACTCTGCTGGAGAGGTTTGGTTTGGTTCGCACACTCCTGTTGCTCTGTGGTGTGGTATAAACCAGAGTCTATGGTCTGAGAGACACTGGCTCTGAACACACCAGTACAGTGGATACATACTGACCCTAACTGGTCTCGAACCTCTCACCCACTGATTGTTAGCCTGCTGAATTAGACGGCTGAGCTATGAGCTGAATAAAGGTTGTGGTGCTCTACAGACAGCCTTTACAAGTCTTGGGGGAGGGGCTAAATCCTTTTACAGGGACATGAGCGGGGCTGTGATAGCAAACTGTTGATTCTTACTTCTGACGCACAAACTCCTCTGTGACCACCTTCTTCACGTCGCCAAACTCTTCGTGTTTCTCTCTGGATAGAAATCAGAATCACAGAAAATTCAACAAAGTGACAGTCAGGTGAAAACAGTACATACATGCAGGTTTATAACATGCAAATGTGGTCTCACCCCGGGTCGACACGCAGTTTCTTCAGCGTGTTCCAGATGACGTCTACAGCACAGAGCGTGAAAGAGAAGTTTGCATGTTTTAGTTCAGAGGAAAACTGATTTTCTTTTCATTTTTTTGTGTATTTGGAGTCGAAATGATGAACAAGTATGCAAACATTTGGAGTCACTCAAAGGTAACAGCTGCAACCTAATCCTTTGTGCAAAAATGAAACCAACAGAGTGATATTTTTTTCAGAGAGTGAGATCCTTTTGGTGAACTCAAAAACAGAGGTACTAAATCTGATGAATCCTACACCACACAGGTAAACGCAAAAATTAGCCACAGAAGTCAGCAGTCGACCGGAAACTCTGTTCTGAGGGGTAAAAATGACTGTTTTCTCTATGGGGTTTGGCAGCATCAATCAAAAGAGATGTAAAAGCTGTTTTTGGTTTAAGAGAAAGTAACAGCGACATTATAATGAACCAAAGAGAGTGTGATGGATGTCTGTGATATCACTCACTTTCTCGGACCACGCCTCCTTTCATGAAAACAACACTCAGGATCTGAAACAGCAGGCCCATCTTTGGATTTGCAGGGGCGCTTCACACAAAATGGACAAAAATACAGAGAGGTGAGAAAACTGTTTTATCTTCATTATGAAATTCAAAGAAAATGAAGCAAAATACAAATATATATAAAATAACACTCACCTGATTGGAGAGTCTCCCTCAACCGGATCCAACTTGTTGACGAGTATGTACAAATGATTTTTTGTATCGATTTCGACCAGTTTAAGACCAAAGACCTGATCAGGAAAGAGTGGAGCAGAGACAGATTTTCAGAGATCAGCTCTCAAAGGAAAATTCTCAACATTTAGATGATCCCAGTGCTGCTGGTGATCCTCTCAGATTACACAAACCTTGTCAAAAGTCTGCGTGGCTCTCTTTATGATCTCAGGGTAGATGTTTTTGTACTCCTTCACCACATGTTTCACAATATCTGATGGGACAAAGAAGAGGATTATAAATCTGCAGGGTTAGAAAACAGCAAGTTCTATTACCTCAAGTGCTGTGCAGGTTTTTTATGCTACATCCAAAGTCCACTCTAGGACATAAAGAACACTCAAAGACTCAAAATGAAAAGATTCAGCTGTTGCAGTATTTCCAGTTTCTACAGAGGAGGTGGATCAGAATCTAGTCACCTGCTCTACGGATGGGGATCTTCTTTTGGGCCTTCACCAAGAAAAACTGCACCACCTCAGCAGTCTACATCACAGACACACACACACACGCACAGACACACATCATTATCATCATTGATTATAAATGACGGACTCTGTGGACCTCTGTGCTGCGGTTACCTTCTGGTCGACCTGTGCAGGGGTGAGCTTCTCCAGCCCTCTCTGGACCTGCGTACTGCTCGGCTGAGTGAAGGTTACGTCGTCATCGTCGTCCTGAGCTGGGAAGGCGCCTGACTGCCTCTATGTTCAAACACAGACACGTAAAATCATCGTAAAAATGGTCACAACACAAACTGATTATATTTGGCTCACAAGAAGATGCAGATGGTTTAGAGAGAAGCAGATACAACATGGATCTGGCAGTGTAACTGATTTTGTTTTTGTCTTGTAGGCGGTTGTGAGTTGTTGTGGTTGTTGTGAGTTGTTGTGGTTGTTGTGAGTTGTTGACGTTGTCTTTGAGTTGGTGGTCAGATGTTTTTTGTGACTGTGCGCTGCAGTGGAGAGCTAACTGTGAATGTAGACTCCAGGAAGAATAGCAATGGCCTTAGTCAAAGTTAATGAACGAAACAACGCTGTTTCCATGGAAACGATACAAACCTCTGAAACTTAAGGACTTTTCTGTAGCTGTCCTCAAATAAACCACTGTAGCTCTACACTCAGTGTCATCCTGTTGTATGTTTAGTATTTAGTCCTAACTGTTATTAACTGTTACTGAAGTTTCTAAATAAGATTTTTAAAATATGATAAAATAATACAGAGTCTTACTTTGGCCTGAGAGGAGCTCGGAGTGTTGGAAAGTCTCTTTCTCTGCGTCATGACCACAGACTACATGAAAAACAAACAAACATAGAAACGGTTATTTCAGCGAGTTTCATTAGAAAACATTTAAACACGAACCGGACTAAACCACACAGAAATAACGATAAAAACGACCTGTTAACGGTTTACCAGTGGGGGAAGTTGACAGTTTAGTAGCTGACAGTTAATGTTAGTCTAAAAATAACATTTTAAGACTAAATCTCAGAGAAATACAGTAACTTCACATGATAAACATTCACTTTACCTCTACGGAAACTCCCGCTGCTACAGCTTCAATTGGCGCGTGCTGATGACGTAAGCGCGTTCGACAACATGGCGCCTTTTTTTCTTTTTTGCTTTATTTAAAAAGATCAATAATTAATCTACAACCAATAAAGAATAAACGTCTCAAAGATTATATGTGGACTTTTTGACGTCATTAAACTAAATAAACGTTGATGTTTCGCTATGATGTAACAAAAGCAGATTTACCGTCGATTACAAGAGTGTCTGTATTTATGTTATAATTTTTAATAAGAACCTGAAGGAAATACGACCGAGTATCAGAACAACACATCAAGACAAAAAATTAAGAGAGAAAATTAAGACTTCGAGTTTAAAGTCATTAATTTACGAGAGTAGGTCATTACTAACGAGAAAAAAAGTCGTAATTAACTACTATACTGTAGATAATGTGGTGCAGATGTGCCAAAAGATGAAGTACCTCTTTGTTTTAGAAACATATATAAAGTACATTTTCACGTAATGATCCATGGCTCTTCTTTCAATAACTGTCATCTTAAACAGCAGGTTAGAATACAAGTACATTATTCTGACTTTACTCTCGTAAATGATTACTCTACTACAACTTTATTCTCCTAAGTTATTACTTTAGTACGACTATATTCTCGTTAGTTATGACATTATTACGACTTTATTCTCGTAGGTAAATACTTTATTCTGACTTTATTCTCGCAAGTTAACTGCTTTACTCTTGAAGTCTTAATTTTTTTTTCTTAATTTGAAAGAAAGAAAAATTAAGAAAGAAATTTTTTTTTACCCACTCCGTTAAAATGTGACCCACTTCAAGTGTTAAACACAACTATTATGAGCCCTAAATGTTCCCTTTTTGTTACTTAAATCATCATTTTTAGTGTTTAATGTAAACTGTTATACTTGGTGTCTAATTATAACTCTAACCCTAACCAAAACTCTCACTACAAAACAAACAGGTCCCAGCTCTACAGACATACAGTACATCTATTTAAGAGATTTACAGTCAGTCTATTAATGTACCACAAGATGTCGCTGTTTGTGTACTAAAGTAGAATAAAGTTATTGCACTCCTGACTTGTTAATGCAGAGGGAGTGTTCAGTAAGTGGGAGCAGACGGTCCCATTCCGAGTCTAAAAGAGTCCAGCATGTGTACTTACATAAAGACTGAGACTGTTTACAGACAGGAGCTCTCGGTCCCTCCCCGCTGACTGAAGTCCACTGTCCCGCAGACACACACACGCACACACAGACAGGTGGTCAGTTTTACAGACAGACAGGGACACTCTCACGCACCCACTCGAGGACAGGACAGCAGCGGTGTGTGTGCGGACTCCCGGGGGCGGCGTGAAGCGGACCGGGCCCGGCTGTGTGCCCGGGCCATGGTGAGGGGAGGATGGGGGAAGAAGTAAGAGTTTCTCCGCTGAAGAACTTCGTGGCTGGAGGGGTGGCCGGAGCGTGTCTGCTGCTGGCTGGACACCCGCTGGACACCATCAAGGTGAGGCACGATACCTGGAAAGAAAACGGGGCTGAGAAGACGACCGTTTTCAACATCTCTCTGTCCTTAGAGTCGTTTTTCTCTTTCTGGATCTTGTTGGGTTTGAAATGAAGTCAGACATCAGACGTGGGTGTTGGAGGGATTACTGAAAAACCAGCTTAAGATGTCACCGAGGCCATGAGGCAGTGAGAGAAAGCTGGAGACATGGTGAAGAAGTAATTAAGTGGGCTATTTAAACCTGAAAAGAGGAGATAACCAGAGTATTAGAGACTAGTTTACCCTAAGGAAGTACAGAGGACTGTAAACAAAAAAAAGAAATGATGAATATAAATAAACAGAGTAAAATAACTGGAGCTATTTGATTTTAATTCTCACGTGAGAAAGAAATGCTAGAAAGTTATAACCTGCAAATAATTTGACTATTTTTCTATTAATTATGCACTTTGATTACTTTGCACCTAAACTCGAAGCCCATGAAAAAGAGGACTGTAAACTTAAATAAAACGTCAATTCAAACAAACAAAAAAAAACTTTAAAATGAATAATATATATATGAACAGGAGAGTAAAATAACTGTAGTTACTGAATTTAAAATCCCATGTGAGAAAGAAATGCTAAGAGGCAAATGGTTTATGACTATTTTCCTATTCATCATGAACTTCGATTACCTTCTGTATGCACCTAAACTCTTAAAAGTCAAATACATTATAACAAACTGTTAATATTTAAAAAATTTGACTAAATTAAACCACATTTTCCATGACAGGGTTTAGTCTTTTCCGTCAGCTCTGCCTAGAAATCCTCTCTACAGCGGATCAAACCTCTTTTTTTCCTCTTTGCAATAATAAAGTTTTGCTCTGAGGACGAGGACAGCTGTAAAAGTTTGAGGGTCGATGTTCAAGGTGCAATGTTGAGTCCAAATGGTATGTATGGATTTCATGACACTCAGCAGCAGAGACATGTAGTTCCTTGAGAGATAACACAGGTCTGTGCATCACTGTTTGTCACCTACCTCAGCCTGTTTCTGCCGTTAAACGAGCAGCTAAATCTGCCCAGTTTCCACCACACACTTGAGGTTATAACTATCTGTGTAGTTCAGGATGGATTTATCTAAAGGCCTAACTGTGTGCATGTTGTATCTGATCCCTCCCCAACAGTCAAACTCTCCCAACACCCTGTTTCTCTTTATCTGTAGCCCTGGAGCTGCACATGCTGAGGGTGTTTCTCTTACCCAACGTCTGAACAATCCTCCTCTCGCATGATCCCACATGTTTAAACATTTACATACCTGTGTATATCTGCATGTTTCAGACCTGAATAACTTCACTTCTGCTCTCCAGGTGAGACTTCAGACGCAGCCCAAAGCCTCCTGCGCTCAGTATGTCCTCTACAACGGGACGTACGACTGTTTCCGCAAGACCGTGTCCAAAGAGGTGAAGACAAACACTGACATGAACACAAAGTGCCAAAAACAATCAGAACTCAAACTTTCAAATTCAAATGTACATGGATGTACCTGTTAAAAGATTACATCTCCAGTTTTCTGATTTTACTGAAGAGTTTTGAAGGATTATTTTCATCATTCATCAGTCCAGTCTTGCAGCTGTACAGCTTGAACAACTCCTTGTTTGTCTTTTGCTGCCACATATCAGCACCTATCAAGCTCTGGTGGGACTGCTGCACCTCGTCTGCTTTTCCACAAGTTGGAAATGAAGCTTTGGGGTGTTACTTTTTACACAGCTGTGTAGTCAAAAAAAAAAAAAAACAAAGTTATGACTCTAAGAAACAGTCGAGACTAGCTGTTTGAGACAAACTGGAACAATGACGTTCAGAGTGGTGGGAGAGTTATGTCTGTAAAAATCTAGGAACTTTAGACTTGAGGAAACTTTTCAGGGTTGAGGTTTTGTGAGGTGAAGTCTCCAGGAAACAGAGAAAATATGATGTGTGTGTGTGTGTGTTCAGGGTGTCCTCGGCCTCTATAAAGGTATGGGCGCTCCTCTGGCAGGAGTCGCTCCGATGATGGCCATCAGTTTCTTCGGGTTCGGTCTGGGGAAGCAGCTCCAGCAGACGGATCCTGACAAACCTTTAACGTGAGTAAAAGAGAAAAAAACCTCCTCACTCATGTGAAGCTGTCAGCGTGAGCGTCTCTCTTACAGTGTTTGTAATACCTAGAATACAAACTCTATTTATAACCCTTCCTCCGTCACCCTCCTCTCCGCTGTCATTCGCCTGGCAGAGCCCACTCCCTCCACACACCCCCGTCCTCGTGTTACCAGACCTCTCAGCTCCGTCGTTCGCTTCGACCCCGGGTGTCCTCTGTCTAAAAGTGTTTTGTGTTTGAAATGTCACGTGTGCGGCCGCCGTCTCACCCCACAAAGTTTTCTAGTCTTCTTGTTCCTGAAAATCACCTTCACTGCGAAGGTTAAGCCCTAAATGTTAATCTGCAGGCTCGCTAAACTAAAAATAACAATAATTAATTTTGCTTCTTTAAAAATGAATCAGCATAAAGACGGTCTGATATCAACTTTAGCCAAAGACGAGACGTCGCAGAGGCAGAAGCAGGACTGGAGATGAGCTTCAGAGGGAAACTAAAGTGTTATAAAGATGATTTTACTCTATTTTAACCCAAACTGTTCATGTGTCCACATGTCCAACTCTGTCTGCGCCTCTCCTCTGCTCTCTAAAAGTGAACATTTCCTGTCCCGTTCAGGCACACTCAAATATTCCTGTCTGGCTGTCTGGCAGGAGTCTTCACGACCGTCATCGTGGCTCCAGGAGAGAGAATCAAATGTTTACTGCAGGTAAACTCTCAGTGCGACCACATACTCATGTTTTTATGCTCTCGGGTGATCAGTCCACACACAGACTGTTGTAGTGAGAGGAAACAGGAGCTGAAGCACCTCCTGCAGCCTGATGTTGTTTGTTAACATGTAGTTAGATAACCTTTGGCCAGTTTGATTCATTACGACTTCTTTTCAGCAAAAATGCAACTCAAGCTCAAATAAACGTCAGTGCAGATAAAAAGCACCTGTCACAGACTCAACTTCAAAATAAAAGTACTGTACAAATGAAAAAGATCAAAGAAAATGACAGGGCTTTTACTTTGAATACCAGCTGTACCACATGGTTTATAATTCATGCTTCACAGCAGAAAACCTCAGTTCAGATGCGGTCACCCTGTCGGGGTCTAAACTATCTCATCTGTTGACATGTACGCCAACAATCAAGCCGTACCGATGTCTGCATCAAACCGAACCTCTCAGTGGAAACACACCGTTTCATTTTGAGAGAGGGTAGCTTTACTTCATCAATCATTGTTCGTATTGATTGTGTGTTTTCCAGGTACAGGCCAGCAGTGGGAAGTCAAAGTACGCCGGTCCTCTGGACTGCGCAGTACGGCTCTACAAAGAGCAGGGGATCCGCAGCGTCTACAAAGGAACTGTCCTGACTCTGATCAGAGGTAAACTTTTGTTTCATGATGTTTGTGGAGATTTTTGGATTTAAAGTGCCGATTTACAGCTTCACATGTTCTCTCTTCATCTCCCAGATGTGCCTTCTAACGGTCTCTACTTCCTGACTTATGAATACCTCAAAAACTTCCTCACACCAGAGGGTCAAAGGTCAGTAACCACCAGAACTTACTTTAATACAGAATCTATGATTGAGCATAGCTGGTCAGGAAACTTAAAGGGATACTCTTAAAGGGATAGTTGTGTTTAGTCTCTTTGCTAAAGAAATGAGTCAAAGTTAAAAAGATGTTTGGTGTCTAGTACTATGTCTGTGACCCTATATGTCCTGTTGATGAAGTTAGGTGCTGTTCTGAGCATTATTTGTGGCTATAGAGTGGCGTTTTGGTTGGGGGCGTGTCTCTCTGTATTGCTATCCTGCGGTCGTTACTAAAGTTGGTATAACTAGAGAAGGAAGCGGTCGACAACATTCATCTCTGGAGGGGGGTCTAACTCGGTGTTACGGTGGGTTTGACCCTAACTTATTTCACGCTGGAGTATCCCTATAAGACCTGACCTGTGGGTCCTAGCAGCAATAGCAGCAACCATACTGCTTCAATGTTCCACTACCCGTGTGTAAACGTCAGCCTTTTTGTGTTTTCTGGATATCATTCTCACCGTAAACCTGCCCTCTGTGTGTGTCAGCGTTTCTCAGCTCAGCACTCCAAACATCCTCCTGGCTGGAGGAATAGCGGGAATATTAAACTGGACCATCGCTCTTCCTCCAGATGTCCTTAAGTCAAACTTCCAAACAGGTGAGAGAAACTGTAAATCTCCTCACTGAGAAACTGGAGGATAGAAAAGAGAGAGAGACTGTGTTTACTTTCTCTTCTATTAACCAGGGTGTCCAGCAGCAGTACAGTTCAAACATCACAATAAACATTTAAACACAGTAATAAATAAACTTGTGGTCAAAAATGATGGTAATAAAGTCCTTAAACTTTTCTTGTTTGTGTTTTTGAAGCTGCAGAAGGAAAGTACAGGGGTCTACTCGACGTCTTGAGGACGCTGCTCCGAGAAGAAGGACCTAAAGCTCTTTATAAGGGATTCAACGCAGTTTTTCTACGAGCCTTCCCTGCCAACGCGGTAAATAAAAAACTGCTCCTGTATGACTCTGAATTCTTGTCCTTTATTTCCACAGTGATAAAAACAGCATCTTCCACCTTTTTTCTAACCACATCACCCCTCTGTATCTTACTTTTTGTTCTCCCTTTCAGGCCTGCTTTCTGGGGTTTGAGGTGGCGTTAAAGGGACTGAACTTCCTCGCTCCCAGCTGGTGAAATAAACTTGAAAGCGCCTCCATGTCTGCTTCTCTGTACCACAAACTGTGTCACAAATGTGTGAGTCCCATCACAGGACGTTGAAACGTGATGAACTGTTGTTTTCTTCGATGTACATTCACCTTTACTTTAACCGTGGTCCTCTTGTTTAATGAAGATACACACTCACTTTAAGAGTGACTTGATGACAGAAACGTTCACTCATGAATGTATGACTTTGAGGGTGAAAATGAAGATATATTTGGGGGAGGGAGGGGGTTGGCTTTGTGTTTATAATGTTTATAAGTTTATGAGCGTTCAGTTTCGGATGCCCACAGTCAGTATTAATTTATTCAACTTGGTGTAGAGCTTTGTTAAGGTCCAGGGGGAGTTTTATAAACTTTGTGGATAAAGTGTTTGAATAAAGAGGTCTGTATTTCTCTTAAGAAGTGTGAGTCTGTTTTCATGTTTAAACCACAGGGTGTAAATCAAAGTCAGTAAAATCATTCATATACCTGGTCTGTCAGAGGATTGCTGCTCGATTTCTGCGACACTGCCTACATTGTGTTCTTGAACTCCTATTCCTGTACGTAAGCATCGATCTGGGGACTTCAAAAACAGAGAAAATGGGATAGAAGATGCTGATCTGTTTGCAAAACTGTGCAGGACTGTATTATTAAACAAGTGAAAAGCCAGCAGTAGTGTTGTGTCGTTCGCGGATGATTCGTTCAAAAGAACCGAATCTTTTAAGTATGTACTGAACTGAATCACTTCCTGAAGTGATTCGTTCATAGCATGCAGCATTGCCAGGCGAGCGTAGGACCGCACGCGCTCACGCCTGAATCACTTGGTGAACGAATCACGCAGTGAACTACCCTCTCTGGAATCATTTCTGTCTGAGGGTTACACTTTTTTGGCGATTGTTGTTCCCCGGTGTTTTAACAGATTTAGTTGGCAGTTATGAGAAGAGAGTGAGAGAAGCTCTTGACAGCAGCGACGGAGGGAGATAGGGCTGCGTTGTGTTCAAGTGTACCTTGGAGAAAACTAACTTTTTTTTTTTAACTCTGCTAAACTGCCACCACAGCAACTTGCATACAGTAGGACACAGCATGTAACAGTACTGTATAAAACCTGCAGTTTGAGAGATGCTTGACTGTCTGATCCTATCATTGCGGCGATTAGCGAGGGAACGGTGCATGGACAGAGTGAATTTTTCTCTGAATGAACTGTGGAGTAAACGTTCAGTGAACGAATCACTCACTGACCCCAAATTACCGTGTAGATAAACAGCATACCATAAGACAGTACACTTAAAACATCATGACTTATAAACAAGTTAATTTTTACAAACCTGTTTGCCAAAGAAACATAGACTAACACTCTCGTCTCCCGGTCCCAGAAGCTCTGATCTGAACTGAACCCTGAAACGTTCAGCTGTCTATCAGTTCAGGAGGTCGGAGTCACAGGCTCCTCCTGCCAAGCGCTGAATGATTCAGTGATTCTGTGAACGAATCTTTTGAGTGAATCTTCTTCGTGAACTGATTCTAGTGATTCAGTATATCTAAAAGAACTGCTGTGCCCATCACTAACCAGCAGCCCACTTAGGACCAAAAAAGTAATTCTGTTGTCAAAGATCCTGAAAAGTTCCCAGTTTTTCTGAGTGAGCCGCATAAAGGAGAACAAACAGACACAACTGTCTCCAAACTTCTCTGTCAGCCACGACACTGAATGTCCACTAGAGGTCAGACTGAGTGAGTGAAAACATTCAGGAAAATCTGCCTTGAGTTACACACTAGTGATGGTACGGCATTTATTCATCATATACATTCACAAATACCCCTAAACTATCCTTCTCCAGGTTCTGTCTGTCTAACCTCCAGCAGCAGGTTTCTTCTGTTTGAAACTTTAACCTTTGAGTGAATATCTGTCCTATATTTTTAATTTTACTTCCCCCTTTCAAACATAATATCAGGTCAAAGCAGGAGAAGAGCTTCACCTTCGGCCTACTTTCCCGCATACATTACCCAGAGTTCTGTGTGTCTCAGTGGAACCAAGTTCTAACATGTCTGAACCTCTTTTGTCTTTTTTTATGAATCTACAGCACATTAAAACAAACAGACGAACAAAACGATTCAATTTATAAACTTTACTCCCCGTGGTTATCACGCTCAAGACGGTTTTCTCTAAAAGACTACAGTACCCACAATTCAGTGCGCGACTTTCAGTTCCGGGGTCGGTGACCATCCGCCTGTCAGCCGGAGAAAGGTTAGGAAATGTTTGATCTTGTGGTTTTTTCTGCTGTTTCTAAGTTTTTTGGTTTTAAAAACACATAATTTTAACTGCTTTAGAGTTAGAATCATAAGATTATCCACTTTAAAGTTTTAAAAATACAGTTTTTGTTCGATAACAGACTGTAGGAGTGATGAATAAACACGCAGGTCTCTGGGGAAGAAAACGTGTTTCACTGAATAAAACGGGAATTTAACGATTTATGAGTTTATTATGTGATGATTTTTATGTACTGTAAGCGTTAAAATGTGTCTTTGAGCTGCATATGTATTAAATTAAGTCATGTGTAAACGGAGAGGCTAATGTTAGCTGCTAAACTAACCCTTTAAAAACTGTTTACTGGGACATTTTCCTCTATTTTAGGATCAATAATGAGGATTGATCTGAATTATTCTGCTGTTTGGAGTCTGTTTGCTTCTATTAAAACAGGACAGACTCTCTTATTGGTAATGACACTAAAAAACAGTTTATTTACACACAGAGCTCCAGTTTTATGAGGAGTATCATCACACCACAGGCAACATTAGAGTTTATTCTGTTGATCATTTTATATGACGGTTAATGTGTTAAATTAGTCCTCTTTATTATATGGACATTTCTGTGTTTATTTGTGCATGGTTGATAAAGATTACATCTGAGTCCTGTTGTTTATTTGTGTATAATAATAATAATAAAAATAATAATAACAGTTCAAACATGTTTTTAATGTTTTAAAGCTTCGTGAACAGTCTGTTTGTCTCTGAGCTCCAAACCAAGCCCACTGAGAAATAGACGACTCTAAGACATCTAGTTTTTTTTCTAGACCTAATTTTAAACATCTAGATTCTGTATATCTTTAGAGAGAATGTAGATGTTGCACTTTAACCCATCATTAGATAACGGGAGTCTCTGTGATGACGCTCAGCTCAAACAGCGTATCCCCCGGTGATCTACACAATCTCTGTCCTCCCATTGGCTGTATCAGGTGTCAATCATAGAAAACATGAACCCCCTAATAACTTTTAAAAATGGAGCTGTACAGAAAAAAGAGGACTTGAGCACAAACCAGTCTGACAGTAACTACATGTCAACATCACAACCAGGGGGGAGAAACATTTATATTCTGTGTCATTCATTTAGAAAGTTTGTCCACAGCTCCATAAGGAGGCGGGGTTTATGACCTATACTGCAGCCCGTCACCAGAGGGCGCTGTTCTTACAGAGAGGAGGCAGACGGCGTCAGTTCTATATAACAGTTGATGGTTTTAACTGAGTTTTCTCTCATGATACTGGAGTGAAAACTCTCTGTTTCGCCTCTTTAACCTGCTGAAAAACTAAACTTTGTGAAGAAGAGAAAAACTCTTCCACTCACGCTCAGCTCCTCTTCTGTCCGGCCCTTTAAGGTTTGAACGCGTGTGGATGTAGTGTCCGTGGAGCGCCGCGATGCCCCTGGAGGTCAGATGGCCGTTCCCACAGTGCCCTGCTTTGGCATGGAGGATCTCCGGCTCCCTGGTCATGGGCATGGTGGGCTCCTATTCGTACTTCTGGACCAGTAAGTTCTAAAACAGACCAGCACTCACTTCCTGTCATCGTGAGGTTCTCCTCCACTAACACCTGTTTTCTCCTCACCTTTAGAGTACATGAATTACCTAACGGTCCACAACCACAAGGTCTTACTGGACCTGATTGACCAGCGACCCGCTGACACACCGCTCATCACTCTGTCCAATCACCAGTCGTGTATGGATGACCCTCATATCTGGGGTAAAGACAGACGCACAATCTTTGATCACACACTGACAGAGTTAGAGAACAGTCCGATAATCACGTCTGTTTTTGGCGCAGGAATTTTGAGACTCCGACATTTGTGGAGCTTCAACAAGATGCGATGGTGAGTTCAGAGAGTTTCTGCGTTTCTTCTTCGTTTGCATCTGTTATTTTTTTTAATATCTGTGATTTTTGCAGGACTCCAGCAGCGTCTGACATCTGCTTCACTAAAGAGTTTCACTCCAGATTCTTCAGCCGTGGAAAGTGTGTTCCTGTCTGCAGAGGTGACTCTCTCGTCCTGTTATCTTCTAACTCTATCTGAATAATCAGTCCGCTTCAGTCCAGTCAATGTTTTGTGTATTTTCAGGTGATGGGGTTTACCAGAAAGGCATGGACTTCATTCTGGAGAAGCTCAACAGAGGAGAATGGGTGCACATTTTCCCTGAAGGTTTGTCCCTCATCTCTCCATCTCTTCCTTTTTATCTTTGAGTTTTCAGATTAAGTTTTAAAAAGTACGTAATCTTCCTTTAACAGGCAAAGTCAACATGACAGAAGAGTTCATCAGGTTAAAATGGGGTGAGTACAGAGAGGGTTATAAAGTATTTAATATGAAAAGGATTAGCCTCTCTGAGAGTATAACCTCTGCTTCTGTGCTTCAGGTGTGGGCCGGTTAATAGCCGAGTGCTCCCTCAATCCTGTTATTCTGCCGCTCTGGCATGTGGGTGAGTAACATCAACATAAAGGGTGAAAACACGTCATCTCACATGATCTGCTGCTCGAACACTTTCAGGTCAAAAACAGTCGAAAAGTTCAGATCTAAGTTTCCAGAATAAAGAGTTGGTTTAGTTTTCGTCACTGTGACTCTAAAGTTAGTCAGAAAGATGATTTCTTGTTTATGAAAGTCGATCAAATACTTAAAGTTTGTGCTTCATTGTTCACATTTCTGAGACCTTATATCTGGACGGTACTATCATGTTTAAACAGTGTCTAAAATAGCTTCAGGAATAAGTCATGACTGATCACTTCACTGTCTGTTGGTTCTCAGGTTTGAGTGACGTTCTTCCAAATATGAAGCCCTACGTACCTCAGTCTGGAAAGGTAGAAACTCCTCCGTTTGAATGGTTTTACTGTTTCTCCTCGGTCGCTCCTGTAGTTTTAACTTTCTGTCTCGCTCACAGAGAATCACGGTCCTGGTGGGGAAACCGTTCAGCGTGAAAGACATCGTCGAGTCTCTCCGAGCTGAAAACAAGAGCCAGGTGAGAGCAGGATGAGGAACACCTTTGAGATGCTTAAGAAGAATTCAAAGGCTGCAGCTGATATTTAATGTTTCACTGAAGACTAAATAAGACAAGAATTTAATGTCCAACTGTTTTTAGCATGTTGAAATGACATGAAAAGTGCCACATCTTTACACTCAAGCTCTTTGTTTTAGATGGAAATGAGGAAGACCCTGACTGACTTCATCCAGGGGGAGTTTCGGAGCCTGAAAGCCCAGGCAGAGGCTCTCCATGGGCAGATTCAGACCAAATCATGAGTCCTGGATGTCCTGCTCTTGCCTGCTACACTCCTCACAGCCAAAAACAGTCTGAAGACAGCGTACCCTGAGCTGAGGGTAAAACCTTTAAGACTGGAAATCCACCCTCTCACAGAACTTGATTGTTTTTTTATCTTCTTCTCTGCCTCTGGACTGAGGTTTCAGCGAGTCCTGACTGGCCTTTAAACGTTTTGGGTTTGTGTAAATTTGAGTAAAAGAAAAAAAAAGGCGTCATGTTTTAACCTCAAACGGAGGAAACTAACTTTAATTACAGCGCTGTACTGAGTGACTTGAATTCAAACGCTGTGAGTGATCTCTGGGCGGTTTGCAGCTCGTCTCTGCTGTCAGGGAAACATTGAGAATCATTAATCTTTCATCTTCTCTTTTGAGCTTTAGAGATCTTCCTACTGCTCTTGTGTCTGTATATTTAACCCTGTATCCAATGATGATGATTTATATGCCGTGCCAATGCAAGAAGCTGCGTGACCTCTGTGCAGCAAGGTGCAAAAAGCGCGGAGGTCGGCGTTTTGATATAAAGATTTAATTTAAACTAAAATATTTAGTTTCCTCACTGTGCTGGATCTGCAGTTTGTTAGTGTGTTAATATCGTAGAGAGTTTAAGGTGTTAAAATTAGGTGGAAATCTAAGCTACTGTTGTAAAAAGTGATGTGGGCATTTGCAGAATCATTCAGTCTAAATATCAGGATTCATAGAGAGGTACAGATTTATAAACGAGGACATTAGAGAGGAATCCTGAGGCACACAGAGTACATGACTGTTAGTAAACGTACTTTTTAATACGTTAATATTGAATCCATGCTGCTTTAATCTATTTAACCCTTTTGTTACATGGATATCTCAGTCACCTTTATGACTCATTTCTGGAGGTGTAGATAAATTCTTTGCAGGTTAAATTTTATAATCTGAGATCTCCTGTAGATCCTCCCAGCCTGTGATCTCCTCTCTGTTATGGATGTTTGTATATAACTTATGAAGTCAGAGCGATCGGGGGCTTTTATGAAGTAGGAAAGGTCAGAAATAAGAGATCTGTGGTTATTTTATTAATGTATTGCCTTACTGTGAATGCCACTCTTTCCTACTGTACACGACGTGAATGCCAATAAAGTGTTTGACTTTTATACATTTATCTGTGTTTTGTTTTTCCTGTTTACAGACAAAAAATGGATCATCTTATCCCACTCTCTCCCCTATAGATTTTTTTTCTGCATAATTGATCAGAAAGTACAGAGTAATGTAATATTAGTATTGCAGCTTAACCTTCCTCCTGTGTTAGCTTTGACTACGCATCCACTATGTTGAGGGTCAGTTTTGACCTGTCTCTTAAATCAGCTGTAAATTAAAAACAATTCTCTATCATCCAGTTTGGTTCTCATCTCTATGTTACCTTGTTCGGCTTCATTATCCATGAAAATATTGATGATAATAGTTTTTGTTGTGGTCCTCTGGGCCTTTGTTGTCAGTGTACCCCTCATACAGACATCTATACTGACCTGATCTCACATGTCTGGACATGCCTGACGTTGTTTTTTGAGCAGGAAAAACATGAAAAATGAGAATTTCCTAAATCTCACATGAGTGGAAGAAGATCTGACTGTCAGTGTGATAGCTGATTTTAGTTTTAGCTCTAATTATTAGACATTGATCTAACTGGGTCAACAGCGACCCTAACATGATGAGTGCCATAATTTTAATTAGAGAATTTTATAATTTAGTCAATTTAGATTATTTTTATTTTGTTAAAATCGAGGTTCCTGACAAAGTCAAAAAGTCTTGATGCAAAAAAACTAATTTAAGTGGTTCTTTAAAGCATTTAAAATCAGAAACAGGTTTATGGTGCAGACACTAACACAGGAGGAGGGGTAATTCACTGGGATAATAACAGTGTTAATAGTAATGCGATAATAATGAAATAGTTCTCTGGATATTCACTCTGTTTTATGCTCCTCAGTATTACTGTACTCAGTACTACTATACTCTGTACTGTGTACTTCTGTACTATTGTACTCGGTGTTTCGGTCACTGCAGTAAAGCTGAGGAAGATGACCGTGCTCTTCATCCTCACGTCACATGACCCTCCTCTACGTCACCTGCCGTCTGTCAGGGCTCGTAAAGATGGCGACGACAGGGACGATGCAGCTCCGCCGCATCTCCGCGTCTTTGGCCTTTTTTCTCGGCTTGTTGAGCGTCTTAAAAACGGGGAACTGCGATGAGCAGGTGCCGCTGATTCTGTGGACGAGCGAAGGGTAAGAAAGGCGGTTTTTGTTCGGTGTGTTTGTTCAGGGTTAGCGGCGCAGAGGCGGATCAGCGGGATAACGGCTTTTGACGCTCCTCCGTTCGGCTAACGGTCAGATGTTAAAATGATAAGAGCTTTATTAATGTCTTTAAATACTGTAAATTTCAGAGATGATTTTTGTTCGTTTGGAGTGTTTTAAATATTTAATGGTAACATGAAGAGTCTCCTGATATTGTGGTGGATGAACAGCAGGTGTAACAGCATCCTCCATGTATCTGATCTCTACTGTATTTAATGGGTGGATTCATTATAGAAACGGGTCAATTAAAACAATTTAATTCATATTTACTGTCATGGAAATATTGGTACATGGATTTAAAACTGTCCATCTGGCTAAAATCAACATAATATTTCTCCTTGTTATTCTGTTAATTTTATAATCCAGTTAAATTTGTCAGTGTTTAGGTTATTATCACCATATGTTGACATGTATATTCAATAAAAATAACTACCTTAACCTGGTGTTTTCCGGGATCATTTATGGTGCAAAAACCTGAAATCCTAGAAAAATAGGAAAAAAAATGAGGCTGTCATTTATTTATAGTGTATTTATTTATAGCAGTGTTTCCCAGACTGTAAAAGCTCGTAATTTAAAGGCGAAATAATAAAGCAAAAACAACATGTCACAATATTATTATTACTCCATATATAATATAAGCTCAAGTGAAAGTTAATGCAATTAAAACATTTTAAATAAGTTGTAACAGGTGAATGTTTAACATGTTTTTGTGGATAAATTCAGATTAAATTAATCCTGTGCTGTTGATTTAATATTCTGCTAAAGATATTATTTTGAATGTTAAGTAGAAGAAACAGATTTTACCTCTGAGTCTAACCTGATGAAATCCCTCACCAGGGTCCCCACGCTGGATCAGTCTCCCCCTGTCGCTGGTCACATCATGGAGCAGGAGCAGCTCTCCTCCTACCTGGAAAAAGCTCTGAATGAAGGCCCCAAAAATGTGGTGCTGTTCCTTCAGGACAAGGTACACACACACACACACAAAGTTAAATTTCCACACAACAATCATTGAAAAATGGACCTGTCTAGTTTTTTGTTCAAACTCCTCCTTCCTTTGTTTTTATGTAGATGAGCATCGAGGACTTCACCATGTACGGAGGAGCTTTTGGAAACAAGCAGGACAGTGTTTTCCCGAACCTCGAGGTAGGATGATGTGACTGACTGTCTAAAATTCTTCTACAGATCAGACTGAGAGGAAACCCTGACAGTAATAATTTCCATTTAATCCTCAGGGGGCTCTGAGATCCTCGTCGTCTCCTCTGGTTCTACCTGCTGTGTCCTGGCCCGCCTCCAACGCTGTGATTGGTCAGCTGCAGGATCAGTTAGAAACATCTCCTCTGTACATGGACCCGGAGACACTGAGTCAGCTGAGACTGAACGCTTCTTCTCCTGCTCTGCTGGTGTTCAGGCTGCCGTACGGCATCGGGTATGGTCGTCTCTGATGGCTCTGATATTTACAAATACAGTCTCTTTAAATTACCATGGAAACTTTAACGTACATGTAGGACCAAAAGCTTCCACCAGGGGGCACCAGAGACATGCTATCATTCAGTGTGGTCAACACCTCATAAGGGCATCAGAAGTCAGCTGATATAAGAATCTTCACGTGGATTTTCCTTTAATATTAAATGATTCACTTTATTAGACAACAGGGACAAAACATGGAGGTAGAGAAGTGTTCAGGAGTTTGATTTTTCTCTGATCGTCTCTCATTCCTGCAGGGCTGATCTGATGTCTGCTAAGGAGATCCTCAGTGGAAACGGTGAGTCTGCTGTTTGTCCTCTCAGCCCTAAAAGTGTCCGTCCTCATCATCGTCTTCATTTGCTCCTCCTCTCCGTCACTTAACCAAGTCTGTCTCTCTTCAGATGAGGTGATCGGTCAGGTGATGAGCACCATGAAGAGCCAGTCTGTCCCGTACACGGCCATCTACACGGCCCTGAGGCCCTCCAGGGTGAGTCCATGTGTCTTCATTCATATTAAAAAGTACTTATTTCTGTTCCTTGTGGATCTGCAGCTCTTAAATATGTGTTATCTGTTATTTTCTCTGTACAGGAGGCGGCGTCTCTGTCCATGGAGGCGGGTCTCGGTGGTGGTCGCTCTCTCCTGCAGTACAGATACAGAGAGAGGGAGAGAGAGAGGGAGAGGCAGCGCAAGCTCCAGGAGAGGGCTGGGGTCTACGGACCAGTGGAGTTTAAGGTACCCTGCTTTTGATTCTTACTCCGTGAAAGTTAACAAGAAATGATGGAGTAGTAATCTCTGTACCTCTTCTGTTCCACAGGAGGGGGAGGAAACCTGCATCCTCCTGTGGGCCAAAAGCCTGTCAGTGAAGATCCTTCGCAGCGGTCGATGGGAGGAGCACGATCTGACCCCGTCTACCTTCGGGGAGGGTGTCAGCCCCAAACTGCAGGGCTCAAACTGTGACAAAAGCAAAGCCAGGTAGTGAGTCTTTATGTTGGTGATCATTGTGGAGGATATTTGACTGTTTGTCTGCGAGGACAGATACGAACACGGGAGCGAGTTCCAGTCCAGAGATTTTATTCAGTCTTATATTCAGCTGGTTTCTCTGGAGGGGGTGAGAAAGGAGAGACAAAGTCAATAACATAATGTCTATCAATAATGAGAGAGCAAATTCACTAAAATGATTGAAATGCAAACTGAGAAACATCCTTTCTTAACCATAAAATGATATTTAAGTCAGGATAATAAATCATGGATCAGTCACAGAAGGATTTTAACAAAACAAACTCACAGTCAGTCATACTGGTGGTGTTTCTCCCAGTCAGCCAGCTCCACTGTCTCCAGTGTCTCCTCCCATGTTGGATACCTGGTAAAGCTGTTTGGACTCTGTGTGTCACTCCTTCATCTCTGACCGTCAGAGTAAAGCTGATGTGTTTTTCTGCAGATTGGTTCTGAACTACGAGAACGTCCTCGGACACCGCAGCTTCAAACTGATGTGAGTTGACGACACCTTCAGACTCTTGGATCTTACTCTTTCTGTGTTTTTCCAGTGTGAGGAGATCTCACGGTCCCCTTCGTCTCTCCTCAAATGTTTAACTCTCTTCTCGTGTTTCCAGCTTTGCTATGAGCCAGCGTCACTACAGGGTGTCTGCACGCCGCTGGTTCACTCTCGACGCCGTTGAGCTGGAGTACGACGGGACCAAAGCGACGTTCAACGGCAGCAGAAACATCTACGCTCCTGCTGAGTACTCGTACCGCTGCGAGTCCGTCACCAGCTTCCGTTGGCCCCTGCTGGTCCCGCGCTCATCCAAAGATCCAGCCAATCAGTGGAGGGTCTCCTTCGAGGACTTTCAGGTAGAGAAATACTGATTTGTGGAGTGACATCATGAGTTTCCGGTAGAGAATACAAACAGAATCCTGAAGCACATGTCCCTCATCGCTGTCCCTCCACAGATCCAGGGCTTCAACGTGAGCGGCAGCGAGTTTTCCTACGCCAGCGACTGTGCCGGTTTCTTCTCTCCTGGGATCTGGATGGGTCTGATGACCAGCCTCCTCATGGTCCTGGTCCTCACGTACGGCCTGCACATGATCATGCAGCTCCGCACCATGGACCGCTTCGACGACCCCAAGGGCCCGGCCATCTCTGTGCCGCAAACAGAGTAACACACACCTGCAGTCGCACCTTCATCTTCACACCTTTCCTTCCTCCAGTGGTTCAGACGTCTCTCCGTCTGCTTCCTGTTCCTCCCTTTACATTCCTGTTCATCTGTAGTCGGGCGCTGAGCAGAATCAGAGGTGGTGTGTGCAGAGTCAGGGTCAGTCATAATTATCGATCCTGAGACTCCAGAATCCGGTTTGTGCCTGTCATATAATCACAGCGACACACAGTTAGAAATATTAAAGTATTTTTGTCAGATTTGAGAGAAAACATCAAACCAGAAGAGATCACTCCTGGATTCACAGTCTGAGGAAACAGGAAGATGATTTTTGAAGATTTAAGAAAACAAAACTGATGTGAAGTTTTTGATTTTTGCTGATATTTGGAGGCACAGACTGGCTTTGGTCTCTCGGTTTAATTGTACATAAAGGGACTGAAGTAACTTATGAAAAATAAATTACAAAATGTTATTTATTGATGGAATTACTTTGTGTGTTTGTGAGTAGACCATGTGACATGTAGCTGTTGAATGATGTTTTTTTGTCGTCTGGATGAAAGTCGTCATATCAGCTGCGTACACGGCGAGGGGACGTGTGCAGACATGATAGGACCGCTAAACTAAAACCACAGCGTTAAAATCCAGACGTTTCCAGCTGTCTGTGAATTAAAAAGCTTTTACTGGTACAAGAAACACTTTTATCACAAATCAGACGTTTATTACTGATGTGCACTAACATTTGCTCTGAGTGAAACTGTTTTTGTTTGATCTGTAGTGAATATCAAATGTCTGGTCCTGAATCTGGTCCTGTGTCGTGCTGCTGTGACCCCAATAAAACAGGTGAAAACACTTTCTGACTGATGTTTGGATTTAAAACACGAAGAACAAAATGACAGTTTTGTATAAAAGTTATTTTCAGGTTTTCATAAGTTTTTATTTTCAAAAACATCATAAAAAATCACGACAGTGTGAATCTAAATAACTAATAATACAGAGTCTGATATCTGCTGGTACATGGGCAGATAAACGAGGTAAATAATGCATTAGGTATCCGTCACTTTGGCCCAAATGCTGTGAAATGAAAGTGTAACATTGTGGTGATTTTTTTATACACAGAATTTTTGCTGCTTCTCTCCGACTGATTGGAAACATTTGGCCGAACGTGTGAAAGAACATCCTGAGTTCAGTGTTTTCATTCAGGATCTGAAAAAGACAGAAAACACGCAAAGTTTAAAAAAAAGTTATCCTTAAAAAGACTTTTATTTTGAAAATTCTGTTAGAAGATCTACATTAAACTGTTTTCTTCATCTTTTGACTTTTTTTGTGCAAATTTATAGACAAACATTTCCTGGATGGTCTTAACTCCATAGTGACAGGTCTGTTATTGCTCAACAGCATTCTGTTGCTATGGATACAGCTGTAATCACAGATTCAGAGGTTCTGACTGCAGTTGTGTTAAAGTAAAAAAACATGTCCAGTCATCTCAAAGTGAAGCTGTTAATGATGAAAAGACAAAAAACAAAAAGAAAAATCTACAAATCAAAGATCGCTCTCTGAAGTAAACACTTCCTGAAACTGTGAAGGATGTGGTGATCAGGTCCACTGATTGGTTACTTACACAGACAGGTGTAGGACATCTCCAGGTACTTGAACGTCCCATAACAGGGGTCTCCAAACTCACCATTACTGACTTTGATAGAGCAGCTGTTTCTGCCGTTACACCTGTGGGCGCAGAGTCAGGTGAGTGTTGCTACATGCAGGTTTACAGTAAATTTCGACCATAACGAGAGGTCAGCTTCACCTTTCAGCCACGCTGCTCACGGGCCTCGAGCAGAGCACGTTTTGGGTTTCAAAGGCAGGACGCTGGAAAGAGCAAATGGACCGATCGAGACGTCCATAATGAGCCCCGTACACGTTGATCACCTGACCCTCATCTGAGGACAACAAGGAGGAAGTACGGTTATAAAATAAGTTTTTAAATGCATCACATCTTTGTTTTTATTCATATATAAAGAAGAGATCTTACCGCACTGTAAGGACGTGAAGGAATTCTCACAAACAATCCGGTGAACTGAGAAAGAAACGAACCAGATCAGACTTTGTACGACTGAAGGAAACTAAATCACACACAGGAATCCTCAGGGTGGTGTGAGGACGTCTCTGCAGCTTTTCCACAGAGTCTTTTAAACAGGCGTGTCTTACTTGCTGGGAGGCAGGTGTAGTTGGTCTGCAGGTATTTAGAGATGCCGTAGCAGGGGTCAGTGCTCTTAATGGTGTCAGTGTTTAGTTCACACACTTTCCTCCCGTTACACCTACAATCAAAAACAAGAGGAAAGTCTGTTTTAAATCATGCATTTGGCTGATAAAGGACGGTCTAAAAATCTGTTTTTATAGAGCAATGACAGACACAGAATTATAATGTTAAAAAAGGTCTGATCCTTCATTATTTTAATCTGGAGGGTTTTCAGGGTCTGTACCTCCTCCTGAGGGCGTCCAGAGTCCCAGGCTGGGAGCAACTCGTGTCAGCGAGCTGATGAGGAAATCTTCCCTCACTGCAGGTCACTCTGTCTGAACGTCCATACAGAGCTTCCTGTACGCTGATCACGCCGTTTTCTGCTACACAGGAGGAAAATATTCACAGTTAGAAAACAGAGAACTGATGTGTCACACGTATAAAATAATTAAAACTTTAACTAATAAGAGGAAATAAAACAAAATCTATGAACTCTGTGACTCTCGTTGGTTTAAAGCTCCTGTCAGGGACTTTTGGTTGATTTTGGCGCCCCCCTGTGGATGAAGCAGTCTTTGCTGATGTTGTATATTTAAACGTTTTTAGGTCACACAGAGAAATAAATGTCAGTTTCAGTTTGTTTCACAGCTAAAATCTCTCACTGGAGCTTTAATTTACTAAACGGGTCCTCCTGAATGTAAAAGTGAAGTCTTACCGCAGTTGAGACGTTGAACACTGATGGTGTTGTCACAGGTGGTCACCGTCTCAATGGCATCTTGAAAAAAACAGAGAGTATGACTTTAAATGTGTCCAAAAGTGATAAATACGACGTGTTCATGTCAGTGTTTTGATATTTACCTGCTGTCATGAGGAAACATGTCGCTGTGAGCACTGAAACAGAAAAAAATATGATCAGAATCAATGATCAATACATCCAGGATGAACTCTGGGAAATCAGAGTACTCACACAGAGCGGAGCTGAGCCTGAGGAAGAGCATGCTGCTGGTTTCAGGTAGAGATGTGGACTGACTGCAGCTTCAACACGCTCCTGTTTTATACCAGTCAGTTCAGGAAGTGTTAAAATGAAACAAACCAATAGATTAAATATTGATCTCTCAGATGGCTCCAGTAAATACGACAGGCTCCGTTATATGACTTAGTGGGTGCAGCTCTCTGATAAAGGTGATAAACAGCTGATTACTGAAAGGAAACACTTGGACGTCTTTGGGAATCGCAGAAGGAAGTTCATAAAGGATTTTAAAGAGGATTACGCAGAGACCTCTCCCTGTGTTCAGGTTCTTTTTTTACATATTTACATTAGCAGTGCATGTTTCCTTTAACCACAGACGTCCCTAAAGGAAAGCAGACTGTCAACCTTTTATTCTACGACCCAAATTCAAACAAAGAAGTTGGAAAAGTTTTGGTTAAAGCAGGTTGTAATCGTTAGTAACTCTTTACAAACAAATCTAATTAAAAAATGTTGAGACTAAAACCTGAGTTTTTTTCGTGATCATTTGAATTAGATGCCAGTACTGCATTTGAAGCAAACATGTCTCTGTAGTAGGAATCACTGCATGGGTTAAAAACCTCCAGCTGTAGGTTGAAAGAGGAAACCAGACATAAACATGACCCTGAAACACTCCTAAACGGGCTCAAACCCATTTATGAAAGTCTGAGGAGAACAAAGAAACTGACAAATATAACCCTCTTTTTGGAAATCATGGATGTCATATCCCCCAGCCTGTAGAAACAGGAGACAAGTGTTTCAGTGAAGTGTGTCAGATCATAAACACTCGACTTTACTCGATGACTGGACACTGAAAATGTTGGAAAAACTGGAATTAAACATTAATTTCTAAGAATAAGGTACAGGTGTGTTAACTGATGGTAAGTCCGACCAGCGCAGACACACCTGATTCTGAAGATCCTGGAACTGAGCGAAATACAAACAATAAAACAAAGGAAGTAGGACGATAAAGGTGATAAATCACTGATTATGGAAAAAGACTTCTGAAGAATTCACAGAAGGAAGTTCATGAAAGGGTGAATTACTCATACTGACCGTCCTCCTTTCTCACTTCAGAAACTGGTTTATAAAAAGGTTTAGATTCAGTGTGAGATGGTGACGCAGAGACCAGACAGTCGATCAATCAATCTTTTTATTGATTCGAGACAAAACCAAACTCTTTTTAAATTTAATATCCTGTTTCGAGTAACACCTGCGTCAGGAGTAGAACATTTTCACTGAGTAGTATAAACTTCACAGAGCCTTGGCGCAGAAGAACGACTTCTTCTTCCAGCAGCTGTTATCGTTGACGACGTCCCGGCCTGGAGGAGAAAGAGAGACTGACATCAACAACAAACACAAGATATGGACAAGTGCCGAGTGAGGAAACCCTGTCCTCATCAGAGTCTCTTCCTGGTACCAATAAGCTCTCAGTCAGTGCGGTAATCCCCCGTTAACGACCCCTTCCTGATTAGCTAATCTGTGCCATTTCCCTTGGTAGCTTCTTCATTTATAGACCCGATCAGGCAGCGAGAAATCTGATAAATTATCTACTGATGACAGGAACAAAAAAACAACATTAAGAGTTTATATGTCGGTCTTTCCAGGACATTTAATCTGGTGTATTCAAGCTCTGCTGCCTATGAAAGTATGTCAACCCCCACCAGGTACAGTTCCCTGAGTATCTGTTCCCATTTCCTCCACGACCAATGACCCCCCAGGGAAACGGGCCATCCTTCCAAAAGAGCAGGAGGGGACCGAGCAGAACTGTACCTTCATAGTTCATCTCCATGCAGTTCTCATGTCCCTGAAAGTTGTTGGGCTCCCCTTTATTCCAGCCGTTAAAGTCGAAGTAGGAGCCGTCACTCCACAGCCACACACCCTCCTGACAAAAAAAAACACGATGTTAAAAAGACGATAGCGTGAGGCGGAGCGAGGACGAGACCCCTTCAGTTTAAGACAACAGTGATCTCTGTGTATCACTGTGAATCTGTCAGCACGTCGCTCTTATCAACACTGCTGTAGACGCAGCTAAATAACTGCAGGGGGAGCTGCAGGCTGGTGAGAACAGACGGAACTTACAGCTACACATCTGCATAAAAAAACTGCACAATGCTGATTGTAATCAAAGTCTCTACACAGGGACACAGTTACTCTGTAAGTATGTGTTTCTTTTTTGTACGTTTAGATTATTCTGTATTCACTGATTATATCATACAAATATCTGGACCCTGAAAATTCTCCAAACGAGCCCCAAATCACCTCAAGAATAGGTTCATTTAAAAATACACCCACCTTTGATGCATCATTTCCTCCCAGCCAGATGTTCACTTGTCGACCGGCCACTCGCTGAAGCGTATTCCTGATGAAGTCGTACTCATCTCTGGAATGGAGAGACACCAGATTTCCACCTTCAGTTGTGCAGTGTTTCTAATGCGGCGGCGGTGGCAGAGAGGGCGAGGACAGACAGGTGAGGGATAAAAGTCCTGAGCTTACTGCATTATTCCCATCACCCTGAACTGAAATATTTGAGGTGGATATTATTGAAAAACTCACCTCTGCGACCGCCCAGGCCATTGGCTGGAAGTGGAAGATGTAACAGGACTTGCCGTACTGAGACCAGCCAGAGGGGCAAGTTTTACAGACTGTATGAGAGAGAATTCAGGAGGTTAAGAGCGCCGACCTTCAGTTTTACAAAATAAACACGAGAAGAAGAGCGAGAAATCTGACAAACACCAACCTTCTTCACCCGGACATACTGCCTGTGAAATAAAAGACAAAATATCTTTAATTTTCATCGCTCCATCACAAAAATCATTGTGTTGTTTTCATTTGATTTCTGAATTCATTATCATGTCAGCCTTATAAACAGCTAGACAAGCAGAAGGTAATGAGGTACTTGGGCTCCGGTCCACAGTCCAACAGTCAAACAGAGGAGTGAGACCAAATGGAGGCCTGATGCCATCTGTGTGAAGATGAAGTGAATTAATGAAGTTTTACATCATAAATATATTAAATTATACAGAAGTAAATAGTAATTCCACAACATGGAGAGCTACATGCTAATTTTTCAAAAGAAAATATTCAAGTCTAAAATAAAAAAGATGGTTGATTTAAATGAAAACATCAGCAGATATAAACCCAGAAGAGTAAAAAGGACAGGAATGAAAGCCTCACCTTGTTGCGAAGCTGGGATGAGGTTCACTCGCTGCAGAAGCGGAGTCTCTCTGAGATGTAAATTAACTCCTTTTAAAGCCTCTTCGCTTGTTTACAAAGTCTTTAATCAAACAAATGTTGTTTGCAAATTCAAATCGAAAATGAGTAGAGTTCGGTGTTCAGACCGAGACTTCAGGAAAAACCAGAATCTTCTTAAACAAACTTGTATCTCCTGAACTTTGTGTACTGGCCTCAGGGTTCACGACAGAAATTCAAATAACAGCTGTTAATAAACAACACGGGTGTTTGATTTGACACTCGGCTGCTTGTTTTGAGGGTAATGACAGAGTTCAAGGTGAACTCATCAGAGTCAGCTGTCAGCTTCACCCCTGGGGTTTGTTTATTAAAGCCACAAGGGGAAAGATGTACTATAGCTTTTACACTTACCCACAAGGTCCTACAACTTTTTACACATTATCGTTACCTCTGGAAACATAAAAACAAATGTGTGCTGAGACAGACATGAACAGAAGAGAGGACGGGTAAGAACCCAAACAACAAAAGATCGTTAAAATCGAACAGCAGAAAAGAAATGACACAAAAACCCTGACGACCAAGACAGAAGGTTTTTCCTCAGTCAGCGTTTATATCAAACTCAGGTTTGTTAAGTCCAGGTGGTTTTGTACAGATCAACTCTAGGTTTGGATTTCTTCGTGACCCAGAGAGGTGATATCAGGAGGCTGAAGTCTCACTCAGCTGGATTTTCACTCAGTTGGTTTTCAGCTGAATGTAAATCTTTTTTTCTTTTCTTTGGACCAGTTTTCTGTTTACAAATCATTATATCCTCCAACTCCTGACCTCCATTTTTCTTTGTTTTGGGTTTAGTTATTTAGTTTGCATACCAGCAATTAAAGACGTGTTGACACTGCGGTCATTTATCTCAGCGTCAACACTTCCTGTTTTCGTGCCTGTTGTTTACACCTCACAAATCCCATAGATGGATGTGTCCTCAGCTCTATGGCACACCCTCTGGTGGTGGTATCCCTCAATAACACACATCGTACTCACACATTTACATGATGAGGCAGAAAAGTGGAGTATGCAAAGACAAGACTGCAGGGCAAGTGCAGGTGCTGCTCAAAAATATATCGAGAATATATGGAAGATTTGCTTTTGAATGAAATTATGGAAAAAATGAACTTTTTTTAGGACATAAAACACAAACAAAAGCTGTAAACCCGGTCAGATGCACCATAAACATTCAGTCCTCTTAACAAGTCTGATCAGGTTGGTTTTAAATAACTTGACGAGCCTCTTAATAATCAGTTTACACCAAGTTTCCACAAGTGAGCAGAAAAATGGGTTTAGTCCCAAATTCTGTCCGGACCATCTCGCTCCTTGGATGTGTTATCTCTTTTGAGTTCATAATCTTCAGAGTACAGTGAGACACAGTCACTAAAAAGTATCTCTAGTTTCCTGAAGACCCTTAAACACTCACTTTTCCACTTTTAGCTGCTAAAACATAAACATGAATATTGTGGGAGGTGGTAGATGAGTTTTGTAAAAAGAGGTGAGACAAGAAGATGGAGTTCAAGACATTGTTTTATTTATTGAAGTTAAACTCAAGCAGAACTGTCAGACAATTTACGACAAGGGAAGCCACCAAGGTTTGACGTCCTGGTTCAACTGACATTAAATGAGGAAACATCATCCTCATAAGTCTGAGCACACAGCAGATACTTTACAGAGCCTTTTTACAAATGAAAGGTCTCTTTGGACCACAGGGGATATCGTTGACAAAGTCCTTTCCTGCAGACACAAAAAAGAGAATATTTACACGTGAGGTTTTCAGTCTTTTGAGTACAAGTTACAAATACTGTCACACAATAAAACCACGGGAAATGAAATGATCCAAACTGAGTAACCATCAAGGCCTGACCACATTTGTTTCCCCTGCCACTGACCTAGTTTTGACCGTACAGATCAAGAATGGTGGCGGTAGATATCTTAACACCTCCTACAATCTCATTTCTTTTTTTTTTTAAACTCTTTAAACAAAAAGAGAAGAATATAACTAGAAAAAACACAGGGACATATTTCCAGTGTCTCTGAAAGAATAATCTGAAAATGGGGCGCAGGAGGGCTGTGAGATCAAAATGTACCTCTGAAGTTCATCTCCATGCAGTTCTCATGTCCACCAGCATTGTTTGGTTCTCCTTTAGCCCAAAATTTGAAGTCAAACTTGGAACCATCGCTCCACAGCCAGACACCCTCCTGAAAAGAAAAAAAAGGGAGTAAAGAAACATTTCCTCCTTTTTTAGCTGATGTCAAACTTCATCTGTGGTTAGATTCTCCTGAAAACAAGAAGGCGTCTGTCTAAATCATACATACGTGGATGCATATGCCATTCTAAAATTTCTAAATAAATCTAAATCTTTATTAGCTAAAAAAAAGGACAACTCAATCTGATCCTGACACCCACCTTTGCTGCATCATATCCTCCGAGCCATGCGGTTGAATGTTGGCCGGTAGTGCGCAGAACTGCGTTCCTGAGGTAGAGGTACTCATCTTTAGAGTGAACAGAAGCCAGATTTCCTCCAATAGAGGTGCAGAATTTCTGAAGAAGAGGAGGATTTGTTAAAGCAAGAGCAGACAGGTCTGAGAGATACAAAACAGACAGAAACACTGACAGCTAGTCTGCAAATAACATCATTTTAAAACACACCTCAGCATCAGCCCAGGCCATAGCACTGTGGTAGTAGATATAACAGGCGGATCCAAACTGAGCCCAACCAGCAGGGCAGACTTTACAGCAATTCTCTGTAACACAGAGCGAATGAGAGAGAGTGAGGACGAGACAGCTTCAGAGCTTCAGAGCAAACTCTAGAAACACTGAATATCAGCTGATGAAGCAGTAATGATGTGATTATTCAGGACTTGTCAACCTGCCCAATTCCAACAGCTACTAACCTTTAGGTCCACATGCCTGTAAAATGAGAAAAATAGACATGTTTTAGAGTTAAAGTCTACTTGGATTTGTAACAATTATTTGCATGAGAAAAGTAAAAAGCTGCCATCTAATGGGATGTGATTACTTACCTCAGCTCCCATCCACAGACCGAGGAGCACGGTCAAATAAAGGGCTGGTGACATCTGTGTAAAAAACAAACGTGTGTTAACAAACTGATTAAAGTCTGACTTTGAACCACAAAATGAACATGATGTCTTTAAAATGACACTCAAAGCTGTAAATAGAAGAATTTAAACAGAAAAGGAGATTTACTGTCATGGAAACACTTAGCAGTAATAAAAAGTTAAACTCTGTTCAGTCAATATAAACCTAAAGACTGATGGAGATCTGAACAAAAGCGTACCTTGGACTGATGATGAGGTTGGACTTACAGCAGAAGCAGAAGGAACCGGTGTCTCCTTCAGTCTGAAATCAGCTGCTTATATACTATGAGGTTGTTTACAGAGTCTTCTTTGGTTTGCAAACATTTGCTAATTAGTATCGGACAAACTGAAAGACTCCTAAACAAGCAAACTTCAGTCTATAGAATTCCATAACTTATGTTTCTACATCACTAAAGATCAACATGTCAACAGGAAATAAATAACCTTGAGCAAGGCTTGACAATGACATATTAATGTTGTAATCAGACGTGTGCAGAGACACGTTCCGGCCCTTTGTGAGGTCTGTCAATCTAATCATCAACATGCGACACAGGTGTGTTGCTTTTATTTTGAAAACCTAGCCATTGTTTTATTTCCGTTTGGACGCACATGCGTACATCCTAGGTCTGCATTCGTGAACAGAGACAAATGTAAACATCGGCAAAATATACGTTGACACCTTATAGTTGCCAAGTCTGCTTATTATAAACGACTTTAGGCTTGTTTCTCTCAGAAGTTGCTCGTAAAACTCATGAGTCCAGGCTGGCTTTTTTGGGGGCTTGTTTTTACTAGTAGTTGCTTATTTGGGCTTCTCTGTATGTGTGAGCCCCCTGATTTGAAGTTGAAGTTATTGTTGGTTCAGCCCTCCAACACAGTTCAGGTTTCTCATGTGGCCCCATGTAAAATTAATTGCCCACCCTTGCGTTGGAGAAACACCACGATGGATAATTCCACAACCTTCAGCTGCTTGTATTACATTCTTCACTTATTACAAGCATTACTTTGGTCTCAATAAATTTGGGTTTAAATAAGTAATAGTGGCTGCAGGACACGTCTGATGTAATGTGATAGTTTGTGTTAATATCACTTCAATATATTCTAGATTTATTTCACACAAAGTGAAATGTTCAATGACTTTTTTGTTTGAAACGGTTTGTAGTTCACAAAAATCAATAATCCACCTTCAAAACATTAAAATATTGAGGGAAAATTTCAGTTACTTATCATTTATTTCAGTCCTGAAAAAAACTAATCAGTAAAATTAATTCTGAACACCTTCACAAGTTACCTGAGCCTCTATCTTCTCACTCTGGTTCAGTACACAAAACCACAATCATGGGAAGGAAGGACTGCTGACTTGAGCTGACTTTGCTGTTCCCAGAGTATCGGAAGAAGATTCATGGAAAGTTGACGGAAGGGAAAAGTGAGGGAGGAACAAGAGACCAAGAAACAGTGATGAGAGGACTGTCAAAGAAAGAAGATTCAAGAACTTAGAGGAGCTTCACAAGGACTGGACTGAGGCTGGATGGCAGCATCAAGAACCTCTACACACAGAAGACTCCAGGAAGTAGACGACAAGAGTTGTGTTCCTACAGACACTCCTGAACCAGGGACAACGTTATAAGAGTCTCATCTGGGCTCAAAGGAAGAACTGGGCGGCTAAGGTCTGTTTTCAGGTGAGAGTAAATTTAGCATCTTATATGGAAATCAAGGTCCCAGCGTCTGGAGGAAGATCAGAGAGGCCCGGAATCAAAGGGGTGAGAAGTTCAGCCTAAAGTTTTCACAGTCTGTGATGGTTTGTGGTGCTGGTGTTGGTCAACTGTGTTTTATCAAATCCAGAGTCAACACAGCCTAATGCCGACAAGAAGAGTTTCATACTCCCATTGACTGAGAAGCTTTATGGAGATACAGATTTTCTTTCCCATGAAAAGGAAAAGGTACCTGCCCACAATGCCAAAACTACCAGAAACTGGTCTGCTGACCCTGGTATTACTGAAGTTGACTGGCCACGATAGGCTATGTTGTAAAACATGAACATGATATTTTGGGAGGTGGTAGATGAGTTTTGTAAAAAGACACAAGAAAAGATGCCGTTTGGGATGTTTTTTTATTTATTGAAGTTAAACTCAACCAGAACTAACAGACAATTTATGGCGAGGAGCCATCAAGGTTTGACGTCCTGGTTCATGTGACATCAAATGAGGGAAAAATCATCCTCATGTCACAAGTCTCAGCCCACAGCAGAGATTTTACAGAGCCCTTTCACAGAAGAAAGATCTCTTTGGATTACATCCAATATCGTTGACAAAGTCCTTTCCTGCAGACACAAAACAGAGAATAATGGGAAGTCAGAGGTCATTCCTACAAAACCTAGACAAAATGCTGAATAGATAGGACATCTATCTGAAAACAGAGGGGTAAGGTCCAGGAGGGCCTGAGATCAAAATGTACCTCTGAAGTTCATCTCCATGCAGTTCTCATGTCCACCAGCATTGTTTGGTTCTCCTTTAGCCCAAAATTTGAAGTCAAACTTGGAACCATCGCTCCACAGCCAGACACCCTCCTGGAGAAAAAAATAAATAAATAAAAATTAAGGAATATTTCCTCCTTTTTTTAAAGCTGATGTCAAATTCCTCTTTTGATTTCAAGAAGTGTTAGCTGCCTAAATCAAACCCACCTGATCCTATTGAGGAGTTATTTAACTTTAAAACACTTCTTTAGTAAAATCAGCACCAGGTAGAAAAACTGAATCTGATCCTGACACCCACCTTTGCAGCATCATAACCTCCAAGCCACACAGTTGTATGCTGGCCAGTGAGACGCAGAACTGCATTCCTGAGGTAGTGGTACTCATCTTTAGAATGAACAGAAGCCAGATTTCCTCCAATAGTGGTGCAGAATTTCTAAAGAAGAAAAGGACAAAGAAAAGGTGAGAAAGGAAAGGTAACAGAGATAGAAATGAAAAAAACAGTCAGTCAAAATTATCATGATAAAATATCCTTTTAAAACACACCTCAGCATCACCCCAGGCCATAGCACTGTGGTAGAATACGTAACAGGAGGATCCATACTGAGCCCAACCAGCAGGGCAGGCTTTACATGCCTGTACAACGGGAAAAAAGACGTATTTTAGTATTAAAGTCTCCTCGGATTTTTAAACATTATTTGGATTTAAAAAAGTCAAAAGTTGGTATTCAGCGAGCGAATTACTTACCTCAGCTCCCATCCATAGTTTGCTGGATAAACAGAGGAGCACGGTCAAATAAAGACCTGAAAACATCTGTAAAAACAAAGTGTGTTAACAAACTGATGCAACACAGATTTAGACCTGACTTTAAACCACAAAATGGACATGCTGTCTTTAAAATCACACTCAAAGCTGTAAATACAAGAACTTTAACAGAAAAAGAAGATTGACTGTAATGGAAACATTTAGCAGTAATAAAAGTTCAACTTTCTGTTTAGTCAATATAAACCTAAAGACTGATGGAGATCAGAACAAAAGCGTACCTTGGAGTGATGATGAGGTTGTACTTGCAGCAGAAGCAGAAGGAACCGGTGTCTCCTTCAGTCTGAAATCAGCTGCTTATATACTGTGAGGTTGTTTACAGAGTCTTGCCAAGTTTGCAAATGTTGTTTGAAAAAATCAGAATAATTAAATCATATACAAATTGTACTGTGTAATGTTTGTTTGCGTGCGTTAGTATTTTCATTCTCTGGAATCGGCTCATTTTGTTCTATATCCTAGAGCTTGACCACAAAAAACCTGCTGAGCATATTTCTGTACATTTTATTAAACTGACAACACCTTAAAACAAATACCTTAGAGTATTTAATCAGGAGGATGCAGTTAAATTTCAAACCGTGTTAGACTCCATAATCAAAGTAGATGCACCAGTTTTTATTCACTTCACCTGAAATTTAAAAGTATTTTTTATAAGATGCTCTGCTGTGTTTTCTCTAAAGCTCATACAAAGCATTTGTGGCACCAAAAAATTAAGGTTTCATAAACAGTCACCTCAAAGAGTTGTGTCTGTACCTTAAAAAAAAAAAAAACAATGGCTGCTAGATATTAATGACATTAATGACAGTAAATGATTATTGCATGCATGTTTGTGTTTGTAGGCTGTTATGCTCTACATTTAAGCAAAGTGTACAAAAACAAAGTTAAAATGAAGTTCATTAGACCTGAGGTGTGTACTGTGGAAACAGCAAAAGGCAGTAATTAGTACTATGTAGATATTATTTGTTTAGAGCATATTTGATCAGTCGTCACTCAGCAGAGAGCTGACACAGCGACACTATGGTAAACCAAAATATTTTCTTACTCAAACTAACAAGTCAACCAAGCTGTGTGTCTTTGAGTTTGCTTTTCACAAAAAAAGGACAAGAGTAGTCTGAGACCTTGATAATAAATGTCATAAAAATGGATCCAAATATTCTTTAAAGGTTCAGAAAATAGATTTTTTAAATACTTCATATTCGGGCCTAATAGATGCCATATTTGTATTTTCACTCAGAGGCGATGCAGTTCTGTTTTCATGATGTTTCAAATGTTGAAAATAACGTTTAGTGAACTTGTTCCAACTAAAGATCAGTATTCTCTATCAGTCGTGTAATAACGTGACTATTTAGCACAATATGGACTCTTTGCAAGTACACTGAAATGTTTCCAGCAATTTCTTGTTTTGATTCTGGTATTAATGACCTAAGGCTCAAAACTTCATGAAATACTGTAGTTTTAATTTCCAGTTTGTGTAAATCAAAGGATTTATGCCTCAGTCTTGCTCAGTGTATAGCAGCGTAGCCAGAGAAGAAGACAATCATTAGCATCTGACTGTGGCTGACTGTGCAGAGAGCGCTGAGTCGAAGTAGTGAGGTGAAAAGTGTGGAAAGGAAAGGGTCGACTCCAGCTGGGAGAGGATTGTCAAGAAAGGTTGATTCAAGATCTCTGGAAAAGCTTCACAAAGAGTGGACAGAGGGTGGCGCCGCCACACACAGACCTCTTCAGGTATGAGACTAAGACTGTCACATTTCTGATATGGAGACACTCCTGAGACGTCTGAAGAGTCTCACCCTGGGCTGAGGAGAATAAGAGCTGGATTACTGCTAAGAGGTCTGATGTCTTGTTTTTAAATGAAAGTCAGTTTTACTTCAAATATTTCAGTTTTCATGAAAAATTACAAATTTTATTGAGTTAAATCTCGAAAAAAAAACCATGGAAATCCCCTTTAAAATAAACAAAGCCAAAACGGGTTATAATGTTCTCTCTTTTTTTTGTATGAGTTTGTATTAAAGTGCGTTTAATGAACTTGTGATTCTGTAAAATCTGCAGTTTACGACATTATTGGAGCAGGTGCTGCTATTTCCATTTACTGACACCAAAAATTCACAGCAGGGGGCACCATCACCTCATGTTACCCTCAATGTTTTGAGCGATTCATCAATTCACTTCGGATCAACCTAAATACAAAGGTTAATTACTTTATTTGTGTATAACCCAAGTTGCTAATCTAAACGAGCTGAATCTTATTGACCACATTTAGACACACGAGTCATGAGGAGTCTGCAAGAAAGCTTTATTCAAGGTGAAATGGTTGAAATAACCAAACAAGAAAAAGATGTAATCATTTGAAAAAGTATGTGCTGATCCATGCTTTAAGAATTTTAATGAAATTTCTTCCAGTGACGATGCCATCGAGGCTTGACATCCTGGTGGAAGAAGACATCAGTGGGGAGGTGATATCCTGATGCTGGACGGATGGAGGGGATTGTTATGGTTTCCTTGCACAAATATAAGATCTTCTCATGTTACACCTCTTGTCATTGACATAATCTCTTCCTGTGGACACAGGATGAAATAAACAAACAGAATCATTTCAGGGTGTGTGCTTCAAGAGTTTACCTTAGTGTCTTTTACACTCCTCATTGGTGTCATGAAGTAAAAGCCAAATACTCTAAACAATATTGAAAAACATGATATACAATTAAAGTTATTTTCTATCAAGTACAAGAGACTCCACAGCAAAACCACTTTCAATCTAACCAACTAAAAATAAAACTGATCGAGCTGAAGTCAGCCACCAGGAGTGGATTGTTAGTTTGTACCTCCCAGGTTCATCTCCATACATCCTTCACCCCTGTGGTTGTTCGGCTCCCCTCTTCCCCAGCCAGTAAACAGAAACTGGGTACCATCACTCCACAGCCACACACCCTCCTAAAACAGGTGTTAATGTTAAAAAAGGAACATTTTGACAACCATGAGCAATGATAGACCACAGATAAAACACTCACCTTTGGAGCATCATAGCCTCCGAGCCAAGTCTCTCTATGGGATCTAGTCGCTTTGAAAACCAGTTGTCTGAGGAAGGCGTACTCGGCTGCAGTTCGGATAGAAGGCAGATTTCCGCCAAGTAAAGTGCAGTGACTCTGGAGAAGACAAGAATCCGATTGTTTAGAGACCCCAAACTCTTTCTGTTTAATGAGCCCACTCAAAAAAAAAAAAAAACACTTGGCCTAATCTGAAGGACTTCTGTTACTGGTATACAGTTTATCTAAGTGGTAGAAAATCCCTCTGAGGTTAACCTTTTCCTGTTGTACAAAACACCCATGTCGCTTACAAATAAAACATTAAGGATCTCTCAGGTGAGTCTACAGCAGAACAGAGTCATGTGTTTTTGTACCTCTGCATCTGCCCAGGCCTTTCTCGCATCCTGAAACTGGAAACAGCGACTTTCGAAAAAGACCCAGCCAGGAGGGCAGGATTCATCACAGTCATCTATGGAGGTAGTTGTAATTTTACAGCAGTGTTGATACAAAAATAATCTTCACAGAATAATAAATGTACATGTCATTTTCATCAGACTGAGATGGCTGATGTGTAACAGATGAAGTCTCCGCATGTTGGTGAGAAGAACTTCTAGATTTGACTAAAAAGATGGAAAATTTTGACTCCTAACTTGTCTTGTGTTTGTTCAGGTAATCAAAAAAAACATTCAAAAACCACCACCACCATAATAACGAGGAACTTTACTTTGCCAGCTCATGTATTTTGAGCATCTCCAGAAATGTGTAAAACATGCCTACCGTTCACATCAGAACATCCAACCTGTGGTATGAAAAAGTGTAGAAAAAGGTTAGTGAAACTAATCGGCAGCAGCATTTTTAATTTTTCGGGCTAAGTGTACTAAAGGAAGAGGTGTTTTAGGTAAAGCGCTCTCAGTTATTAGAAAGGTTAGAAGAAAAGAGGGTGAAACAGTGTCTTACATTTTCTGTGATCCACAGTCCAATGGTCCAACAGAAGACGAAGAAATACAGACCAGATGCCATCTGTGCAGAGATATTTAAGAGAGGTCAGTGCACATATTTAAAAAAAGTTAATGCATGTATTACAGAGAAGTTAATGCACAGTACAAATGTTTATCAACTCAGCATGAAATACACAAAACTCTAAACAGTGTGGGGCACATTTAACAGATGTGAGGAGCTGGAGAGATTTAAGAGCGAACACTGTAGAAAAGGTATAGTTTGTTTTTATCCTGTTACATGTGAGACTATGTCTCTACTCTTCACATAGTCTGATTAAAATAAAATAAAGCTAACCCTAAATATGACATGCTCCTAAATAAAGCTGGCTCTGTAACAATAATAAAAAAATACCCCTACCTTGTCGTGATCTTGTGAGGAGGTTGCAGCTGCAGCAGCAGGTAGCAAGTGTCTGAGAGAAGGAGCGACTGTCTTATATACCGTTCTTCGACGCTTTGGTTCAATAATTCAAGGGACTTAAAATACACTGTGTGATGCTCTTAATACTATTATTTCACATAATGCCACAGCCTTGGGTAAATATTTGACTGGGACTTTGCCAATGTAAAGAAAACATATCGGACCTTTTGTCCATCGGCTTTAGCACATGACTGACCAAGGTGGTTCTTCTTGTGTGTCTACAATCTCCACTCCCTCTATGAATCTCTCGAACATGAATGAAAAAGTAAAATTAGACACAGAACTGGACGAAAAGTCATCGATAATAACAAAAACTCCCAGTATGAAAAGATGAACACAAAGTAACTACTGGCTGAACTTGGAGGTTAATGTACCTCTCCATTATCAGTGGTCGTTGGTCTTGATGGACCCTTTTACAAACGGACTTTCTGCAGATACCTGATCTACTGCAGCTCTAGAACGAAAAAAAAAATGCCAAAAAAGTTGAAAATGCTTTTCTGGTCTGAGTTTGATTCATGATAAATACGTGGAATTTTACTGAGATGATCAGTCGGTCTTCCTGTCCGCGTGAAGAGCAGTAGCCTACAGTATATCTACAGTATGTAGTATACTGTAGAGATCTACAGTACATAAATATATATTTCTATATTTCTAATCTAATCCCCGCCCTAATAATTGGTATCAACATTGGCCCCAAAAAATCCATATCGGTCGGACCCTAGTACAAACATCACAGCTGATGACAGAGCAATAATATGATCAAACTGTTCTTCCAAGGATGACCATGAACATCAGCTGGAAGTTGATCAGGACACAGATTATCACAGTCAGACACAGTGCAAACAGATGCTAAGAGTATAAGAGTTACAATTCAAATATTGTCACACGTCTCCTCCCTGTCTTGGAAAAAAAAGATTTTTTTATTATCTTGGACGTTCAAGTTGGCACTTCGATAAAATCAACAAAGACAACCTGCTGTTTGGTCTTAGCCTGATCTGTTATGATGGTCACCGCTCTCCCTTTGCAGAATCATGTATGCATATCTTGGGTGTGAAGAGGTTGCTATCAAATCTAAAACAAACACACACACATCATGTGTAATTTCAGTCAACGCTACACTACACTTTCCTGCTTCGCCTCCTAATCAAACGGCTGGTTTTATTTGTTAAGTTTTATCAGATGACATGTGTGAGTTTAAGCATCACCTGTGCCTGTTTTGATCAGATTTGATGCTCATCGCTGGTATTTGGCATGTCTTTTCTCAGATGTTAAGTTTTCAAGTGATCTTCTTCCTGGGTCTGAGCAGCGGGCTGTTCACCGGAGCAATAGCTGTAAGAAAAACTTTCTCAAACTTTCTTTAAATGTTTGTCAAGGGTCACTGAATACTGAACAACTTGGGTCCATGATGGGAAAGTCACTGAGCTACAGGGCCTTAGAGATTTTTGCATCTCAGTTGGACATAACTTCACACAGACTCACTTAAAGAAAGACTACTGCATGGTTGAGTTGACCCCCCATTGGGCCAACACACTTCCTATTGTCAAGTGCTTCAAACAGCCACGCTTCAAAAAAGCTGCTTAGATCAACAGACAACCTGCTGTTTGGTCTTAGCCTGGTTTGTTATGATGGTCACCACTCACCCTTTGCAGAATCATGTATGCATATCTTGTGTGTGAAGAGGTTGCTATCAAATCTAAGACAAACACACACACATCAATTTCCTGCTTTGCCTCCTAATCAAACTAGTTCGGCATGCTCGACCTCATGCCCTTGATTCCACAGATGTTCCTGTAACTTAAGCACAGTAAATTAAAAAAACATTTCCTTTTAAGCAAAACAACATCTCAACACTATCTCTGTGTTTGCTTCCTTCTCTGATGTCCTCTTTTCTGAGAGAGATGTTAACACTGATGATGAATTTTAAAGAATATTAAAAATGATCATCAGCCTATACTCAAACTTCTACATAATTATACAGAATTGTACCAAACAGACTGAACCCACTCCAGTTTAATCACCTTCTTCCAAAATAGCTGTTTTATTCTTGATGATTCATTGCTGATTGAAAAAAAACTGAGAAGTTGTTAAAATTGAGTTAAATGTTTAATTTTTAAAGAGAGAATGACTTTTACTTTCAGGGTGTGATTATCCTTTTTTAAAGAGCAACACTCTGTCCATAGACTTACCATATCTGCAGTACACTGTGTCCATAATCTGAAACTGGGGTTATATAGACAACTGAATCTCAAAAGTTCTTTTTTCTTCTGCCACGTAACTATAAGCAATATTGCTAACATTGCAATCTTTCTAAATTTTTTAAAATGTTCTCATTCTTTACAATCCAATATGTTTCTATTGCAAACCCCTGTTTTGAATCTAGGGTTTCTGTTTGTGAATTCTGACCTTATAATAATAATAATAATAATAATAATAATAATGATGATAACAACAATAATAGGGTCCTTGAGATTGGGAGTGAGACACTCAGTGCGTTTACATGCACAGTTTAATCGGACTAAGCTCATACTTCTTTTTTTTTGCCAAATCCGACTTCTTTCCTTGTCCTCGTTTACATGCCGCTGAGAAAAGTGAATTATTGACGTGAACGTGTCCTCCTCCCCAACACTAGGGGGCGATATGGGTCTTTTCAGCAGCGCTGTTTCCAACCCCATACAACCGTCAACAACAACAGCAGGTCGGTGTCAGACGTCAGAAGTGTCTACAACTGCTGCTGGGCATTTTGGAGAAACAAGAAGATGGAGCATCGTACAGCGTTGTTTTTGTCCGACATGATGGACACGCTACTTTTTCTAAAGATGAGACCAACGCTACTCCTCTACTCTGGGGTTTTTGTTATAGGGTTACGGGGGCGTGGCACACATTCACACGCATTGTCCGATCATACTCCGACTACACTGGTTACATGGTAGAGAATATCGAATTCCAATCGCATTATCTCAGAGTCTTAATCGGAGTACTCAAATCCCAAGCGGAGTTCTCAAACTCGGATTATAGTCAGACTCAAGTGTTTACATGACCTTCAGTTGTCCTGTTTTAATCGGAGTAAGGCAATAATTCGGTTTTCTCAAGTGTCATGGAAACGTACTGAGTGATCCAGGATAAACCTGCAATCCAGTGAAAGTTGTTTTGCTTGTAAGACAATCCTTACAGGAGGTTTACAACTTTAACTTGGCCTTCTAAAAGAGGGAGGTAAAGTTCTGAGGAGTTTCAGTGGAGCAGTTAGTAAATGAGGACCAAAGATGATGCCTTTATTTTCTTTAACTGTGTTTGAATGGGGTGCTTCAATCAGCAGGTCGAAAATGATGATCCCTAAACTAAATCTTCAGCCTGTACAAACTTGACAGTTACAGCCCCAAATATCTGGATTTCACTGGGTCAGTTTCATTAAGTATACCCTCGAACTTTACTTTAAGACCTGAGGAGTCAAAGTGCTTCATCGTGTCCTGGCTGCACAAAGACAGACTTTGGTTGATGGATCGGCTGTACTGCAGCATTGTTTCTCTCTGGTATTTAGTGTCACGTTGACAGCTCTTGGTTTCTTTCCCGAGAGACCAACTTCCTGATGCAAATTTTACTTTGTTCTATAGAAACTGAGTTATGTTGAACAGTATCTTTAATCAGACTTTTTGGAGCAGGAAAAACAAGGCAGACATGAAAACAAGGAAGTGTCAAAAACAAAACAAAAAAAACCTTTCCATCATGAGCCTGGTGAAGGATGGAAATTAGCATAAGGAAGCTACAGTTAGGGTGAGACTAAAAGCTGCTGTAGTTTAACAGCAAAGTAGCGAAACAAAGACTTGATATATGAAAAACATTTTTTTCCTCCACTCTAGATGTAATTTAATAAACTCCTTTTTTTGACATCTTTCTTCACCAACGGGGTCAACAGGACATCTATAAATCAACTGCACATCAGCATAACAACAAGATTTTGATTCCTCTTCCTCTTAGTCCTACGAGGGGACACCCCCTGTTATCTGACCCGAGGATGACGAGTTTCATTCTCCAAAGTTGGACTGGCGTATAAAAAGACTGACTCCAGTCTTGTCTGAAACCTGAGGTCTCCTTCTCAGCCTATCACCACGACAGCAAAGGTAATGTTTCGAATAATACTGGCCTGTATAACAAATTATTTCATAACAGAACGATGGCTCGTTATAGTCCATTTCATTGACCTGTAATATGTTCATTTAAATTCAGGGGTTTTTTTCCCTTGTTAAGTTTTACCAGGTGACATGTGTGAGTTTAAGCATCACCTGTGCCTGTTTTGATCAGATTTGATGCTCATCGCTGGTATTTGGCATGTCTTTTCTCAGATGTTAAGTTTTCAAGTGATCTTCTTCCTGGGTCTGAGCAGCGGGCTGTTCACCGGAGCGATAGCTGTAAGAAAAACTTCCTTAAACTTTCTTTAGATGTTTGTCAAGGGTCACTGAATAATGAACAATTTGGGTCCATGATGGGAAAGTCACTGAGCTACAGGGCCTTAGAGATTTTTGCATCTCAGTTGGACATCATTTCACACAGACTCACTTAAAGAAAGACTACTGCATGGTAGAGTTGACTCCATCTGCAGTTGATGGCCTTCCTGCAAGAGGGCAGAGCTGACCAGGATCCCACGCTTCATAAAAGCTGAACTGTCGCTTTATTACAAACCAGCTGATGTAGTAAATTTTGCAAGAGTCAAGTCAGTCAAACTAATTAAATAATGTGCTGTCCGTGTTTTTAGATGCCGGTCCAACAAGATGAGCCTGGTAAGTCAAAATGTTTTCGGATTTGTCTGGTTCTTCTACATTTTCATCATTTCAACAAATGTGACATTTTGACTTACATTATTTTCTCTAACATCACATCTGTGCACCAGCGCCTGCTTGTCCTCCTGGTTGGACCCAGTTAGAGTCCCGGTGTTTCATTTTCTACCGTATGCCAAAGTCATGGACAGAGGCAGAGGTACGACGTGATGACTACCAGCAGTTTTTGTGAAGTGTTTTACAGAGAATTTAAAGAATGTGTCATTTACAAGGCTAAACTTTGTTCTTCTGAGCTGTTTTACAAAAACTGTGACATGCATTTGTGGTGCTTTATCCATGTGTTATCTATAATGTCAATGTCTAAGGGACCACTTCTTTATTCCTCATGCCCCTTTCTCGTTATTTCTTCCTCATTAGAGTGTCTGCATCAAGATTGGGGGGAACCTGGCCTCGATCCACAACTCTGAGGAAAATCTATTCCTAAACAGGCTGACTGAAAGAGTGACAGGACATGCAGGTTTACATACTTGGATCGGTGGCCACGATGCAGTAAAGGTGATTAAAAGAGCTTTAGATCCTCTTAACCAAGGACTTCTCTTGGTCACTAACCAACAAAGTATACCTCATTTCTTTGATCAGATGAGTTAAAAATTCAAGACAATGACAAACAAAAACTGAGTATTTGGAGTTACAGGCTGTAAAGTAAGTTGTTGATAAAGTAAATCAAAACCCTAAATAACATTTAAACATTTTCACAGAAAAATCTGTCAGCTGTCTACTGAAAGAAATGATTTTGTACTATGTATCCACTACAGCAGTGAGTTTAGTGAGTTAACACGGCTAAAACCACTACCTTGTTTATTATCTGTGCCTGACAAACTCCCAATCTGTCTCTTACGCACAACATAATCTTGTCTTTTGTTAAAATTTTGTAATGATAATGTCAAAAAATCTCATCAAATCCTTTTTCCAGGAGGGGAAGTGGATGTGGAGTGATGGCACAAAGTTTGACTATCTGCGCTGGGGTCCCGGGGAGCCCAACAACTCGGGGACTGAGCACTGTATTGAGATGAACAGTGCAGGTAAACCTGTGACTACTTAACCTTGTATGTAAACAGGGGGAAAAGGGATGATGGAGAATCTGTTTTCTAGCGAAGGGTGCTGTTGTATGAGGATAAATGCATCTTAAAGTATATTGATCATTTTAACTAGGCTTGTCAAGTTTAGTCTTATTGGTTTCTTGACACAGAGATTTAAATATTTACTATGCTATTAAGTAAGGCAATAACTTAATTAATTTATTAAGGCTTTGTTTTTTAATTTCTCCCCACAGGAACCTTCTGGAATGACAGCAAATGTCAGAGTTTGAAACCTTTTGTTTGTGCCAAGGACGTGGACGTAACTGCTTAACAGGCTGCAAACAAAGCTACAGCCCCACCAACTTTACTTCTTCTGGAATTTTACACTTCACTCAAACACAATAAAAATAAAATCTCTATCATTAATCTAAAATGTGAGAACTTGAATTTTGTGAATTTGGAGAGTTTTGTTTCACTGACAATTGTTCAGTTTGTTTTTTTCTTTTCATGGCTGCTGAATAGGTGAATAGCCCAACACAAATAATAATAGTTGACTTAATATGATAGCCAGTAAGAGCACAAATTGAGTCTTAAACTCACACAGGCTGAACATAGTCCCATATATCTCAACATGAGCTCATCAACTAAAAAATGCTGGTCTGAATAGCAAATTGATCACTGGCTGAGAACTAAAGTTAATGGAAATAAAAAGTTCAGATATAAAGATAACGCCAATGTATAACACCGATAAGCAGAAACTACATTTTATAGCCATGCACATAACACACTTCTCACTACAGGCTTCATATAAACTTACCTTTAGAGGGGCATCTGTATTGACTTTGAATTTGTAGATGAAGTCCTTGAAATCCATTATTGTCTCTCAACGAGGAGATCTGTCACAGCCCTGAGTCAGAAAATACAATGTCCTGTCATATGATTTATGAGACATTTTTGATATTCTGTCAGATGGAAATGTTAAAAACTTGTTTCCAATAAAAGCTCCTGATAAAGAAATTGTCTTTACCTGTCTCTTGTCTTCAAGTTTAAATTCCCGCCATTACCGTCTTCATCGAGAAGGATCCAGAAAGATGTCTCTGGTTTCTACTATTTTCCAGTCAAACTAAAAGACAAACTGACTGACCAGAAACGTAGTTTTCCAAGTAACATCGTAATATATTAGAGATTTAAATTAACCAGCTCCCAAAGTCGTGTTATCCAGCGTAAATCCACATCGAAAGTTCCAGAAGGCAGTTTGTCAACTAGCTTACTCCCAGATTAATCGACGACGACACTCAGCGGCAGCAGCTCTGGTCTGCTAATTTATCAAACAAAACTAATATCCAAATAAAGTAATTTAAATGGGGGCAGAATAACCATTTCATTTACAATTATTTCGTGAAAAGCGACATAGTTCTCAAACGTCCTCCGAATGACTGCTGTTTCAACAGCAAAGAAGTGGAAGCTAAATCAGAACAGCCGTTGCGGGATTTACAGAGCTTATAAAGTGGTCTTCTTCAAAGCATTCACTGAAAATAAGTCACATAAATCTAAGACAACTCGCCGTAATATTTTAAGAGCAATAATGAGGACATGTGAAAAGAATTAACCGAAAATCCTCTACTTTGACGGAAGCACCTGTACGATCTAAGATGGCGCTGGTCACTGTAACCTGTTCGAAGTTAATCAACTCGATTCAAGATGGCGCTGGTCGATATAACCATAGATATATTTATAAACGTTAGATGGCTTACGCACGCGGTTGGCCAGTGGACACCGACGTCCGCGCATGGCGGCCATCTTGCTGCGGGCAGGTCGCCCACTCATAACGTTCCATTCTCCGGTGTATGTAACATTTAAATAACCATAGATTGATTAATTTTGAAGCGATTTTCGAACGGTTTGTTTTGTAACAAACTTCAGAGTTTCAGTTATGTTCCTGCATACTCAAGAATAATTTTAACCATGGATTTACATAAATAAACATTAAGCAATAGCTATAGGCCTACACACACAAGGCAGTTACATTAAACAATTTATATATAAAACATTTAATCATTCCATTAATTTTATGTAATATCTATATTATAGGGATCACTATAATAACATATATATTTATTTTCAATATAAAAATTTCTGCCTCATGTTGCTACTTCAGATATTTTTAGCAAACCAAACAACTTGGAAATCATGTGCAACTCAAGTTTTGTTGAATCGAAAGAACATTTCTGCCTCTCCAACTGATGTAAAATTACTGGGTCAACTTCGTAATATGTACTTGGTCTCAGTCACAGCGAGTCTGTTAGCCAAGCGGATAAACAAAGACTGTCACTTAGTCCAATTAAATAAATAAATAAATAAATAAATAGGCTGTCATACAATAAATTAAAATCTTGATTGTGGTCTCAGCCTTGACAACTCGCACAAAGCGACTCAAAGTTAGCCCTTGTGCACAAACAGCAGTGGTCATCACACAGAGGTAGTTTGCCTTTCTGAAGAGAGAGAGAGAGCCAGTGACAGAGGATGAGGCAGTAGTCTTGTATTTGTACTGTCTTTGCATACATTTTGACACATAAAGGGAAATGAAAACACAAAACAGTCAACATTGATGAAAAAGAACAAAACAAAATAGCAAAAATCTCTTTCCTTCACCAGCGTTATCGTACAGACAAAAACGCTTCTGAATCAAATAAGCAGCTGCACCTTTTTGTTTTTTTTAATTATAACATCACATGATGAGCTTTATACACCCAGCTGTTACTAGGTTGGCACAGTGACACACAACAGCAACAGCACAATTAAAAAAAATGAGAATGAAAAGCTGATGAAATCTGGAAGAGGTCCTGCTTTTAGTACATGTTGCTCAGGTGAATAAAATCTTTCTCACAAATAAGAGAAACCTGTCGAGTCAGAGGAGCTGTGGGCGTCATTTGTTTTCTCAGGAATACTTGGGTAGTGGTCTGATAAAATCTGCTCTTTCCCCTTCAATAAATCCACAAAAACATGCAAGCATCTGCCCACAAATACCACTTAGTATTCAACCAGGAGCAGAGCTAAATACTCCGAATTAAAGACGGTTTAGTTTTGTATTTTGTAGTCCTGTTGTGATCTGGCTGTGTCACTAAATTCAGATTATACACAAACATAATGACAGACATTCAGGATCGACTTTGGTACCGCATTCTAGTCAAGGACGATACCATAATGCCTGATTTTATAACAAATTCAAGAGTCTACACAGTAAACGACTCTAAATGAAGAACATTACATCAGATAGAATTACTTCAGAAGGAAATTCCTGACACACTTTTTCCCTTTTCAGCGTTTGACCTTCAGCAGGTTTGGGATTTCTTTCGTGAGAGGAGCTAACCATTTGGTGCCCTGAGCTACATGAAGCTAAACAAACACACTTTCTTATTTCGATCAGATCCACACAGAATAACAGGATCACTTCCCTGCAAAATGAAAAAGGAAATAAAATATACAAGTGGGCAGACACATAAACAGAAATACCCCAAACTCCTACGTCAAACTGACATGGAATAAAACCAAAAGGACTTAAATCTACATGTTTTAAAAAATACAGGAAACTAGAACTCAAAGAAAAGTGAAATTTTCTGGTATTTTGCAAATAATCAGTGTACTCAACGGTACTATGGCATCAAGTGAGGAGGAGACAGCATGTTACATGAACTGCAGGGTAGTCCAGGTACCACTTCACATCAGTTCTTCTCTGAGCGCTCTACTACAGTCTGTATGAGGACAGAATAAAGACTCATGTTGTATCCTTGAGGGGAAACTCTACTCGTTTTATATCTGAGTGTTATTACTCACAGGTTTGAGGTTCTTATGGAGAAATAAGGACAGTTTGGATGTTGCCTCAGGAAGTACATCCACTTTAAGTGCTTTTCTGTTTCCACTGGCAGACTGAAACCCCCCAGACTCCACAAAAACAAACAAAAACTGATCTTTTTAACCTTTAGTGGAGTAGCTGGTCTGTCCACACATTTGTCTTTTTTATGAAGGTTCATTCAGACCCAAAAACTCTTTTCTTTTTGAAGAGGAACATGTCAACATGGAACCTAATGAGGATTTTCTGAGCGCTTGCAGACACCCTCTAGTGGACACTTGAGGATCTGCAGATTTTGCATCACTCAGACTGAGGTCAGCTTAGAAAAGAAAGTAGTTTTCTTTGTGAGGTAAAATCACTGTTTTCTGATGGAGTCTGGTGGGATCTACATTTACTGATGATATTAAAATTGTTTGGTTTCTCCTCGACTAAATTATCCCTGGATTAAATGTTTGAACTGGTTTATAATACTGAGTTCTACTTGTTTTAACATGGAGATAAAACTAGAGCGAAGTGTTACCTGGTTCTACCTCTTCTACACAGTTGGACTGCAGGACGGTCTTTCACACAAACAACCTCTGGCTCCTCGCTCTCACGCACCATCGCCTCAGTTAAATTCTCTTTACATCTGTCCGCTTCAGTAAAATATGGAAGCCAACAGGATGATAAACTTATTAATTGAAAGACTCAGTTTGTTGCTGCTAAAATTAGTGACATAAAGCTGAAGAAGTGGAGAGTGTCTGGCAGTAGAGGAAAGATGAAGCATCTTTTAGCTGCTGTAGGAACGGTTTTAAAAAGAGACTCTGCTGCACCGAGCTCACACTCTCACTTCTAATCATCTCGAGCTAAAGGTTGTTTGATAGACAAGACCAAATTCATGGATAACTTCTCCTTCTCTTCCTCCTCCTCCTCCTCCTCTTCTTCTTCCTCCTCCCTGGTTGGGTCTGTGGCTGCAGGATCGCGGCTGCATTTGGCGGCTCACTGTGAGAATTCAGGACGCGGTCACACGGCGGCGCCGCATCTGTTCTGGAAGAGCTGCTCGATCACCGTGGAGTCAGCCAGCGTGGAAACGTCTCCCAGGTCTCGCTCGTTGCAGGCGATTTTACGGAGCAGGCGTCGCATGATCTTACCTGCAGAGAGCAGAAGACTTGATTAATGATCGATGTCTAAAACGAACTGATCAGTCGATTGATTTAATTTCATTTTGTGAAGATGTGAAATAAGCAAATTCAATGATTCCCTTACTTGAATATTCATTTAAGTACTAATTCTTTGTTGTTGTAGTAAATAACCAAATATCAACTTTAACTGATGTATTTAGTCGACTGAAATATGCTCCTTAGTTTTTGGTTGTCTACATGGTGTAACTTTTCTTCTACATGTTTCTCTACATTTTTTACACCTTATTTATCCCTATTATTCCATAATAATGAGCTGATCAATTATAACTAAGTTAACGCTGCATTTAAGCTTTTCAAGAAGACAAAAATAAGGCTGTACACCTCCGCAAGTTTCCCAAAGTTTGAAAGGAGCTTTATCCATTGTTCTGTGAATGTCTGTAAATTAGTGCATATTTAATTAGATATTACCTCATTTACATATTCAAAAATAAATTGGACTAAACTTGTAATATAAAAAATATTTGTCTTAATAAAATTTTACCCTATATACCCGAGGTGTCTCCTACCCATCATGGACACGATCGTGAAAATGACACCTTTCTAGTGGTTAAACTTTAAACCACAGATCATCAGCTGTCAAAAGTACGTGTCACACAACCATCATGTGACACTGATGAAGGCGGAAGAGTCCGCCGAAACATGTCAGGTAAGAAAAGAAAACAGCTGACACAGAAGAAAACTAAACTTTCAGTTTCATATTAAGGAACACTTAAAACTATTAAAAACAGCTGAGAAACCTTTGTCAGAACTTTTTTAGGGTTAGGTGGTGTTGTTTTTTTTTCATAGATGCACCCGCCGATAAAGACTTCATCAAACCTGACCTGATCTGGTCTTGGGGAGTCCTGGAGCGTCCTGGATGTAGTCTGGTGTTGCAATGGCACCGATCTTCTCCCGCACTGACGACAGATTAACAACAGAAACAGCCTCATGAGTCACTAAAGTCCTTTATTTGGATCTTTCTTACCCCACATAAGAACTTAATTTCACTGACCCTGTTTTTTTAGCTCCGCCTCCAGCGTGCGGTTGTACGTCACCCCGTCTGTGAGGGTCACGAAGCAGTACAGGCTCTCGCCTTTTACAGGATGAGGTCTGCCGACCACGGCGGCTTCAGCAACGGCCTCGTGCTCCACCAGAGCCGACTCCACCTCAGCTGTGCTCAACAAGTGACCTGGAGGTTCAACAGAGAGGGAAAGAAGAAGAAGAGGAGGAGGAGGAGGAGGAGGAGGAGGAGGAGGAAGCTCAAAGATCTGATTTACTTTATCAATAACACAAAAGGAGGGACTCTCTCTCTCTCTCTCTCTCTCTCTCTCTCTCTCTCGATAACACACACTGTTCATGTTTTCAACCCTTCGCCCTCAGTCTTACCGGAGACATTCAGCATGTCGTCTATCCTCCCTGTTATCCAATAGTAGCCGTCCTTATCTCTACGGCAACCTGTCGGTTAAAAAATAGGACGAAAAATTAGTTTCAGCATCAAACACACATTATTGGTGACCTCTATTTCTTCCTGTCTTTCACTCTTTTAATGCCTGACGTTAAAACATTTAAAATATGATTATGTGGATGAAGATAGTTTAAGATGATACTGAGCAATATAAGAGAGAGAGAGGGAGCTGCAGTACCAGAAACAGTCTACAGAGGGAGAAAACACTGAAGTGAAACTGCGTGTCGTTTCTCACCGTCTCCTGTGACGTAGTATCCGGGGAACTTCTTGAAGTAGACGGTTTCAAACCTCTGATGGTTTCCGAACACCGTCCTCATCACACCGGGCCACGGCTGCTTGAACACCTGGAGAGAGATCGGCACAAACAAGGAGGTTAAACATGAAGGTTACATGATCTATTTGAGAGGAGAAGAAGAAGCCGGAGGAGAGGAACGATAACGAAGAAGAGAACGGAAAAGGAGGGAAAGACAAAAAGAAAGAAGATTAAAAATGTCGGGGAAGAAAACAAAGAGATACCAAAGAAAAGAGAAGAAGAAAGGACAACGAGGAGTAAAGAACGAAGAGGCAGAAGGAAAAGGAAAAAGGAATCTAAATTAGAGGAGGTTAACAAGGAAAAAAGACCAAAAAAAGATTAAAAAGAAGAGAAAGAAAGAGAGGAGGAGTAGAGGGAGAAGACTAACCAGGTATCCTTCACCCGGCCCCTCCAGCTCCTCCCCTGACTCGTTCAGGATCGCTGGTACCACTCCAAAGAACGGGAACGTCTGCGTGACAGGGGAACAAAAAAAACAGGTCATTTACTCGACATAAAAATGACCTTTTCTCAGAGGTCACAGGTCGAGTTTCTTTTTTATCATGTTGACACTCCACATGTAAGAGTCACAGAAACACACGAACATCTTTGAATCCCTGTCATGTTAAAGGACTGTGTGACGTTTGCACAGGTGTCCTCTTCTTTTACCTTTGTTTGATCAAAGAAACAACAGTGACATCTATTCATAAAACTAATCCTGAAACACAGAGACCGGCTCGTCGAGGACTTAGTTTGGACAGGAAGAAGAGGTAAGACCAGACCAAATAAAGACCAGGTGTGTTCTCTGTACTCACAGCAGATCCTGGTTTCATAGGTGTGGCAGCAGGTAAAGGAGTCATCACGTGTCCACCCTGAAACACAAGAATGTTTTTTAAAAAGTGCAAATAGATGGACTGTCCAGCAGGGGGCAGCACAGTACAAAGTCTGTAATCACTGCTTCTCATGAACCCGCAGATAGGAGACAAATTCAACTGTTTAAGAAACGTGCTATACAAATTCAGTTTATCATCATCATTGTCATCATCATCATTATTATTAATATAATGGATATTATTATTGTTATTATTATAATTATTATTATTGGGACAATAATAATAATAATCACATTAACAATAATAATAATAATTATTATCATCATCATCATCCTTATCATTATCATTATATTATTATTATTATTATTATTATTATTATTATTATTATTATTATTATTATTATTATTATCATTTTTATTATACTATTTAATTTTTTTCATTATTGTTATTATATCATAATTATTATCAACATCATTATTATTATTTTTATTATTATTATTAAATATTTATTGTTATTATTATTACTATTATTATTATTATATTATTATTATTATTTTTTTTTTGTTATTACCACTTCATCATTATTGTTATCATCATCATCACGGAGACACTTTGATATTAAGACCTGCCCCTATTACAAACCTGCCTCATATAAAGGCCTGGTACCTGCAGCACTAAAAGCACGTAAAGAACCCTGTGTATAATTAAGATCATGTGAACTCACCGTTTCTGTCTGCCAAAAGGTGTCCACTATCGGACATCTCTTCTCTCCCACCACGTTGTAGTACCACTGCCAGGCCTCAGGGTTGATGGGCTCTCCCACAGTCCCCAAGACCTTCAGAGACTCCCGCTTATACCTGCAGAGAGAGCGACGAGACACTTCAGATATCTGCTCACCTGCATGCACACAAAAACTCACACACCTGTTCTGCTTATCTTCAAAAAATAAAACTTTATTCTTCGATTTAAACTCCTAAAAATGAAAAAGTGTAGAATAATCACGGATGACTCACTTCTGAACGGGCTCGCTGCCGAACTTCATCAGCATTCTGATGGCGGTGGGAGCGGTGTAAAACTTGGTCACATGGTATTTATCCACGATCTCCCACATGCGGCTCACATCAGGGTAAGTAGGCAGGCCCTCAAACTGAAACACACACACACACACACACACACACACACACACACACACACACACACACACACACACACACACACACACACACACACACACACACACACACACACACTTAGACGGGTCATTTTAAGTTAAAACTTTCTTAAATACTAGTGAAAGTGAAACTGGAGTAAAGTGTTGATGAGACAACAGTCCACACTTGAGGTTCACAGTATATATACTGGTGTTGTTTAAGCATGGAGACAAACCTACAGATGTGTGTTTTGTACATATAAAGACACTCATGTACTCACGAGGACACTGGTGGCCCCGTTGGCCAGAGGGCCGTATGTGATGTACGAGTGTCCGGTGATCCAGCCGATGTCTGCGGTGCACCAGTAGATGTCGTCAGGCTGGTGGTCAAACACCAGTTTGAAGGTGGTGGCAGTGTAGAGCATGTAGCCGCTGACTGTGTGGAGGACTCCCTGCAGAGGAGAATAGAAACTGTATCCATGTACAAAGTGCTGAGTGTGTTTTGAGAGGGATAAAGGTAAAAAAATGAGGCCAAAACATGATAAAAATATGATGATTTCCACGTCACAACAGCTCCTTCTATCAGCATCTGTTTTTACACTTTCTATGACGCCTGGGACGATAATCAATAAACCAATTACCGTATTTTTTGCACCATAAGGCACACTTAGAATCCTTCTGGAGTTATTAAATGAGTTTGACTTATCTGACTGTTTTGTTTGGCTATATAGTGCGAAAAATACAGTAACTGCACGATAAATCAAAATGAACTCAATAATTTTTCCCGCCTCGATATATCGCCGTGTGCGCGCCTGTATTTTTTTTCCTCGTCTTCAAACACGCTGGATAACATGAGAGTTCACTCTGTGCGTCGGTCTGCATTGATCATCTATTTATTTATCCTCTACTATGTACCAGTATTTATTTGTATGTATATTTTTCCATCTGTGCCTTTCCTTTCCTGTTCTCTTCTAGTTCTTTTCCTTCATTTCACTCCTTACAGGTATTTTTGAAAAACTGAATGTACTCATAAAAATAATTGAAAAAATAATAATAAAAAAGAAAGGGTTTTCTCGCATTATTATGATATACTAACAGTACATAAGTGGCTATTTTGGTTTAGACATTAATGTTGTTTATGGTCAATAATTTGTGGGACAGTAAATCGTCCTGCAGAATGTGTTTTCGTCTGTGAGGTCTGCAGTCCTTCCTCCTGCTGCTTTGACAGATGAACTCAGCCTGCAGTCGTTCTCAGAGCTGTGAAGACGCCGACTCTACCTTGGGTTTGCCGGTGGAGCCGCTGGTGTAGAGGATAAAGAGCGGATCTTCGGACTCGCACCACTCTGGTTCACACTCGACTGAAGATCCACGTAGCAGAGTGTGCCAACACAGATCCACCTCAGGGTTCCAGGGCACCTGAGATCAAAACACACACACACACACACACACACACACACACACACACACACACACACACACACACACACACACACACACACACACACACACACACACAGATGCACACACAGAAAAAAAGCCACAGCCGTGCACACAAACATGCAAAAACACACAGAGATATCCCGTTTATCAACCATCAAATCAAAATATTTCCACAATCTAAAGAAAACGTTTAAAAGTCAAAGAAAGTTAGTTTGATAAAAAAGTGAGGAGAGAAAGAAAAGAAGAGAAAAGAGTCGATTATGGTGAACGAGGTAAAAACTGAGGGGTTAGAAAAGTTACAAACACGTCTCGATTGTTGTAACTTGTTCATCTTGTAGAAATCAGAGCTGGGTTCAAAACTCCAACATGTCTTCAAACGTACGTTCAGTCTGAGCCACACTGAGCACAAGTGAATGAAATGGAGGGCAGAAACGTTGAGCTGCTTCAGAAATCACGACTCCACAGAATCTTTTAATCTCATTAAGTGCCTCCGTTTGTCTCAGAGCGACGGGTTTACACTTTACGGATCAATCTCATCAAACAAACACGATCAATCAGGTCCAGAAAATGGAGATTAAACACTAAATCAACCCAGGTCTGATTTCTACGCCACATCACTCACACGGAGGAACATCCCCCATGATGCACTTCTCTTAAATGAGCAGGAATCCAGACAGAGCTGTAGTCGTGTTAAAGGCAGTTCGATGCTGGCAGAGCTTTGTGGTTTTATTATAACAGCCATTCTCTTCAATCTGTGCATGCAACAGGAGGGAGGAGAAGAAGTCTGCTCTGTGACGGACGAGAAAAAGGAGAGGACTGACGACAGAGATCAGAGTCGACTGAAATAAAACCAACGACTCTGAGAGACGAACGTCTCAAAGACGGTGAGAGCGGAGGAGGAATCAGGGCTCTGCGTCTGTAACTGCATCAGGACACGTTTCATTCTTCAAAACGGAGAAAAAACAAAATATTTTTAGTTTTACAACACATGAAAAAGACACGAAAAAGACACGAAAACACCGTCTCGTATAAAAACGTAAAATTAGACGACTCGGACAGTTGGGAGAGTGTTTTAGACAAAGTGGACACGCAGCTCCGTCTTTGTCTTAGAAGGACCAGGAAATATAGAAAATCATGACCGAGCTAAAGAGTGCCATTCAATGGTCGGGTTACGGTAACCCCTAATCTCCACCTTCATCCTGATGGTCTCCTAAAAGGTCGTATCCTCCGATTGTAGCTGATCGTAAACATTCAAGTTAACGTGTCAATTTACACCGACTTCTTTCCGTTCCTCTGCGGATCGCCGGACTCCTCAGCTGATCACATAAAGTTCGACATTCCACATTTCAACTGTTGTCAGAATGTGGTTTAGGATCATCTGAAGGTCGTCCCTGAAAAAATTCTTTGTCTGGATGGGCGCAGATGTTGCTCCTAAACCTGGAGATCTTGTCTAAAACTGAGGATGCAGCATCTATGATTTCCAGTTCTTCGTTGAAAGGACAGTTGGACTTTATTTTCAAAAACCTAAAGACTCTTTCTCAGACTTTTAATTTCTAATTCTCAAATTCCTGTCTGAGAAACTAAGGCGTCGTTCTGGAAACAGAAACTCCGATCTAAGTCAGTCACAACGACGACGACAACAGAGCTCTGACTCCTCCGGACTCGTGGAGAGTTAAGGAGAGAAGTGTGATTTCAGTAACATCAGCAAGAGAAGCATTAAAACAGTCGAGAGGAGCAGCTGTGAACAACCATCGACACACAGGTGATCGACTCCAGCCAGAGCAGAGTCAGAGGGTGAGAGAGTGAAAGTGTTTCAGAGAGAGAGAGCAGAGTTAATCCACCTTCACTGAGAATTTACACTTTATTCCAGAGATTTCAGACAGTTTGAAAAAGATCTGAAGAAACACTTTTACAGAATAAAGCGTCTCTATTAACTCTATAAACTGTCAGCTGAGGCGATTTACATCGAAATCTGTCAGTAGATTTTAGATAAACTAAGTTCATTAACATAAAGACGCCCTCTCATGTTTGCAAACCTGGACTGTTGAAAACCTCTGGAATAACAACCTGCTGATGCTGGTAAAAACACTAAATCACAGACTCTTCTGTTTTAACATTCAGATATTCATTTGACACTAAAATCAACTTTAAAAGTGCGTTTGTTGTTTTTACCGCACAGCAGAGATCTTAAATTCCCCTTTGAAAGAAAAAACCAAACCGAAGGTGTTATGAGGATTTAGTGGAGGGAGGAAGGCATGAAAATACCTGCGGAACAGGACGTGTTTTCTTTACTCTGTCTGTCTGTTTCTCCTGCTGGACAGGATGGGAAAGGAGGAGGAGGAGGAGGAGGAGGAGGAAGGAGAGGTTAATGCGGGACAGCGGTTAAAAACCTTCAAACCTCAAATCAAAGAACACAAAGTTAAAAGAAAACAGAGTCGCCCCAAAAAGAAACTGAACCGGATAATAAGAGGAGATTTTCAGGATGAGTTTAATAGAAAATAAATAAAATAAAAATGAACAGAGAGTTCTTCACAGAGACGTCAGGATCTGTCAGTTTGAGTTTTACCTGCAGATCCGGACAGGCACGTTTGGCAGGAGGAGACTGAGGAGATTCTTCAGCTTCTTTGGACAGATGCTTCAGCATGATACACTTCTCCATGGGGAAACCTCTGCAGAGAGACACATCGGACTGAAGCACTGAACTGAACAAGACCTGGACTTAAAGACTGAGACCAGAAACTTCAAAAAAAAAAATTTGATTGATTCTAGAAGTCTAGAAGTAGATTTCCTCCTCTGGAAAGACACAATCTACTGCTTATATGTCTATGTGTCTGTCTTTATAGAGACAACTGGTTATCAAGCGATTGGACGTGAATCTGCCACGAAATTCACCTCACAAACAGATCTGGAAGGAACTGGCAGATGGCGAAAATCACCGCTGTTCCGGTTGCTGTAAAAATTGGGGGTTAGACTCAGTTTTGCGACCAGCTGAGTCGCCCCCTGCTGGTTCTATAACATAAAACAGTTTAGTTGAGTTGAGTCAGCTCCAGGGGAAATTAGATTTGATTTCTGTAATGAAATCTTAGACAGAGAGACTGTGCAGACGCGTTACCTGCTGCAGACAGTTGATTTAATTCCACCTGTTTAATAATCGAGTTCAGAGCGGCTGATCTCAGAACAGAAACAAACTTTCATATCTAATGTCCTCGTATCAAACAAAGACTCAAACAGACCTGAAGTTCAGCTGGATGTAACTTCTGATCAAAACTGTGGGAAACTTTAATAATTTTTAATGATATTTAATGAATTAAATATTCTTGTTTCTTTATTTCACTTGAAGAACAGGTTTTTGTGTTTTCGTGTTCATTTCTGTAGATCAACCCTGAGAGGAGGGAGGCTGTTACTGAGCTCCTAATAAACAGGAATGAAAGGGTAATAATATAATAATCTGTATCTAGTGTGTGTGTGTGTGTGTGTTTGTGTGTGTGTGTGTGTGGACAGCTTACTTGTCTTTGCATTTCTGCATGGCTTCATCAGCTAAGACCTTCAGGTTGATCAGCTTATCTCCCCGATAGAAACCATCTGAATGAAGGAGAGACACAAACGGAGGTGAACGAGGAGAGCAGATTCAGTTTACTGTCTGATCGTTAAAATGAAAAAGAGCATCTGTTGGTTCAAGGTCACAGCAGGTTGGAGTAGAAATATTACAGAGAGGGTTTCTGTTTAAGTCTGGATGTTAAAGAGCGTCAAGAAAAGATTTAAGTCAAATCTTACTGATAAATGATCCAAAATCACAGCAGAAACCTTTAAGTGTTGGTTTATTTAAACCAACATACTGTCAAACATTAATTCTACTGAAGAAAAAAAAAAGTTTCTGCATTTTCTGTCACTTTTAAAGTTTGATAAGAGAGCAAAGATTTTAGAAACTTCTGCTGAAAAGAGAAAAAAATCTCTTTGATCGCCTGAAATCTGAGATTTAATCCAAACTTTATGGAGATATTTTGTATTTTGCAGTGAATCAGAACTCAGACTGAAATTTTCTAACAAGACAATGAAGAAAACAGTTATGAAAATTATAAAATATGAAACACAAGTTTTGTTAACGGTCGAGTATTTATGAGCCAAAAAGCAGCTGAAAAAACAGAAGTTTAGAGAGTTTAACATTTTTCTCTTTTATAAGAATAAATAAAAGTGTATGAAAAGACTCTACGATCCGCCTACATTAGTGTGTCTGTGTGTGTGAGAGGCCATGACCCCGGTGGATTAACTGGTTTATATCTCCAGACTGTAATCCAGCTCATAACACTTTGATTACAGGTCCGAGCTCCAAACGTGTTCATGAAACACGATAAAAACAAGAGAGGAGGGGACCAGTTCTCTGTAGAGTTAAAGTAGAGACAGAGACAGTGCAGAGACAGTCCTATCAGGTTAGAAGCTGAACTGAATCTCTGTGTGTCTAAGTGACATTTTCATGGTTAATCGTGTTTCTCTGGATGATCCCACCTGCTGTGATGAGCAGCGAACACTGCGAGTCCATGATCCTCTCACACAGAGACTCAGCAGAGAAACCTGCAAACTGGAAACACAGAAAAAAAACTAAAATTAACTCTTGGATCTGTTTCATCCGATCCTCCACCGTGCACGGACATGGAGACTCACCACTATGGAGTGAACGGCTCCAATACGAACGCAGGCCAGCATGGCGACCACCAGCTCCACCACCATGGGCATGTAGATGGACACACGGTCGCCCTTCTTCACTCCTGAACACGAGCACGGACACAGAATCAGAAAAGACTGAAGACTGGATATATAGGTGGACACGTGGTCGCTCTGATTTCAGATCAGGTGGTTTTACCCTGAGACTTGAGGACGTTTGCAAACTGGCAGACTCTCTGCAGCAGCTCTCTGTACGTCACCGTCAGCTCGTCTCCGGGCTCGTTACCTTCCCTGAGAGAAACATCGGACAAAAACACGACGATGGTTATTCTGGAGTTAACGGGTCAGAAAGTGAGTCTGCTCAGAGTCAGGGGGCGGAGTCAAGATTAAAGAAGAAATTCAACCAATTAGGAGAAATAAAAACTTGTAAATAAAGAAATTAAGACGCTCTTAAATGAGAGAGAAACTAGACTGATGGAAAGAGAGTTAATCCAGACTGAGCTGCAGTTATAGAATCAGAGATTTTAGCTTCTCGTGAATAAAACAGATGTTTTATAAATCCACACCTCAGTTTTTATGACCTCACACTGATCAAACTGCAGATTTACTGACTAACGGTTAAATACTTCATGAAACTATCAGCCTGTTGGTGTACTTTGAGAGGGTCCATGCATTAGACTTGACCTCTCAGGGGTCTGTTATTAAGGCCTCCAGGGACAACAGTGAACATATCCGTTAAATACCATCAGAAACCCACGTTCAAACCTTTTTTAGCATCTGTATTTTCAAACATTAACTTAAAGTAACACAGTAAACAGCCTGGAGGATGTGAAGGGTCCAGTAGTTTATCTTTAACCCTGCAGCAGGATGACCTGAGCAGGTTAATCCTGATGTGTCACCTCTCTGACCACACGCCTTTAAAAAAAAAATCCACAATTACAAAATAAACTGACAAACTTTTGTGAAACTCATCTCAGCTCAACTTTCCTCTTTTTCACAACAGAAAACCATCCTGAGCGTTTAGGGAACCACAGGCTTACAAAAGACTCCTCCTCCTCCTCCTCCTCCGGGGTTACATCAGGCCGACTCTCTCTCTCGCTCTCTCACACTCTCTCTCTCACATACACACACACACACACGCACGCACACACACGCCGAGTTCGCAGGGGAAGGACTTGTAGATTAATGGCTGTGTCTGGAGAGCAGACAGAGAAATGAATGGGCTGTGACAGCTCTGCCTCTTTAGATGATTAAATTACAGGCATGTTTTTTTACGAGCTCGTCTCTGAGCATCACAGTCAGCAAACTCAAACCTGACGGACAAACAGGAGAGACGCTCCAGAGCTGCGTTTCTTCGACTCTGTGCTCCAAATCCTTCTCTACGACCGCACCATAAATCATCTTTTCCCTGAAAGTTATCACTCCACATCTAGACATCTAGACAGCGTTTACACGTACCCGGCTAGTTTCATAAACGGACATTTCACTCTCACATCAATACGTTTTCAGAAAAGTTGTCTTTTACACCATAGACTGTATACATTATTCCGCCTGTATACAGATTTGAAGCCGAAAAGTTCTCAGTATTTCCACGATTTTCTCTATTTCCTGACACCAACATTGCGCAGTAGCTTTGTACGTGTTCGGCGGGAGAGTCGCTGTGATGATGCTCCACTAAAACAGCGTATCCCCCAGGTGAGCTACGCAATCTTCGCATCATGGAGCTTTTACTGTTACTCTTTACTGTTGATACGCTGCCATCTTGGATTATGACGATGTCGTCAAATCCAAGTCAGAAATCCGACTTCAGGGGGGCGTTCCAGATGAATTTCTGATTCGGAGCTCAGATACACCGACTTCTGAGTACAACTGGAACGCACCAATAGACTGTAAATATTCTACGCCGAATGCGTACAATGCTACTGTGCAAGTGGTGGAGCGCTTCAACGCTACTGCGCAATGTTGTTTTCAGGAAGTGGAGAAATACACGGAACTACCGAGAACTTTTCGGCCTCGAATCCGTATACTGGTGGAAGGAGGAACCAAGTTTGTTTTTATTTTTGTAAATGTTTTATTTTCGGTCAAAAATACAAACATTGAGGCACATTGGTGATACTTGGAGTATGAAGTGTTGAAGCAGCTTTTTAGATGAAGAAAAGAAGATGAAAAAACAGAAGAGAGAATGTGAGGGTCTTACTCTAGGATGGTAAATAAGTCGAGTAAAGAAAACAGTTTTAGAGCACTTTTTGTTTTTCATGTCGTTTAAAGATTTTTTCTGATTCGTTTATTTATCCATTGAAGGAGGAACCAAGTTGTCCATATACACAGTCTATGAGTCCACTTCACTGCTTTCATTTAAACTCTAAATTAAGACACTGCTGAGGATGGTTTTAACCTGGACTTCATTAGTTAAAATTCAGCGATAAATCAGGGTTTTAAAAATTTGACAGACGAAGTTGTAAACAACGATTTAAAACTTTAAAGGGACGGAGCGGTTCTTCTTTTATTTAAAGGTTAAACAGGATGGTCTGGATCAGGATGGTTGGTGTTTTGTGTCCTTCCAGGTGCCGATCCAACTTCATTCATGAGTAATTCTTTATTTTCTGCAGCTGTGAGTTTCTCAGTTTGTCCTCTTCTACCATGAACAACAAATACTACTTGAAAGCAAAGAAAAGAGCTCAAGACATGAGGTCTGAGAGCACCTGAGGGAGAAACGGCTCAGAGTCACTGCTGGAGTGCGTGTGCATTAGGAGAGAAGAAACAGTCTCAACATGAGGACAAAGAGTTCAAGTTTTACAGCGAGGAGGGACGGCTCTAAAAAGCTAATGTGTAACTTCAGCTGAAGTGGGTGAACTCTGAGCGAACACACAGACTGACAGAGCTCAGCGCAGACTCACTGTACAGATGAATAGATGCTGACGTGGTTTATGATGTTTTATTTTGTCATAAGTGTGAGTGTGAACATGTCCTGAACAGTTTTATTGTTCTGAGTTTATTATTACAGCTCCGATATCCACCATGAAACAAGAGGAGGTTAAATACGTGATGAAGCTGTGTGGACTGACTCCGCCCACATGTGGACTGACTCCGCCCACATGTGGACTGACTCCGCCCACATGTGACTGTCTTTAAATTTGATTATAGTTTTAAATCCTGATATTTTTAACCTCTGATCCCGTCTGCTGTCATTTCACAGGAACATATGTACGCCTCCGGGAATGACCGCCAACAGCTCGCCATAAACAGCCTCCAGCCGGGACTCGTTTGAGTGTGTGACATTGTTTACAGAGACAAATGAAGGAGACACATTTGTCCCTCTGAATATGTCATTACGTCCACTGAGACGTGCCTGATCGTTCTGTTTCTGGGAGGTCTCAGTTTCACTGTAAATCATAAATCCTCACTTTATTATTCACCCTCTGTTTTTGTACTTTTGTACTTTCAGTCTTACTGATTTAACCGCATCGTTTTTATAACTGAGCTGTATTTTCTTTTCTTATTTTGAAAATAATGAACATTTTGAGCGTGTTAATGTAACCGCACCAGCATCACTGTTTGATTTCGCCGTCGATCCCACGTGGCTCCATGAATATAGTTGACAGTTTCTCAGGAACTATTCCGTGTATCTCTACGGGATAAAAACCGTTCTAAAGTTTACCCTTTTGGCGATCTATCGAGGGTTTCCAGACATTTCTACACCTGCAACAAGGTTTACAATCCAGCCACAAAAACAGGTGTTTGATCAGAGACGTTTGATGGTAAATCTGCAGTGAAAACAGGATTATTGATCAGATTAAGGTGATAAAAAAAAGATCACTATCGCTAAATGCTGCTAATGTCTTCCAGGTTTGACGAGCTGTTTTGATGACGTCTTTTTCCATCAAACTTTCGGCCAATTACGTGGTCTCATATTCTTCTCATACCCTTAGAGAACTGGATCCTAAAGATTCATAAACTGCACTTCCTCCCTCAGTCAAATAAATGCAGGTTTATTTTAATGTCTGTTTGATCAGGTCCAAGCTCTTTGGCCCTCATCGTTTCCTGCAAAGATCAGGTCCAAGCTCTTTAACTCTCATCTTCTCCTGCAAAGATCAGGTCCAAGCTCTTTAACTCTCATCTTCTCCTGCAAAGATCAGGTCCAAGCTCTTTAACTCTCAGCTTCTATTGTTCCCTCAGTGTTTGGAAACAAGTAAAGAAGAGATTCTGAGCAGTATGATGTGGTCCTCTGTCTCATCCCAGACAGGAACTGCTTCAAGGAGCGGCAGAAACAACTGTAAACAGTCAAAAACGCCTGGAAGAATGAGTGTAAATATGTCAATAGTTTCTGTTGTGTGTTTGTTCCAATCCCAATATTTCTTCTCCTGATAGACAAGACTTGAGAGAATGATGGTCAGGTGAGAAAAGGCTTGGTCACTGTAGATTTATGTGTTTTTGGAGTAAAGTTCTGTTGGGATCAGTTTCTGTTTTTGTTTTTTGGTTGACTTTGATTCTGAATCTACTGTCTCATTTATTTTACATCATTTTTGCTCCATAAACTGACAGCTGAGGTCCTCCTGAAAATAAAGATGTGTTTATATTTGCTGTGATTGAAAGGATTGAGGTGAAACAGACGGAGCAAAAACAGAAAACTAAAGCTGGGAGGTTTTAGGGTTAAATACGGAATAAAAGTCACCCCGTCGCTTTACAAAGTACAAATGAAACACAAAGTACAGTGTTTGTACGATGACTCATGTTTGTGTGTGTTTCCCTGCATAAAATCATGCTACACAAACACACACACACAGACACACACAGACACACACAGGGTTCCTCAGAGTTCTGGAGAAAATGAAATCATAAAAACAAGAGTTACAAAATCTATAAAACTCAAAGTGGAGCTGAGAGAGTCTGAGTGTGAGAGCCAGCAGAGTTTCTCAACAGCCCACACTGTATCTGTGTTTTTCCAGTAAACTGTGAGTGTGTGAGGGGTGTGTGTGTGTGTGTGTGTGTGTGTGTGTGTGTGTGAGGACAGCTCACATAGCTGAAAGGTCTCTGTGACCCACTTGGCACCGACAGGCGATGGGCGTAACATTCACAGAATCACTGACAGCGCCGTGAAGCCGTTCCTCAGCTGGAGTTTGAGTGGACCCTTCGAGTCCACACGGGTCCACCTCAGAGTCCGGTCTAATCTGAGTCCCCATGTGTGGAAACAGGAAGAGTTCACTGCTCACAGACTCAGCTCTGTCTCCTAGTCTGAACTTTTTAAAACTCAAACTTCTGATCAGGAAGAGTCGCTAACGGACTTTCTTACATTAAATCAAATAAGTAAATCCTGAATATTTAACGTGAGCACACTTCTATAAAGGCAGAGGTACGTAAACGCTGCAGGAGGAGTTTAATTATCAGGATCCCAACCTGAATGACAGCATCTTAAATAAGGGGCGACAGATTATGGATTATTGGAGTCAATAATCTGTACTGATCATTTATTCTATTTAACGCCGTACGTTTACATGACACTCGAGAAAAAGATTCAGAGAAAATAATGAATTATGATTTTAGTCCGATTGTAAACGCTCTGACTGATGTGTCTTTAACTCTGAGTCTGTCTCACCCTGTTAAAAAAAACGCTGGTGTGACTATTTTCCACGCTGGAATCTAGAACAAGGTCGTCTCGCCAGCTACCTATCCTATCTGGAAATGTTGAGAGTGATAACAACACATGGACCCTTATAAAACACACACACACACACACACATCTAAAAATACAGGTCACTCAAACACATCTCTACACTGTGGGCTTAAACGGGACCTTCACAGACACACACTGACTTTACTCCGAGGACATTTCTAAAAATAAACGTCGAGTTTATAAATGGAACTAAATAAAGGAAATGAATGAAAATGTCTCTGAGACAAGATCAGCTTCAGGCGGGGAGAGGGGGGTTTCCACCGAGCCGTGAAGAACAAGAGAGAACAACCCAGACGGCATGCTTTTATTTTGAAGGGTTCATGACACTCTATGCTTCTATTTAAGGGCTTTTATTTAGAGATGATGAGTTAAAGGTGGTGAAGGCAGGAATCTGTTAAAGAAGCATCTTCTAATATCAGTCAATAGTTATTAGTTATTGATTATTTGGTAATATATCGATATCTCTGTGTTCTCTTATGTCTGTGTCGTCAACATTTGAACATTTTTGAGCGTTCTCCACCTCCTCTAACCTGATTGGTCAGATCCTGACTACCTCACCTTTAATGGGAGGGGACCAAGAATCAAAACTACAACAACTAGGACCCGGTTTCAGTTCAGGATCGGTTTAAGATCCGTAATTTACACGCTGATATTTCAAAGTAGGATATTTCCACATCTTGTCTGCTCCTCTCAGAGGTGTCAGAGCCTGTAGGGCAGAACAGCACCGTGTGTGTGTCTGTGTGTGTGTGTGTCTGTGTGTGTGTGTGACACCGTGACATGAGAGCCAATGATTGTTTGGATCTCCTGACCTCCTGGGACGCCTCAGAAATGACGGACCTGACTTCCTTTTAACAAACAAACTATAAAGAAGTCGTCGTCTTCTCCTCTTTGGTTTGGTGCACAGCTGGTTCTGACCCATCTATGGAGGGTTCTCTCTCCAGCAGGAGAAGACCCGGGCTCGGTTCCAGGTCTGCGGGTCTCTCTCTTCCCGTTTCCTGCTCCATCTACGGTCCGAACCTCTCACACAGAATTACTTCCATTTTTCAAGTCCAGCCTGAGTAACAACACGTTATCTACAGTGAAACTGAGACTCAGCAGGTGAACAGGAAGTTCTTCCAGAGACGCATTAAACCGACAAACACCAGCGTTTACCTGGATGACTCGAACACACGACAGCTCCTCGTGTTTTTAATCAAACTCTGAGTGAACAAACGTCTCGGCTGGAGGCTGGAGGACACCGATCTCTGCATGTTAATTTCTCTTAAACCGGGTCAGCCAGGGTTTGTTGGCTGCAGGGTCGTGTCTTTGAATAAAAGGGGCTCGAAGACAAAGACTAGTCCTGCTTTTCTAACGCTCCCTCTGAAACCTACCTGGAGAACTCTGCATGCATAAATAAGACCATGAAGTAATGTCTTATTCAGAAAACACCAGAGAATCAAGGACTGGGACGTTATTACACTTTGTTTTAATCTCCTGGCACTCTGTAATCTCTGACTCTTTCTGTCTCACTGTCTTGAAAACTGAAAGAGAAACTAATCCAAACTGGAAACCATCATTTCTCGCCACGTTAATCTGAAGCTGAACGAAGTTGGTTTGATGATAAGATGATGAGCAGAAAATCAAAGTTTGGGAACTTTTCATAAATCTGACTTGATCTGGGTTCAAACTGGAGTATTTCTGTAACAACGACTCGATTCATGTCGGAGCTAACAGGCAGAAAAATAAAGAGTTTGATTATCAGTTATTTTAGGTTCTCGCTGAAGGGAAATTACATCTTAAAACACAAACACTAAGATCAAAATAACGGATTTATAGAGAAAATATGAAGATTCGTCTAAACTTTGAGACTTTTTCTGCAGATTAAAGTCATCTCAGCTTTTATCCAATCCTCGTTTTCACTTCCCCGTCCTCTCCCTGGATAACCCCGCTGCAGAAAGGTCCCGTGTACGCTCCTCTCTCCTTTCAGGACGGATCAGTAACCGGGGGGCGAGTGACACAAAGAGAGGAGAGAGGAGAGCGAGGCGGTAGAAAGGAGTGATGCTCAAAACAGAGAGGAGGATCTTTAGAAGGAGACTGAGCGGAAATATGAGCGGATATACTTCAGGGAAATATTCAGGAATATTCTGGAGTCGTGAAGTTCGTCTCATGATTCTGTTCAGTCATAAAAACGTCACCGCAGTGTGAAAATTAAAGTAGATCAGTTAGTAATCTGGGTTATTTCACCTCGGAGAAAGAGTCTGCAAACATTTAAGTCACTTCATTTGTCCAGGAAGACACGCAAACCTACAACCAATCAGATTAACCGTTGCTATGTGAAGCGCATAGTAACGGAAAATGTAAACAGACCGGAAACAGGAAAGAAACGTCTTTATCAGCAACGACTGATCGAAACGTAACTTCATCCACCTCTCTGGAGGGGCGTCTGACTCGGTGTTATGGTGGGTTTGACCCTATTTTTATTTTACGCTGGAATATCCCTTTAAAGCCTGTGTGTGTGTGTGTGTGTGTGTGTGTGTGTGTGTGTGTCCTTTGTGATGAGGGGGTCTCCTCTGCCAACACAATAACAGGATTGAACAGCAGCAGATCGAATGAATGGAGCTGCCTCGTCCTTCCTCTTTTGTCTTTTTCTCTAAGAGCTGCAGGGAGAAAAACTCGAGTCCATCTCCTGATCGAAGCTCAGAAGGTCCAGAGACGGGTCACCTCTGTGTGTGTCTGTGTGTATTTGTGTCTGTTTGGTTGTTGTGAGTGTTGCTCCTAAATCCACTCATGCAGCTGATATTTTTTTTTCATCATAAAACCACAAACTTCAAACCGTCACACCTGCTGTTCTGCTTTCAAACCACTGCTGTGTTTGTGGTGAGAGTCTGCGCGCGCACACACACACACACACACACGCACACACACACTCATCATCAGAGCTTCACACTGACCAGTAGAAAGCCACTTTGTCGCCCAGTTTCCTCTCGTGGACGTTGCGGTCCAGCAGGTTGTAGCAGATGTTGGTGGTCGCTCCCTCCATACACTTGATGAAAATCTGTCCTTTGGTCACGTCGAAGTTGTAGTCGAGGAACTGACCCGAGTGTTTGGTCTTCCAGAAGAAGTCTTTGGCGATGTCTCCCCAGAACTCTGCGGGAGGAGAGAGTTTGATGAGGAAACGACTGCGTGTGGTACGATGACGCACAGACTCCATCGAACCGCAGAGACAGACAGACAGCTGCTGAAGTTACTGATCAGGAACTGAAACAGGTGTCCACCAGCCTGATCAAACCCAGCAGACACTGACGAGTGTTCCTGTGATCATGTGCAGAGTAATCAGTCCTAATGTTGTCGTAGCACACAGCAGCTACACCCAACCATAGCACTTTAACTTTATCTACTGATATGAAAAATATACATCATGATAGACTTTATCCCATGTCGTCCAGCCCTAATTCTAACTTATGTATTTTTGTTTGCTGGACTATGAATTTTTGTTTTTCTTTCTTTTTCAAAGTTTTGATTCCTCTGAAATGAATGTAGTTAACCTCATGTTCAATAATATGTTTTTGTCATTGTTGAGGAACTGAAATAAAGGTTTAGGGGGAAAATAAATGAATAAATAAATAAATAAAGAGTTGCTCCTGCCTGCAGCAGGTGTAAAATGTGCACAAAGTGTTTATGGTCTTAAAAATTATTAAAATACGTCAGTGAAATATTCAAACACAGTATTTTAGACACTATTTTAGTATTTTACTCTGACCCTCCTGCAGCAAAACCAGAGAAAAATATGATGTTTCATCTCGTCCTTGTGAAGCTGGAGGCTGGAGATGACAGGAAGAGGCTCAGGACACGGTCTTTGCACGCAATGTGAAAAAAAAAAAAGAGTTTTGAACATAAAAATCGATTTAAAAATTGGAAAACTAAAAATCGCGATACGTTATTTGAATCAATTTATTCTCCCACCCCTAACTGATACTGATATATTTATATGCATATATATGTTTTTCTTTGTTGGACCGCAGAGTTTCTCCTGTGACATAATTAACTTGTTACTTGTTGAGTAACTTGTTACTCTGGTTTTTCAGAGTTTATTTGTTTTTAGATCCAGACACAAAACAACTTCTGATTCCACCCTAAATGATCCGTGTAAGCCGTCACTGCATGCACACAATTAATGCATCACCTTCTTGTTTGATAGAGACATTTATTTTCTTGCTTTAATTAGATAAGAGAGCTGCAGAGAGACGGCGAATATGAGGATAGAGCGAGAGACATGATCCAGAGACATGTCAGGAGGAGGGACTACCGGCAAATATAAAACACTGATGTCCTCCTCATTTAAAGATTTCCTTGAGTGGGTTTTTATAAGTCTCTGTTTGCTGTTTATCATTAACCTACAGTTCAGTCCTGATCATGTCGTAAAGGTTCGAGCCTCCTCCTGCAGAGGAAACTCGTTTGAGAGCCTTTAGACTTCTTTAGGACGCGACCTCTTTGGTTAACAATGGCGGTAGAGATTTTCCCGCCTCCCGCCTGAGAGTTTATTGGCACCAGATTGAGCAGAAGAGCTTCCTCATTACCAGGAAATGACTCAACAACCCTTTACTGTACCCTGTCTGCAGTTGTGTGTAATCTCTGATGGTTTTATTGGATCCTGCTCACTCGTTAGAGGTGGTTAATGACTTAAACTTGATATTTTTGGGTCATTTTTAACTCCTCAGTCCATCAGGTATCGTGACGTTTAGTTCGATCCTCGTCTTACAGTTTGACGTTTCTCTCAGGACTGCTGCTGTAAGTTTTTTCATCACCTGGGGAATGTATTGAGTAATAAACCATGAATGATTGTGTGATTCCCCGCCCCACACACACGACCAGAAACACGAGTTATACCAGGTGGAAGTTTAAAGAATAAAAAAAGACATTAGTATCACAGCCTGATCTCAACACCAGGGAACGAGTTCATTTCTTTAATTCATGTCAATATTATCTTGAGAATCTTTCCAACTATTAAAAAATAATAATCTCCGTCAGTTAAATCAGTCAGATCAGCCACTCCTGATTCAGTTTCTGCACCTTCTGAAGGTTTAATAGAAAAATAAATGTATAAACGACATTTTAGAGCTCTCTGTTTTGGTGAATTCTGATTAAACTAAAGCTAACTTCTCTCTACCCTCTAACTGAATTGTGCCAATTTAGAGGTGAAAAGACCTGCTTTTTAAATTATCCTTTACATTCGATCAAAAACAACATTTTGCTAAGAGATGGACACCGTCTCATATTAGTTTGTATCTTAAATCTCATATTTTTACCACTAAAGTGAACAAAGTGATTTCACAACAAACGTCTTTGGATTCTCTTTATGTCAGATATGAAGTCTGTGAATCTCTCCACTCCTTTCCTGTTTTTCTGTGAGCTGAGTCATCACGTTTGGCAGCCTTGTGTTGCATTTTGCTTCAATTGTTGTGAAATTTATTCAGCGGGGTGCCGCAGCTCAAGGAAGAACATTTATGATCATTTCTTCATGGAAATACAATCAGACCGAAACGCTGAGACAGAAGAACTACCGCGCCTGTAAAATGATTAATATGGTGATTATTAATTCAAGGAAACGATAACGAGATGGTCGTGACCATGCTGACCTGAGTTTTAGTCACTGTGAGGTGTTTTAACGCGCTTCTAGTCCAGTCCAAGGTTGTTTTGAATTATATTTTCTCCATTTATTGATTAAATAAAAAACAAACAATAAAGTTAGACACGTCTAAATGACGAAGATGGTGATGTACGTGATGAGGGTGAGAGTGGTGTCAGAGATCTTCCCCAGATCACTGTTTCACCTGTAGTGTCCCTTGTGATGATTGTGCGAGTAACAAAACCCAAAATAGTATAAAATAAATGTAAATAATATAAATAAAATGACTCAGTAATGATCATAAATGTTCTTCCTTGAGCTGCGGCACTCCGCTGTAGTCCTTAATGGACTGGCCTGAGGTCTCACTACAAACAAGCGTCTGCTGGAAGAGAGTAGGTGAGTTGTGTTTAGTCTCTTCTGCGGTGTTACGTTCTCTATTTGACCATTATTAGTTTTAAGCCTGAATATCCCTTTAATATTCCCTCTGACATGTCGGCAGATATTCTCATACGTATTTTGGCCAATAATAATACTGATACAGATACAGATATAGAAGTTTTTCTTCGTTAGGATCAAAGTTATCCCTTTACAATGATTTATGGGACAGAAATAGAGTTAAAAGGACTCTGCAGAGCATCAGTGTGAGGAGATCAGGGTGTATTTTATATCTGAAGAGCAGCAGTTTTACTCAGAATGGAGAATATTCGTGTTTATTTCTGTGTTTATTTAAGTTCTGTGATGATCTATAAACTTTAAATCAGTTTTATCAACTCATTTGTTGTTCAGTTTGACTTATTTAAGAAGCTCAGACATGAACTGACCTTCAGGACTGTCCACAGACTTCAGGTAGAGCTCCTTATACTTCTCAAAAGTCGGGATGTGAGCCTCCTTCTTCAGCTCCTCGGACCCGTGGTAGACGTTCTCCTTCGGGGCTTTGTCCGGAATCATCCCTGCGGTGTTTGTTAGACTCAAACAGACAGAAAGAGGGTGGAGGAGAGGCTGTCAGAGACCCGCTGAGGGCTGCAGGTCCGAGGAAACACAATGAGGAGAGAGGAGAGGAGAGAGGAGCTAACGGACGAACTTCATTCACACTTCCTTGTTTCTGCAGGATGGATTTTGTTCTAGTTTCGCTTCAAATCTTCGTGCAAAAGTCCAGATTCGATCCTAAACTCCGAGTAAACGTCCTTACTTTGAGTCCGGTTCGGTTCTGGTGCAGCTCTCTCTCTCCGCTCTAACGAACACGGAGGAGTCCTGCTAAGCTAACAGGCTAGGCTAACTCACTCCGGGGCGAAGTGCACTTGCGCACGAGACACGAGGCCCTTCCTCACGAGCTCCACAGAGTTAAGGGGTCCTTTAAAAAGAGATTAAAGTCTTTCTGTCAGTCAGCGGAGCGAGTTTAGAGTCGAACAGAGGTCTTAAAGAGGTCTGTGTTCTCCTCCTCTCTCTTCACTGTTTCTTCTTCTTTTGACAAACGGAGCAGCGAGAGTGGCGCTCAACTCTGTTTGGCCCACACCACCGACCAATCAGAGCGCTCCGCTGCCTTCACGTAACCACACAAAGCTCGTAAATCCAATACACACCCCCGGAGCCTGAAAGTGACCGGGGCGTTCAGGAGATGAACATTGTCGTAAATTCAAAAATCAAAGATTAAAAAGTGTTTTAAAGTGGCCTCGGTGGGACAACTGCACAAATATTTCGTGACTAAAAAACTTGTGATTGAACACAAAATAATTATAATAATACTAAGTGACATAGAAACATATTACAAGACAACGAAAGAGTATAAGGGCCACATTAAAAAAATAAGACTTCAAGATTAAAGTCATTAACTTACGAGAGTAAAGTCGTAATAAAGTCATTACTAGCGATAATTAAGTCAAGATAAAGTAATTACTTAGGAGATTAGTGTCGTAATAAAATAACTAACGAGAATAAAGTCGTCATCAAATCATTACTAAAGAGATTAAAGTTGTAATATATTATACTTTATTCTCGTGAGTGATTACTTTATAGTCTTTATTATCGTTAGTAATTACTTTTTCACGTAAGTTAATGACTTTAATCTTGAAGTCTTAATTTTCTCAAAGTCTTGGCCCTGATACTCCGTCGTACAAAAAGTATTTTGAAATCAAAGATTTTGAAGCAGAACAAACCAAACCTCGTTTAAATTCACTTTAAGAAACGTCTCCCTCTGGTGGACAGCCAGGAGTTTAACAATTTTAATTGGCTGAAGAATAGAATAGAATAGAATATTCCTTTATTGATCCCCCATGTGGGAATTTATTTGTCACAGCAGCATCACAGACAAAGGTAGTGAAAAAATGCAGTTATAAAAATAAAGATCCTAATATTAAGAACTTAAATAAATGTAATAATTAAGAAAAAAAATAGAAAAAGGAAAAAGGGAGAAGAAAAATAAAACTATCTACAATATACACAATTTACATGCCAGAAACAAGTGGTGGTGTAAATCCAGTTTTATTACAGTCCGTTGTAAAGTCCTATAGCAGAGGGGAGGAATGACCTGTAAGGTGGTCGTCTCAGTCTGCTGCTGAAGGAGCTGCTTAAAGCCCCCACAGTCTGGTGCAGTGGGTGAGAGGGATTGTCCATGATGGATACAAGCTTTGTTAACATCCTCCTCTCACCCACCTCCTCCAGGGAGTCCAAAGACCAGTCCAGGACAGAACTGACCCTCCTGACCAGTCTATTCAGTCTCTTCCTGTCCCTCTCAGTGCTCCCTGAATCTTGGGGGCCCCACTGGCCACGGGGCCCTAAGCAGGCGCTTAGTTGGCTTATACCTCGGTCCGGCTCTGTTCCTGGTGATTCATTTATCTGATTCAGTTTGTAAAAACAGTGTTTGTATGACCTTCATCTCTTATTGTGAGGATGATATTAAAGAGGTTTGGGGTTTTTATTTTGTGCACACACAGAACTTCATCTCATCTCATCATAAATAGTTGCAGGATGGACTGACGAACAGCAGGGGGCGATGTTGTCTGGCATAAAAGGAGGAGGACTAAAGAAATACTGGAAAGTAGAAAGTCTGAGATTGTGGTTTAATTTGTTAAGTTTTAGATATTTTCAGCAGAACTTTAGTTTTTAAGAGTTTTTATAATTTATCTTTCTTGTATAATTTTATTTAAATAATCCTTACATCGAGTTTTCTCATAAAGTGAAATCGTCTCTCAGTGTCTGATTACAGTGAGAGTCGAGGGACGCTCTGGAGACCCTCGGGCTCTTTCCAGTGTCACAGCTCTGGACCGCCAGAGGTCAAAGGTCAACCACAGGCCTGGACTGAAGGCTCATGAGTGAGTCACAAAGACGTCTTTGTTTTTCTGTGGTTATAATCTCAGTCCTCTAATTTACTGCATTCTTCCTCTGAGCGGGCTCAGCTCTGCAGCTGCGTGAAACTTCAGTCTGTGACCGAGTTTACACGGCGATTTAATGTACGAAAAAAATTTATAAACATGCAAATAATCTGCAGACTGACAAATCTGAGGTGATTTTCTTTTTTAGATCAATTTGATTCGTTTTTGTTCATAATCAGATGAATTCTTGGTTTCGAACAGACCGGATATGGATTAAAAAACTCCCACAACCTCAGAGACACTCAGAGAAAGTCACAGAGAAATATTCGTCCCAAACTCTAAAATAAGTTCATTTAACAGAAACTGATCGGTTTGAGTGACAAAGAGGTTTAATCTGAACAAAAACAGGAAATACTCTTTATCTCTGTATCAAAAACACTTTTCCTCCAGAGTTTAACAAACGTCCAGAGTCCAGCAGAGACAGGAGACGTGAGAGAAGAGAGCGTCGAAGGTGGCGCTTTGCTAAAGCAGAAGGTCAAAGGTCAGGATCGAGAGCATCAGTGTTTCTTCTTTTCTACGCTCCGGGACTTTAACCGGACAGACGATCAGGAAGAAAATTAACCAGCAGCTGTTCTGATAATCCACCAATCACGTGACACTTCGCTGTTTCCTGAATCGATCTGGTTTTCTGATCCTGAACGTGAGGAGACTTCTTCTTTTTGGAAACACAGGACATCATCTTTAGTCAAACTTTTTACTGTTTTGCCTTCAGACTTAAATCAACCCTCACTCTTGACTTAACTGTCCGACTATCTGCTTTAATTTGACGTTTAAATATTAAAGTTTGTCTCCATCAGATTTCTGATAAACTGAAAACAGCACGACTCTCCGTAAACTGACTGAATCTTCTGCTTGTAAATGTAGAAAATTTGGAGAAAATCCACAAAAACCCTCAAATTTCCGCCTTTCTCCTCACTTCTCTCATAGCTGCAGATCTTCAGATCTTCAGAGATTTCCATCACGTTCAAATCTTCAGATCTCTATAAACCCCAGGTGTCAAACTCGAGGCCCGGGGGCCAAATCTGGGCCGTGGAACAATTATATCTGGCCCACGAGATCATCTCATATTTGTGTTATTATTGTTCCACCAGTATGAAGTCTGCAGATTTCCTCCAGGATAATAATGTAAACTTTAAACTTTAGCACCTTTATTTAAAACGTTCTTAATAAACCACGAAAATCTGTGAAAGTAAAGAGTAAAGATTTGATAAATAGTCAAGAGTGTGGGGGAAAATGTGTTTCATCCATATTTACAATTTTGCATCTCAAGATTAAAAGTCAAACATGATTTGACTTTTTATTTTGTGCTTTTTTTAACTCAGTATTTAACGTCATTTTAATCCTTTAGATTCCAATTTTAACTTGTATTTTGACTTTAAACTCCTGATTTTAAATTGATCTCATATTTTCACCTTTTCTAAATTTCTCCTCATGTCTTTAATCTTTAAAAGAATCACTTTTATATTTTTAATATCGTGCTCTGATCTTTTGAACTAACCTAGTGGACTTTTTAAAATCTCAGATTGCCTTTAAATTGATCTTTTTTTACTTTTAGTGGTTTATAATTATCGCTGATTTTGTTGTATATTTTGAGGTTGACAGTTTGGGTTGAATGTCGACCCTGTTGGGCCCTCAGGTTAGATTTAATCCAGATCGTTGCCCTCGTTGTTGTCGAGTTGGACACCTGCTCTAAGAGGTCTGTATCTCCTTTTTACTCCTTTAATCAGATTTCATCCAAAATACCTCCATTGTCGTTTATTTTCAGAACACATAAAAAATGACTGACAGTACAAACATTTGCCCCAAAACAGCAGAGACTCACATGAAAGTAAAAAAAGAAAAACAGCTATGAAAAACTCTGTTCTGAATAAGGCCATCGATAAAGTTATCTACGACAAAAACAAGAAGAGGGGACTGTGGACAGGACCGGTGTGGAGTTTTTTTACACAGTGGAAGAAATGGATCCACACTTTACAAACGTTCGTTTAAAACGGGGAGAAAAAAGGGGGATAGAAACACCTGCCTTCGATTCCCAGAGAGGGAAAAGTGTTGAGAGGGGATCTGAAACTCCCGCTTAATCAATTACAAATCAATAATCAATAATCAGAGAGAGAGAGAGAGTGGATCGAAGCAGCAGAGCCGCCGTCACTCGACTGTGACCTGCTACATGTAGAAAAGCGCTGATGGTTGACAGTCGGAGCTCACAGTGTCCGTCTCCCCGGTCGCCCTCCTGGTTCTGGTTCTGGGCGGGTGGGGGTGGGGGGGCAGATTAAGGGCCTCTGGTGTCAAAAACAGTGCATGTGCTTCAAACAGACGCTCCAGAAGACAAACACACACAACAATCACCGGGGTTTGGCAGTTTCTGTTTCACCGAAGGTCGGCGTGTTGATCTGAAGGCTGCTTCAAACTTTTCATCTGACATCGACATCATGAAGATTAAGTCACTTTCCTGGACGCAGAATCGCACATTTAAGGACGCCTGAAACGTGAAAACACCGAGGAGTGTGGGAGGGGAAAGAAAAATCTGATCTGCTAGAAGAAAAGCCCTTTTTTATCGACCGATGTTGAAATCTTTTCCTGCAGAGATCGTTTTATTGACGAGAGGAAAGAGGAGGAAGATGAGAGCGTGACGGACAGGTGCGGGAAAAATGGAGAGGGGAGGGAGAGATGGGATAAAAGAGTCAATTTACTGAAGCCAAAATCAAGACGGTGTTCTTGGTGGGAAAAAAAGGCAAAGAGAAGACTCGGCCGTCACCTCGAATCAGACCGAACCCGCCGCCGACATTTTCAGGAGAATCGAAACGACGAAGAGAGATTTTCAGTCTTCTGAGGACGAGAACGAACGCGGTTTCGACTGTGAGGAACGGATAAAAACACGGATTGCATAGCAGAGCTGAACTCAGATCTTATTTCTGAAACGCTACAAGATGGTAACTGAAGTTTGTGTCCGCATGAGGAGACCGCAGCTGGACCAGGGAACTCAGAAACTCAACAGGAACTTTGGAGGTTCATGAAGATCTCAGGAGGGAGGGTCTTCTCCGCTCACCTGAGGATGTGGTGTCGATCAGGAGCCAATCGGTGACCTGGGTAAGAATGTGGTCGTTTATCTTAAAGTGGGAGTTTGTTATGACCGATCAATGAGGCTGAAAAACTTTGTGTGTATATCAGTGTGTATATTTTGTGTATATTGTGTGAGTATATATGATCCTGGGGAGCGTTTCTCCGGTCGGTGTTTCCGTCTCTAAAATCGAACTCAGCAGGTTCGGCACCAGATCAGAGGTCAGGGGTCGGGGGTCGGTCTGGGACGAGGTGACGGGTGACAGGCGAGTCTTCAGGAGGTTCTTCATGTTTGATTCGTTTCTGATTGATTATTTAACACACACAACCACACACGCGCACACGCACGCACACACACACACACACACACAAGTTTACACACAGCCAGAAAACATCACCGTGTTCGCACACTGAAGTCCATTACAAAAACCAGATCTGTACTGCAAGATCTGGTCTGGGGGTGGGGGGGTGGGGTTACAGGTGAGGATGGAGGGGGTTACAGACTGATGGGGGTGGAGGAGCGGAGGCGGTGACCGAGTTTGTTGATTATCACTAAAAGGTGTTGTGGGGGAGTCGGGAGTCCAACAGGGTTTGAGGGGTGAGGAGGGGGGAGACCACGAGTCGAGGTGGAGTCTGGTGGGGGGGTCTAAAACCAAACTGGCCGTGCCGGCTCAAGGACAGATCTTGAGGTGGGTTTGAAGACCACGGCGTCTGTGTGAAAAGCGTCTGGCAGTCTTGAAATCTAAAACTCCTCCTGCTCCTCGGCGTCGGGTATGACGAAGCCCTCCTGAGGAGACAGACGGACGGACGGGGGGTTAGATTAATGATCAATCAATCAATCGATCAGTTTTCATACAACAAAGATGAAGCACAAAGTGTTTGACATAGAAAACCCTGATCTCGAACCGTTTTAAAATCAAGGAAAAGGAAAAAACTGGAGGTTTAAAATCTAAAAACAAAGAAACATCAAATAAAATTTAAGAAATAATCAATAAAATCACATAAAAATTTAACAATATACTGTCCCTCTGGGATTAATTAAGTATCTATCTATCTATCTTTTATTTATCTAAGTATGTATGTATGTATGTATGTATCTATATATCTATCTATATCAATCTATATCTATACCTACCTACCTATTGATCTACCTACAGCAGTAAAAGATACTTAATAAGAGTCACCAGAATAGATCAATCAGAGATGATCCTGTTATTAAAACTAGACAGATAAATGTTAAAACACTAAAACAAAGTTAATGATATAAAACTGAGTTAAAAGACTAAAAAGGTTTGTTTTCAGTGTTCTTTTAAAATCATTTATCGATAAGATCATTGATCATTTCTGGAGCCAGAAATCAGAAAAGGTGAGACATTGATCTTTTAATCGGGACTGTGACGGCGTCGGGTTCAGGAGCTCCTAAACGCCTCATCAGGAAACGACTCTGAGTCGACTTCCTGCAGCTGAGAAGTGCAAACACAGCGAGCCCCGAAAGACTGGACACGCCCCTCATTTCAGACACGCCTCCTGAGTTTAACAGACGACCGGAGAGAGAAACAAACGCTTTTTAATCGTCATGGGAGGGTCAGAGCTGATCCAGACTGTTAGAGGACAGAATAAACACCAGAGAGAGAGAGAGAGAGAGAGAGAGAGAGAGAGAGAGAGAGAGAGAGAGAGAGAGAGAGAGAGAGAGAGAGAGACAGAGAGAGAGAGAGACAGAGAGAGAGAGACAGAGAGAGAGAGAGAGAGAGGGAGAGAGACAGAGACAGAGAGAGAGAGAGACAGAGAGAGAGAGACAGAGAGAGAGAGAGAGAGGGAGAGAGAGAGGGAGAGAGAGAGCGAGCTGCATGCCATTCCTGAGCAGGAATCCACAGCAGCGGCATCAGCAGTTGTTAAGAGAAGAACAAATGGACTTTAATCCGGTTCTGGACACCGAGCAGGTCCGAGAACTTTCTTTACAGACACGTTAAAAACACCACAGCAGAGGTTTCTGTTATTCTGGTTTTATTTATTAATTATTTATTTATTTATTAATCTGAGGCGTCAGTTTAAGAAACCGTCCAATCAGAAGAAGGCTGCCTGGTATCAAACACAGGAGTTACGACCGTTCCTGTTCAAATATCAGATTTTTTCAGACCTGAACACTTAAAAAACAAAGATCAGTTCTTGTTTGACTGTTTTGTAACATTCATCCTAAAATATTTTAATATTTTTTATTTATATTCCTCTAAACTTGTCTTCTTTCTCGTTCACAGCTCCATATTTAAAGTTTTGTTTCTCTCTGTTTGAAGTGGAACTAAAAATAGAAGAACATATCTGGGAGTTCTGAGGGTTATCCGTCTCTACAGGACTTTGACTTCATGTTTTAGGGTCTCCGGTTCAAATCGGACCCCCACGTCTCCCTGTCCCCTCAGAACGAGCTGAACCCTGAACCGTGGCGGTGAACTCACGTCTGTGGCGTAGAGGATGTCTATGATCCTCTGCAGCGTGGGGTCGCCCTCGCCCTCCTTCTCCTGACAGATCAGCTCGATGTTCCTCAGCTT